ATTACCGTGTTATTCAAAGTCAGCGCCACGTTGATATTTTAATGAGCAATTTATTTGCTACTGGTTTGTGTTAACTCGTCTTTTACTGTGTACTTGATATTTAAATGAAAATAATAAATTTCACAGTAATATTTATTAATTATTTTGTTTTTCTTACTAAGTATTTTTATAATTGTTATCAATCATTATTTATGGTTATATAATTATTATTTATATTATTGCAAATTTAAATATCATCTGAGAATAAGATTATCCTTATCCTTAACATTATCATTGGGATTTAAAATTTTAATGAGCAATTATAAAATAAAAATCAGAAGATTTTCTGTTTGCTCCAAAAACTAAAAAGGATCAAAATTACTTATTATCTATATAGCTTATAAAAAGCCAGCTTATAATTAGCACTTGAACTTATTAATAAGAATTTTATTGAAAAAAAATCTGACTTCATTGACTAACTAATATTTTTTTTGCATCAATGTTATCTCTGTTATTAGAATCATTTTTGGAGCAATGATACTTTGTGTATAAATAATAAATAAATATCAGAAATAATAAGACATCTCACGAACATTGTACCACTTGTTACTCAAATCAAGTTTAATAAATAACTAATAGAATTATGAAAAATACGTACTGGCGATTTCCCACTCACATGGTATGATTTATTATGGATTTATTTCCAACTGTGAGCTGTATGTAAGTTTGATTCATGGTTATTTCTATCTTTGAGGACGACCAGGTCAATATCCTGCGGGAATCCTGTTCGGCTGGATGACTGCAAGTATGCACAATATTTGCTTTTGTTGCTATTTTCTAACGACAATCAGGTACGTATTCGCACTTGAATATTTCCTTATACATAAACTATATGTAGAAATATTTATTTGAATCATTCATTTTTTACAGGTCCTTCAACCATTAATTTTCAAATGGACGCTGGAACATTAACCCTCTTTTAATTTAGAACAATATTAAATCCACAATTTATTTTCTGAGTTTTGATGTACTCCTTTAATCTCATATCAGCCGACAAAATAAAATAAAAACACTATTCGCTCCTCCCAGTGTAAATTGCCTTAGGCCAACCATGTGAAAAGTTCTGATGATGAATAATTTTTATGATGCTAAAATATTTAAGAAAATGTTATTTTAATTTTTGTTAAAGTATTCTTCTTAGCTTATTCTATTAATTTATTCGATTAAACATTCATTTTGTTCAATAAGATAATTTATTAAATAATTCTTTGAACTTTTCTCAAATATATGTAGTTGAAATCTTGGTGTAAAAAATTTGATTCAGCATTAAAAATTATGTGTTATTTGATGACAAGATTCATGTGAGATGTCTCTGGAAATTTAATAAATAAATCCTGTATTTTCCTTTCATTTATTGTACTTATAAAATCTAAAATTTTGATCAAAAGAGTCTTTTTCTAGTTTTCTGAGCCCATTTTATACCTGGAAACTTGGTTTTGTGTAATCTTAACCTTGAATAGTCCTGAGAAGAGCAAAGAAGATATACTTACCTCCGTCAAATAAAGATAACAAGTACGAGAATTGCTGGAATAAAAAACTATTGCAACTGTGTGGTTTGTGTAGTTAAGTATATCACCTTTACTTGCTGGGAGCCAAAAGTTTGATAAGTATATCCGGTTCTATCTTTATATAAACACTATATTCTTCAACTGATTTCTTATTTTTCAACAAATACCTTTAACACAAAATTTAATAAATATAATTTTTATAAATATTTTTTTTACAAATTAATTAAAATGAACAATTAAACTTTACCTTTTTATGTCTACTTATTTTTTTCATTTTTTTTCCTTAAAGTGTAAAATAATATTGTATGGAAGTATGTAATAAAGAGTATTAATATTTAACAGAAGGATTTACTATTTAAGATGATCGGAATCTTTTATCTAAAATTCTTAATGTGCACTTATCCTGAAAACCCCTCTTTTCCCATGTATCCGGTATATTATATAATGTATATATGCTTTTGTCTCCAAACCGTTAAGGAACTTATACAGGACAAAAGTTTCCTACGACACTATTTCTTGTACATATAATAGAGATTATTGTTCGTTGAGCAACATCCCTCGCCTTATGTATGAGTCCAAAGTAAGATATACTACATTGCATGCAGTACGGATGTGTATCATCCTTTCAATTTTCAGATATAGAAATGGAACACACATTATTCTAGCGATTTATCAAATATACGTAGGTTACAGGCAATTGTTTGTGAGTAAATAGGCCCGTTGCTTTGATAAATAGCGAATAATTTCTATTGTATCTTCTTAATGCCTAAAAATTTACAGTTATCGTTTGCTTAGGGTATGATCAATTATTTTGCAAATAAAAAAATCCTTTGGAAATGATGCTGGTCATTAGCAAAAATTCTCAAGTTCAATAATAATCGTGTGAAATTACTTTATAATAGACTTTTAAATTTAAAGAGTAAAATTTATAAAAAAAAAGTTTCAAGCAATTTATTGTTTGTAAAAAATTGCATTGAACTGCAAATATCTCTTTTGGCTCCAATAACTACGGTATAAATAATGTTACAATATTTCTATGTAATGATTAAATATCTGTCATTTACAATATGACAAAAAATGAATGCAAATCGAAATCAATAAATGCAAATTTTGAGAGCCAATTCACACTCAAATCATACATGAATCTGGAGATAAAATCATGAAATAGTTTTCACCGTTCGAAAAACGATGGTATTATTTGAATATCAGTAACCCTAAGCAAACAAGAAAATGCACATTTGTGCACAAAGGGGAAAAAAATGCAATTTCGCCGGGATGAAACGTGCTGTTTTATGTTTCTTCGTATTTGCACAATTTTTACGATTGTTTCTGTTCTCCTTTTCTTTCTTTTTTCATCCAGCAGTTGAAGCGACAGGTGTCCGACACGTGCCTAACAACTGCAATCTTTCACAACTGCCCTTTCGAGTCAGTAAGTCAGCATTTGCTTTCGCCGGCACGTCAACTCAACGTAGCATCGTGGCATCAATCATGTTATAGAGTGCAAAAACGATGATAGTACTGGCTTTTCTTTTATTTTATTATCTGTATCTATCTGCTAGTTTATGTTTTTAATATATTGAACTCCAGAGTCAATCTGTTTGTACCTTGTACTGGTATCCATCAATAGGAATCCTTTATTACCCTTGTTCTGAAATCAAATCCAAATGATTATTCATTCATAAGAAAATAATATAATATCAATTAAATCATCAAAAATTTTAAAAAATACTTTCCGTGAATTTAGCTTGCACAAAACTACTAATCAATTATTCTTTAGAACAATTTAATAATCAACAGCGAACATTCAATGTAATTTCTTATTGACGTAACCATTTTCAACTAAATCAACTAAAAATATTAAGAATGATACTAAAATCGAAAATTACTTGATTAATAATTTTCTTTACATATTAAGATGATGATTTTAAAAAAAAGATGTTGAAAAAAGTAAAAATATTCTTTTGTGAGTGAATATTATTTGAATACATTAGTTTTAAAATGCTATAAAAATGAATGAATTATTTGAAAACAATTATGTTGTTGAAAGAAAATTGAATAGTTTTGTCATGTGTGTACAAATAAGAGCATTTCAAAAGGGTTTAGGGAATGAAAAATAGCAGAGAGGAAGGAAAAATTTACGTGAAACTCGTTCGTGCGAAATATAAAGGAGAAAGAAGAAAAGAAAGGAGATCAGATCACTTCCTTATGGAATTTCATCCCTAGTCCGGGGCATTGGAGTAAGGTTCCAGTACATAAGCAACGTGCTTTAAGGACGGGCAAGGGCGTTTTCCCGTGCCCTACGAATGGACTAGTGAAACTGTGGCTCGCTCGATGCCATCACCATGGAGACAGACATCCCCATACCTAATATTCTCTGAGATGTTGTGTTCCATACTTGAAGGGGAGAAATCCTTATGGCATGTCCAACTTTCCCTAGTTTTCTGCTGTATCCTTTTATTTCGCAAAAGCATTTATCTTTTAATATCATTTTTTTTTTCTGTCTCACTCGTAGAATACTAAAAAAAGTATCACATCAGTTCAATTAAATACATGATTTTATGCAATATGAAGACTATTGTTATTGTTAAACATCTGATGTACAATAACTTCCGGTTGCATAATTTTTACACTTACCTATTATAATTACTCAGACTTTTCTTGTTATGAATGCAATTATATCTGTAAATTAATTTCACAATCATTAATATTTTTTTAAGGTTCTTAAACAGTTGGTGGACAATTAAAAAATCATTTGCAAAATTATACAACCTTAATGAAATAAAAATGAAGTACGAGTGTAGAGTTATTTTAAAAACAAGCCTTGGTTTACGTGACACTTTAAAAAAGTAGGGTGTAGATAGGTGTGAACTTCCAGCTTTACATTACAAATTAAAGCATCAAATTTGAGATGATTTATGAGTGTTTAATTATAATAATAAATTGAGAATAAAATATGTATTTTATTCCTTTTTTTCACGTAAAAAATGAGATCCATTGGTTTTATATAATTCCATTTCAAGCTCCAAAATTAGACTACTCGAAAAAAGTCATGAATGGTTCTTTAGAGGACTAGGATTAATTGGAACCATCAAGCATGAAGATTAATTAAAATTTCAACTTTTAATTGTGAACAAATCACACGCTGGAAAATTTTGGAGGGAAAGCTATCTTCATATTGAGGGTAAGTTGATGAGTTGAAAATGGAACAGAAGCTATCCAGCTTGGAGAAGGAATTCCGTGAAAGAAATGTAGATGTAATTGCTGAAACAATTTCTGATGAAGACCAAAAAAATAAACTTTATTTTAAAATTGATTAAATTTCACAAAAGATAGACTTTATTGAAGAATATAAGTGACAAAATAATGACTTAGCCAATAGTTTTTGATATTAATTTTTTTTTTCGCAATGTGCTGCACTCTTGTGGTAAAAAACTATAAAATTTTAGTATATTTTAAGAGCATGCGTACATGGATGATACAATGTGATACACCGTAGGGCGTTGGTTTACGAGAACATTGAATTATACTATAAACTCGTTATCTATTGTTCCTTTCTAGATTAGTTCAATTCTCTACTATTGTGACATTGAATCAAATTGACGTGAGAGATTTGAAGATAGAAGTTTGCTTACTCTAACTTAGATAGTTGACGTATATGATTGTCTTTTGAATTCAATCTTTATGAATTTATTGTTCAGATAATGATTTCAAGTTAGAGTGGTTAAATAATACTAATTGAATCATAGACTATAGTACCGAAACATCAAAGGATTCTTAGAAATTTTTTTGATTGAATTGTAGGTTTTTGTATTCAAATAAATGCATGGATTAAATACTTGACATCAATTTAATTGCTGACAATATGACTACTTTGATTATAAAATAATATTTTATTACTTTTTTTTTCAATGAAGGAAGTAAGTAATCTGGTGACTGCTGAAATCATTAGTCTCCCACGCTAATGCCATTTCCCGCTTATGTGAATTTTTCCGGTGACTTCAAATAACAACAACATTGACCTGGTCAGAGGATCCATTGAATGCATGTGGTTAGACCAGATTGTGGTTGCCTATTATTACACAAGGCTACCAGATTTCACTGCATTCTGATTATATAATCATGTACTCAATATGACACCATGTAAACTACATAATTAACATCGAGTAGGTCTAATTTTATTATTAAAACATATCAAATAGTTTAAGCTTTTAGTTGACAACAAAAAAAAGTTTACCGATTGTTGAGTTCATTGGGATAATGTATTTGCTATATATAATACATTCATGAAATATTCAAGATGAAAAACCTTAGCTAACTTAACGCTAAATTGTCAGAACATACGAGCACAATATGCTACAATGTTTCCGCTTGTATGTATCTTTATTTCTACCAAGGGTTTGCTGACAGTTATAGCAATGTGATTGAGAGGATTTAAAGACAGCATAATACTCCAATAAATTTCTAGCAAATTATTTATTTTTGAAGTAAAAATAGTCAATTTGACATTCGTGGAGTATGACACTAATAGATTTGAATTCATATTCTTGGATTGAATCAGTAAATACTCACTGCTAATCAGTGTTAGTTTTACCATTTAAAGGAAATGAGCCTAGCTAGTCAGGTATTTTTTTTTCTTTTATGTTTTATTGATTAAATTATTCAATATTTACTGATTCAGTTAAAAAAAATATTAAAGTACATTTTTGATCAGAATCTTAATTCAACTTAAATTAATTATTATCTGGATATATATTTTTGCTAAGCCGTTGATTAAATGACTGATCAATGAAAAAAAGACATTTAATAAATGACTCCAATAAAATTTGAAGGCAACAAAAGTGTATTCCTCGTATTTATCTTATGTCTACACCACGAATGCCGACAGGAAAGAAACTTCGAAACAATAATATAGGATTAAAGTTATAAATCAGTTTTACTAGTTAGTTAATATCCTTACTATAGAATTTTATGCGAAACATATCTTTTGAAAATTTTGAAAAATTTTCATTGATAAATACCAGTTTGCAGTATCAGCATGGTAAAGTACATATGCATGACCTTTTTAACAAAATATTTTCTCCCCACAAAATACTGAATAATTAATTGAATATAAACCAGGACTCACTGGTAAAAAATAAATGAACTTTTTTCTGTCATTGGCTTTTTTGTTGATTATAATAAACCAGCAAGACAGACTTGATATTGCTATTTCTTTTTTCAATCATTATAATGTAATCAGTATCTCTAGCATTCTCTTTCATTAATAACGAAATCAGCACTAGTGTCTTTTGCTAAACAGCAGAAAACACGTAATAATTACGTGCTTCAATCAATTTTATGATATCTTATATCCATCGGATTTCATATAAAATACTCATTAATTTTTTAGATTGCTCGTCAATCATTTTAAATTATAACTGCAGAGGCTAGAAAATTTTGATTTCAAAACTATCTAGAACACAAAGAGTGCACTCAGATATAATTATGGGTCAATGATGAAGTCCTTCATCATTGATATCTTCAATGATATTTTTTTCTTCACTTTCAGTTTATTGTTTTATAATTCTAGCTTGTCAACTATTATTATTGTTATAATTTTTGAAAGTGTTGGCAAAAATACATTTTACTTATCATGATCCTTTTAGATTTATTTCTAAAGAGTAATTTAACATAAATTAAAAATATTTAAATTGTTATTGGGGAAAAGAAAATTAGATAAAATTTTACAACACTTTATAAAGTAGTTTCTAGTTGCACTTTACAGTTAGATAAAACCACCCAAATTTTTTCTCCAAGTATCAGCAATAGCCCAAGCCAACATGAGATCCTTGATAAGATTCTCTGCTTTAAACCTGGCAAGCAAATCTTTAAAAGAATTTGGACATTTTCTCTACAAGACGTAATATTTACATAGGCTTTTAAAATACCATGAGGTTATTTGTTTTACTAGTTACCAAAATCCTAAATAAGTATTACAAACGTATTAAAAATTAGAATACTTTCTTGAACATTTTCTTATAAATTCTATGAATAAATATAGTCATACTATAAATAATTAGATCATATTCTTTTAAACTTTTTAATTTAAAATCAATTGATTTTTCATAAATAAATATATTTTGTTTAATAGAAATTTTCGGAAAGTTGAATTCCTTTCTTATTTCTTTGTCTAAAAGACTTGCAGAGCTATAATGAAGAATTAATTTGAAAAGGTTGTAATTTTTAATTGTTTGTCACAGTGGACATGTAATATTACAGCTTTGATGTGACTGTTTTTTCCATTTATAGAACACAAAACAATTATACAAATAACAGCGGCAAAGTTAAATCATTGAGAAAAAATATAGTATTTGCACAGTATGTATCTATAATTGTCATGCCGTTCATAGCATCCGGTGGAAATACGTGACGGAAATTACATCTTCCGCGTGTTACATTAAAATTGCCTGACTTTAGCAATTAGAGAGAGTATGTCGACACGTGGCAAAAGTAAAAATCCATGCGCCAATTGAATATTTTTTGTTAAAGTCACGTGCATGTTGTCATTATTTTCTGCTTCATCAATTTTGAAATGGGCCACGAGGACAAAGTCTATGGATGAAAATTTATGTAGCGAGTCACAAACAGTACTGAACCTACATACCACAAACATAATCAATCACACTTAAACTGTGTAGGGCTTATGTTATAGGTACTACAGACCATCAAAAATCATACACTCCAACACAACATCGTGTGTTGGTTGAACATGGTACGCATGTGACAATAGTCATTTGTACAGTCTCATATTTGCTGTTTCTCATTTCCGGTCCTACTCACTAAACCTAAACTATTCTTCGACTCACACTAATATTTTTTCACTTTTACAGGCGAACTTTATAACGGTGAAGATTTTTTTAACTTCTAAATGATACGAGCAACACTTGGAGTAGAAACAAAACTCAATAGATGGTGGCCTTCAGTAGACTTCCTCGTCCTTCCTATGAATATCCTCGTTCCTTCTGTCAAGGTAAGTTAATCTTCCAGATGTATTACAAGGTCGAATAACACTGACATAAAAACCAAACATTGCAAATAGAAATTTCAAAATAGATGCTCTATGTTAGGGTAGATGCCTCAATCTTCCATGCTTTGTTGTTTAAATCTGCTGAAACATCAACTTTATGATACAATAATGCTTCTTGAATATTTTGGTTTGTTAGAATCTGCTCCATGTGTCTTACCCGTATTTGCTGAATTCCCAATGTTGACCAGAAATCGTCATGGACCCAAACATAGAAAATTTAAACATTCCCTCATAATTTCACAGTTTAAGTATAATTATAAACCATCTGTGCCTGCTTCTTGGTATTTTTGTTTCTACATACGGGCACTGCAAATTTAAATGTCTTATTTTGGAAAGTTTAATTATGATACTATCTGTTTAATTAGAATTGCAGTCACTTGACTGTGTTGATTTCAGTAAATTCACAATTACTATTAATGTTTTGATGATTATCATCAAGCAGTGTTGTAATGAAGCAATTGCTTTTTTTGTTGCAAAAATTGTATTATCGAATTTTTGTAATCATTCTACTTGATGTTTAGACACAAAATACTCCTAATTTATTTCTAACGAAATTTAAAATTTGGAAGGAAAACAAAGATTTCAGATTTTTTTGTATATCAAAATTTTCTAAATATTGAAATACATTTAAATTTAATCGAATACTGAATTGCTAATAATTTTTGATTGAACGACGTTCATAAAATTTGAGAAATTCTTCTGAATACTAGGGATCCGAAAAATAACTGCATAGGATCACTAATTAAAACGAATAAATCAAATATCAATTTCAAATAACCATACGTTAATATAAGAGTTGGCTGTAAGCACGCGACTGAACCTGAAATTTTCGGTCGTAAAATTTACCAACGCTTTTTAAAGGATACCTTCCTAACGGCTGGATAACATTTCACCTGTCTTCATGATCGCAAAAATGTACGAAATGTTGATTTCAGTTAATTGTTTTTAAGTATAGGGTCGTTTGTGGTCCAGCTGGCGTCAATTTAACTCGCAACAACGTTTTTAGTGGCAAAAATTACATGTAGAGATCACGTCAAGATCAGTGCAATTGTCAATGCTACCTGCAGTAATATTACATCCTACTTACTCAAGTGGGAAGGATAAATATGATTACAAAATGATTGATCGTATCTTTTAAACGAAGAGGTGTAAATACCACATATCGTGATATCTACTCCATCTGCAGGTTTATTGTTTTATTCCTTCAATGTTTTCATTTTATTCCCAACTGTTTATCCCCAATATTGAAGATATATTTATACTATATTATTTTTTTGAAAAAAATAATTAACTGAAAGACTTTCCATTAATAAATTGATTTAATAAATAATATTGAAGTAGGAAAATATTTTTTCAAGACATGTGTAATATATTTATAAAATATGAATAATGAATATTCATACGCATAATCGGATAAACATACAATAATTTAAATACACAGAGTAAGAAAAATAGTTTTTTTATCCAAGCAAATCCGTTTACTCACGTGAAGCAAGTAATTGCTTTCATCGATAATTTTTGTATTTTATTCAACTCTGTTTATACATTATTTTTATCTGTGACATAAAATCAAGTCAATGTTATTACTCATACGTATTTAATGTCAGTAAATATCTTCTTTATATTTTTTAAAATAAATCCGCGAATACAGGGAGAGAAAGGAATTGTAAATTTGACTCTAATACAAGGTAATTTTATCGCTCCGGGTGGAAAAATGATAATAAGTCAATTTTTAATCAGGATGCATTATAATTCTATTTTGTAAAGAATTTTTCATATAAGAAACACAAAGATTTATAAATTCCTTGCTTTATAAAAATTTGTCAAAAATAAATGGTGAAGAAACGTAGCTATAAATTGTCAGAACAATCAATAATAAATAATAAAATTATTCACACACACACATACATATAGATTACAGAATATTATAAAGGAAAACGAAAATCAAGAAGCGTCTTATTTTTTCACTTGAATAAAGTTTAATACATCTGCTCCTTAGTTTATTCGCGGTACTTGTGTTCGGTCCGCAGGCGAATAAAAATCATGCCCAAAAGCATTGCCAGCTGGCACGCGTCTTCTTCGATGCTATTATCGTTTTCTTCGATCTTTAGATCACTAAAGGGAAACAAGACCAGGGGAATCATCGTCTTGCCCTTACTCCGTACTTCTCTTTCTTCCTTTGAATCTTCTGCTCTTCTTGTTAAAGTAAAACACCTGCTGCTACTTTGCGTCACACAATGTTTTGGCCACGTGAGATTGGAATAAAAAAATTCTTTTTAAGTCACGTAATGACCTGCAAAAGGAAACAAATCATCTCGATGAACTCGGTTTTACGGTTTTTTGCTTTCATATATCATAAGAATTCAGCTACCACATCCTTTGTTGTTTTCAAATGACACTTTTATTGTCTCTGTTTTCGCCGGACATTGGCCGACACTGCGGTTTTGTGGTGCATATCATTCATAAAAAAAAACTCTACACCGCCCAATAATTTCCAGTTATAATGACCTCGAAGTGTACCGAAATGCATTTACTGAAAAATTCATCAGAATGACGCTTCTTTCGCCATTTCTTCTATTGTCTCCTTTTTCACTTTACAAATGAAAAAATACGTTCGTAAATAATATACTATCATCATCACCATCATTATCATCATCATCAAGTAATAACAAGTACACTTTTTCCTCACTTGTAATTCTTATTTTGGAGAGTTGTGCTCCAAAAATTCGTTTGTGTTGGTTTATTCCATAAATTTATGGCAACCATTTTATTTAATATTTTCAATGATTACTACCTTTTGCTACTGATGCTAAATAAAAGAAATGATCCTTATTTTAATCTATAAAATGCACTTTTTACTTTAATTCAAAACATAATGTAATTATGTAAAAATAAAATGGAGACTTGTTTCTTTTTAGGAACTTAGATGAAAAAAAAAAATTGTATTAAAACTTATCAGAAGAAATTAAAAAATCATTTCCGCTCGCAAATATGCTTCTTTAGATATCAGTATTGACAAGAAAAAATAAGATTCGCAGAATCAACGATAGGATATGTTAATATTTATTTTCTTACTATGTTTCCCGTTAGGACGATTCACCTCTCATTTCATGCAATGTCAGAATGTTGACATGTGATTGCATCGTGAAAATAAACCACTCGAATTTATTTCTTTTTATTTTTATTCGTAATCAAATTATTATCAGGATAAATTTGTTATTAAAAAGCAATTATGAAATTATTTATACTCCAATTGAACGAGAACTGAGAGAAACTTTTATTCCATCTGTGTCAAATCGAACACTCTTAGATGATCCAATAATCGAATTTTTTTTCATCGTGTTAGTGGTAAAATTCCGCCATTAAAAATAAGTTAGAGCTGCTATCAGTAAATCCAGTCTTTTATTATCTACTATCACGAAAGGAACGATATAGGAAGAAAATTGCATCCTTCAAATTACTACTAAATCTGTAGAAAAATTACTTTCCAGCATAGCAATTTACATTTTATTTTTTTTAACAATTTTATTTAATATTAAATAATTTTTTTTTATGATTTTTGCAACACGAATTCCTTATAGATCATCACTCTAGTATTATTATTTTTTAAAAGGACGTTTTTTCAGTGAATATATTGAAAGTATTTTCAGTCAAAAAAGGACTGCAGTTTATCATCCCCATGGTCTCCAGTTTACTCGTGATAAGAATAATTTTTTCTGATAATCAGTATATATTTATTTTAGTACATAAATAAAAAATTCGTGAGCAAAACATTTCTATATTAAAGTTAAATTTTTTGTTGTGCTTGTGATAAATAATGGTTGCTTTGACACAACTTTTTTTCTTCTTTTTTTATTAATAAAAATTTTTGTTAGGTAAATAGCTTAGTTTAATGAATCATTTTACATCAAAATATACTAATTTTTTTATGATAAACAAAATGGAATGCAAGCAGAAACTTTTTATCCTAAATATTCATGTTATAAAAAAAAAAAATCTAAAAATAAAATAAAACACGAATTAAAGTAAAGTGCTGACCCATATGATAGATTCCATATCCTTAGATCTCGACATAAATGATAATGGAGATGAAAATAAAGGTATACATAGCTTCTAAAAAAAAGAAAAAAATCAGTGTCCTCCAAGAGTGTTAATAATTTCGATTCCATGATACTTTTATTCTCAACTAGGATGGATTTGAATCTTTTGTGCGTCATCCACCGTAGGCCTCAGGTAATCGAAAATACGTGTGTGCAAGGTTTGCCATAAAGATTGCGTATTATACACTCAAAGTACATGTATACCGAGTGCTTGCGTATTCAGAAGAAGGATTGATCGTAAAAGGCAGGTGCTGAGAGCAACAGCTGCGAGTATATTCGTGATCTTCTTTCCTTTGCAAACCAAAAGGTTTAACCCACCCGTACCTTACACTCGTCTTTATACCGTTTTTTAATTCTTTTTCTGTCCTCTCTGTGCATATTCTTGCAATGTAAGCTTTGCAGACAACGAATCGGTGCCTTTTGGTCTTCTGAAAATAAATATTCATAATCGACCAATGTCTTAGAAATGGATACGTTTGTAAGATGCATCATTGATGAATATCACATCTTGATTAATAAATAATATCTTCATTAGTGAGTACCAAAACGTTTTATTTAATGATTGTTGATTTTATCGAGTACAAATGTGCGAATGTTTCTTTCTATACCTTCGAAAATTATTATAATTAAGGGTAACAGTACTGTCAGTAATGGTGTGAATATTCTTGATTAATGAAGATATCAATTGTTCTGTTTTTTATTCTCAAAATTGTATAATTTCGTGACTGAATTAAATAAAAGATATTGCTGCAGAGAAATTTAACTTTTAAATAAAGGTAATTTGTATAATAATATTCCTTTTTAGGGAAAACTGGTTTTAACATTAAATGATTTTTTCTTATCTTCTTTAAATCAAATTATCTGTATGTTCTCGTCGTTAAATATACTATTTTTTTTTTTTTAAATCTACTATACAAATGTAAATACTCTTGCCGATTTTAGTTGTATTAGCTTAGTGTTGTTGCGTGACGATAAGTTGAGCCACAAAATCTTCTCAACAACAGTTGGTAGATACGTAAAATATTCATGGTTCTCACTAACGCTTGCAACAAAGGTATTCATTTTTACACTATGAATTCACTGCTAAATAACAAAACATTGGAAATCGATGCAAACAACAGTGTGTTACAATATTATACTGGTTAAATAATGATATTAATAATTGTTTTGATAATAATAATTATTTAGTGTTGTTAATTGTATTATGATGTAATTCTTGCGTAGTTTGAAGACTTTTTTTTCTTACGTTGTCCAGAAAGAAAGTAAATCGATCTAGAAACGTCACAAATTTAATGCGAACAAAGCCAAAACTTACCCCCCTACAATCAATCATGCAGTATTATTGTTGCGTATATGCCTACAGAAAATTCGAGGTGCATGAGCGGGATAGAAAAAAAGCGAACACAAAAAGAAGGAGAACTTCAAGGAGGGGAAATTTTTCTGTCACATCCACCTGGAGTACAAGATCCAATCCTCTTCAGCCACGGTTTCTTTCTTATTAAATACAGTATATTTCACCTTATAACTATACAAGTACACTGCTACCTTTAATTTTCGTCTTTATTCCATTTTTTTTATCGCTCTATACGTTGCAGTCTGACATATTGTTGTGTATATTGTTTTCACGACTTGTAGTACTGTTCGTTCGCTTCTCTATCGCGTGTAAAACAACTTTTATTGTTTTAGAAGAATGTCTGTAATTTATTCATTCTATTGAAGACTGATTTTTAAGAATGTTTTTGCAATTTTTAATTTTTTCTTTCAATTCAGATTTTTTCAAAAAAAATTTAACAAACAATAGAGATGTTAATGAAAAAAATTCCGAAATTGAAAATTAATAATTTATTAAAAATGATTGCAAATTAATTTTCATCATCAATTTAATTTAATACCAATATTAATAATTAAATTGAAGAAAAAACCATCTATCTTTTTCTCTTGCACAATTTATTTGTAAAAAACCAACACTTCCTTGTAATCAACGGATTCAATTGAAAAAGAAATTTCCGCGATTGACCTAAAACTTTCCAAGCTGATTATAAATAACGGATTTTATTGACTCAAGTTCATTAAATCCCTGCATTGCAGGTGTGAAAATGATGCTGTGTCATCCAGGATCAATTTTATTTAGAAGTCTTTCCAAATGAGTGTCTTCATTGGCAAAGTTGTGCCTGGAGGGTTGAAAGAATTCTTTGATGTTGCCGATGAAAAGGATACTTTATCCGAAACCATCGATATACACAGAAATCTATAAGGAAATATACATGAGGACTGGCCAAAAGAAGGGGCAGCAATGCAAAAAAAGGATCCAGGGACATGTAGGTTTAATCAAAAGAAGAGAAAAAAGGCAATGTGAGGTCGAGTTCGTTAGCGTTCTCGCATCCACCAACTCTGACGTTTGTATTTCTCAAAGATGCGGGCACCAACACCTGCAGTTTCGTGCCAATTTTTTTTTTACATCTTTTGCTCACAAGGTTCACTGTTTTTCGTCTGTCTTTCCTTTGATACAGTTTCAACATTTATATCAGCATTGATATAAATTTTTTTTTCTTTTTAATAAAAAATAATAAATTAAGGTGAAAGAAACATTTTCATTGTCGCAGCAAATTGAAAGACAGATGAAGCAAAAAAGAGAAAATCAACAGTTATTGCAGTGTAATATTTGTTTGAACGAACGCCTTTTACTTGCTGAAAGGGTATGCACTGACCATGGTACATACTGCATATCCCTTCACCCTCATTGCATTAGTTTTTTAGTCTTAGACCAATGCGAATATTCGAGGAATGATGTTTTCTATGTGTACAGCCAACATCAATTTGAACGAACACCTTTCACATATAGAAAAGGTATATTGTACGTGGGTTCTGCAGTCTACGGAACACACGATAGACTTAGATTGCAATTCAACTTACCACTCTGCTGCTTTTCACGCTTAAGAATGTTCAAATATTAAAAATAAACATATTTATATGAATTACCGTCATTATTATTGCAATTAATTATTGGTAATATCAACAAAAAATAATTTTATTAAAGGATTTCATTGGATTAATTTAGTGATTAAAAATCTTTGAAAATTTATTTAAAAGTTTTTTTTTAAGTTAATTGAGGATTAAATACTTCACTGATAAGAATTACAAAATTCTAAAATCCCAGAAGCAACTGGTAAAAAGTTGAATAATTATTTAATAAATGTCCTCAGGTGAACTGAATTTAAAAATTTCCATCACTTGTGTCAACGAAATCTTTTATGTTACCAATATTTTATTAGTGGATATTAATTTAAAAAAATAATAGATAAGAATTATTAAAATTAGTGAGAAGTATTGATTAATTTACTCATTTGCATTGAATATTCTTGTGTTCATCTGAATATAAAGAAAAAAAATTTTCATTTATGAGTAAAATGATTTTATAACTGCTTATCTCATAAATCTTTAAAAAAGTTAATCGAAAAACCATGTATATCTATTTAAAGCATCTTATTCTATTAATAATACAAATATTGATATTTGTCCATTTAAATTATTTGCGCAAAATCATTTTTCTATTTTATCAAGAATTAATAAAAAAGACATTTTTTTTCATAATCATACTGATGTTCGATGAATAAAATAGAAATTTATTTTATCAATTATTTTTCGCTCAATTACCGACTGATGACAAATGATTGAAACTAGAGAATTCCAAGAATACACACTGCGCCACACAGTCACTTTGTGAACTAAATATTATTTATAACGAAAGACGCGAATTTGAGCTTGTACGCGAAGTATTTTTCAGTAAAATGGAAAAATATATAAAAATCTTTTCCAGAAACTTTAATTATTGCCATATTAACTCATTGAAAATATTTTACTCTTTATCAAATAAAAAACTGTGACATGACAAAGAAAATAATACAGTATTCAATCAATTTGACGATGTGCACTAATTATTTTAGTTATGGATAACTTTCTTGACTCTTAACCATATTTCTCAATAGTGCAACAATGGAATCTAATCAGTTATCAAATTTATCATCAATAGTATCACGTTTAGCTGGAAAATAATTGATCACATTCTTGTAATAGTAAACATGACAGTTGATTTACGTTATCACCATACTATATATCACCTAGATCTGATAGATAAAGCAGCAAAAATGTCCTAGATGACTTAATAAGTCTATCAGAGATTATAATTCCTTACCAGGCCCATTATATGAAACAAAACTGAAATTACTCGACCATTGCATCCACTCAGTATGTGGTAGCTTAGCTGGTGGGGCTTTGATATGTGTAATGTCAGCTGAGAGTGGGGTATCAGCTGACTGACAGAAGGGAAACACCCGCGTTACTGTTAACATCGGAGTTTTGTTGTAGAAGGCGCCAATTTTGGTTAAATAAGGACATTTGATTGAATTTTATGACCACCAAGACTTTCATTTTACTTTATAAATTCATGAGATATTTATCTACAGAGTAAAAGTAAAAAACAAATCAAGATTAAAAAAAAGCCTGAATATAATTTGAAATTTAATGTGACATATGACATAGTGCGTTACACGATTTTATTTGTTGTTAGAAAATGGTTCAGTACTAGGCAGCAACTGTTGAATATTCCTGCGAAAGATTGCAAACAGTAAGTACACTTACTTATGCTTTATAATATTTTTGTTTTCTTTTGTATTTTATTAAATTGTTTAATATTATCATTTCAAATATCACAGATTTTATAATACAAGGCATGTTACTGTGTGAACATGAAATATATATCTATGAACATAAAAAGAAATAGAAGAATGTAAAAGCCAAGAGAGAGGAAAGAGAGAATGATCGTGTAAATGCCGGACACTCAATACAAAAGATTTCGTGGGAGGCATGTAGCTACATGTATCGTATATAATAATTCTATTTTTTTGTGAATAACGTGGAGGAGTTTATATACCTCTTTAACGTCACTTTCACATTTGATATAAATCTCCTTTAATTTTTTGATAGACCTATAAACAATAAACTAACACATAACGATATAGTAAGTAAATAAACCTTCTGTTTTAAACGAAATATTGAATGTATTGATAAGATATTATTGTATTACACCGTCGTTGGATCGTTCAATTATTTCTACCCCAGTCCGGATGAAAGATAAATACCAATTAACTGTTGAATCCCGTAGGGCAGATAGTAACGTGATTTTATTGGAAATATCATCTTGCAATTGTTCAACAGAGAATTATAATCGGTTTTAAATAACGGTTTTTTACTGATTGTTTTAAATTAGTTTTTTCCATTAATTGTTTTCATTCCAAATAAATAGGTTGTTGATGATTAACCTGGTTTGTTAGTTTTTATCCATTGCTTTATTACAAAAGCAATAGATTATTGCTCACTGAAAATTACATTTAAAATGAATCACTTTTTTTTTATTTTCATTCTTTGATATTTCAACATTCACTTTGTTCTCTAAAGTAGATAACTTCTTAGAAAAAATCAGGTGTTTCTTAAATTATCTTTGCTTAATTAATAAACATAAGTCGTTCTAACATTTTTACTTGATAATAAGTAGATTAAGTACTTCAATAAACTGCAATTTCATGTAATACATCATTTTCAATAGCTTTCCTTTTATTTAGCAATGAACATATTCATAATTTTTTCAAAGAGCAGTTGATTAATTAAGAATAACTCATTTTATCAGAAACCAAAGGAAACCACAAAGATTCATTTAACGACATTTCACGAAAAATATGGTAGTCATGTTTACTTGACAAAAAAGAAATAAATGAGTAATCATTCTCGACTACACTACAAGACACAATATAGGAATAAATATTAACATGATTGTTACAAACAGGTTGTGATGAGGTAGACATTTTTATAGGTTTTTGTTTATGCTAAAGCTATTTAGTAAATAATCGGGCTATGTAACTCGTAAACAGAGCGCGATCATATGCTATATCTGCCGGCCAATTAACAACTAGGTCATATGCTTGTTTGCAAGAATTAGGAAAGGGAGTAGGCTTTTATTGGATAAATCTAACTCAAAGGCACAGTTTCTGTAGTAATCAGTATATGAAGTCTGAGCCACGAGACATCGATCGTTGTAGGTTGCGTGCAATAATGCTGTGGTGAGCTCTGGTATTCACAGACAATCGATTCGTGCTATCGTCAGATCTTGCTTGAATTTCGACGAAATTCGTATCTAATACCAGAGCAGGTATTTTTAGTTTGCATTCAATTCAAAAGGAAGAGCAATTTCGAAATGAAAAGAATAAAAAATATTTCTTCTATTATTATCATTGTTAACATTCTTGTTACTATTATCATTGTTGCTATAGAAATCATAAACGAATTGGTTTTTTCAGTTCATTAGTCAGTTATTATTTTTTTATTTTTATTTATATATTTTATAATTTTGCTACGAAGTGGAGCCTAGACATAATTTTTGTTATAGATTTTGATTTAATTCTTAGGTAGAATGTGACGACAGTTGTGTATATAATCAGCTTTTGGTGCAGTGTCCTTGAAATAAATTAAAAACTAAAATTAATTAAAATGTGACAGCCAAGTTACAAAAAATTTTCGATTAATTTTATTGAAACATGTGACCATTTTTTAATGATAAATTATGTATATTTTTGTTTATGAGCAAAAAAATTCATGTCTTTATCTCCTGAGAATACAAAACAACACGCGCTGGACAGTTCTGCACGAGCTCTGTCATGAAATCACTACATTCTATTTTAATTTTTTAATCTCCATGTTTATTTATTATTTCATTTAATTATATTATTATTGAAAAATAAGTTTGTCCCCTATTTTACATATTCAGTTCATGAAATTTTTATCAACAGAATAATATTTGAATTAAAAAAAATTTTCAATGTATTGGATTAAATAAATCATGATTCGAATAGACTCTTTAATGTCAATTTGGAATTTTTCTGAAGAAAAAGATTTTCCAACATTTCCTCGAGTGTCAAACGTACCAAAAAGAATGCACGAGCGGTGCTTATAAAGAAATGTTTTCAACTATACGTTTAGCTCGTCCGGGATATGACGATATCTCCCCTGCTAAGCCATAGGCGTAGATATAGCTGTTCACTTTGTCTATTCATAAGTCTCTTCTCTTGCATGTCCACATGTGCTTTGAGATTAATTTTCCATTTATTGATCAGACAAAATATTTAATTATTGCCAGGAGTAGAATTTAAAATTACATAGATGAAAATACAAGGATGTTTCGTTCAAAGGAGATGATAATAACATCCTTAATGGTTTTGGAAACCTAGAAATTTTTTTATAAGTATTTAATAAAAATTTTTGATAAAGCTATAGCTTTATCAGAAATTTTTTTTTTATCTTTAATCGTTGATGTGGTGTGATGATACTTTGATATTTTTTATTGATCAACAATAGTCCCAAATATTTAAATAGTATTTATAAAACAGTATTCCACGCATACTAAAAAAAATCTAAATAGAACTGATACAAGAATGCATGTAAAGAGAAATCTACGTGGAAATATAATTCTGTTGTCGCAACAGGTCGAAGATCTGTTCCTGCAGCAGTGTTGATTTCTGCAGTGTCTGCTGCAAAACTCTAGAAAATGGAGATAAATTGAATCTACAGTTATAATAAAAGCAATCTAGTACAATCACACATATTCACTTCAACTATAACAGCATTAAAAATAACTATAAGATTAAACTTACCATGCTGTATAGTAATCACATATTGCATCTACCTGGTCCATGATTAATAATTAATTTAAAATAATCTTGTCATCTTGGAATTCTATTTTTACTTTCAACTATGAAGATTTGATTGACATAAATTTGAATAAAGCTGTTATTGTATCCAAAGATCTTTATTATTCATCTGACTTACTTACATACATCTGACAAACTTATTTTGCTCCATCAACAGATGCTTCCTAGATGTGCAAAATAATCATGTTGCTAGAACAGACCTGGAATGACTCGATTTGCATTGAATTGTTTGCCATAAATGACCATCACGACATCCATAACTGTAAAAAAAGTAGGCCATTATTAAACTGTGAGACATTGCTATACTGTAGAACGGTATCATACCATCAAACATCATTCCAGGATAGATCATACATCTCAAATATCACAAGATTTTGAAGAGACATGTTCAGCATGACTAGCAAGTAATCATCTATTTAGTCCAAAAGTGAAGTTGATGCTGCCTTAGTGGGCAGTTGTCCTTACGTCAAATCTAAAACATGTAGAGTGAATTGGAATTCTTGTATAAAGTATTAGACTTTCTCTTCATAAATATTTTTAAGAGATAGTAAAAAAACGAAAAATAGAATAGACATTTTATGTTGTGGTTTATTGTGGGTGAATTGACTGAAATTTTTAACAGATATAAAAATTTAAAATTCAATAAAAACCAACATGAAAAAGGTTAAAGGAATAACACTCAATCTCTCTAGAGTAATGAATAGTATGCTGGAGCAAAAGCGAATAGGATCTCAATTGATTTGCTAGAATTAAAGCATAAAAAGGCTTTAATAGGCGTTGATCATCCTCGCCTACGATTTCCGACGATTATTCAATCATTGTTGTGTCTTTTCAAACCACATTAGAAAGGTGTAAAGAATGATTATGCTGATTCGTTCATCGAAAGTGATAACTTTGCTGTTAGTTTCAGTCATTTATTCACACTGTAAAAAAAAATTTACTCACATTTAATCATTAATTATTTTCATAGTAATTTATTTAATGTTCAATAAGGAAGAAATTATTTATTAACGAGAAAGAAAAAAAATAAAATGTTTTATATAAATATAAATAAGTTGTAACATCAGTTAATTCGTTTTAGTGAATACATTTAGATGAGGAAGTAAGCGAACCGTGAGAATTTCCGTAGCTTATAATAAATACAAACAATTTCTCATGAAATTTGCTCGGAAAATTGGCTAAATTTACTATGAATATACATACAAATGATAAAATTACATTTCCAAGCTTCTCAGTATCTTGATAAATATTTTAAAAATATATTTTATCATCCAACAAAAAATGTTTAATGATAATATGACATTTAGCAAGAAACTAAATAAGAGTAAAAGGTTTAGTTCCAAAATGAGACTAATTTCGTTTAGAGTGATTCTTAAATTTATTTTTAATTTAATAATATCAAATTATATAATTGAAAAGCATTTTGTAAATTAGTGAATTAATGTTGATGGTACTTTATAATTAGAATTGGTGAATATTTATATAAAATTGACTAGTGTATTTTTTTTATCTGAAGTATTACAGATATGAACTGTTCAACCAAGTGTAGATCCATCGTCACCACACATTATTTACAATTCAATAACCCACGCGTTATTCTATCCTTGAAATTATAAAAAGAAAAAAAAAGTGTTTCTATTTATAAAATAAATAATCAATCATGAACTGTGATAGTTCATTTTCCAATACTTGGAAACAATTAGCAAAGTTTGATATTTTTGAGTATTCAAATGGATGAAATAGCATTGATTTATCATCTTCTGTACTTAGGAAAATTAATTTATAATAATAATTGTTAATTCATACTACCCCTACTGGTTGGAATTATTTTAGAATTGTAAATTTTAATATGGAAATATGATGAACTATTTTACGGTAATTGAAATTGAATTAATTTCAATAATTATTTGCTTTTAAATTTTCATTATTTAATTATTTCATTCAATAATAATAAATAATAAATTAATTAATACGTTATAATTACAATAACTCATTTTTGATTGAGTTTATTATTTATTTCAAATAATGGAGATCTGATCCATAAAAATGTCAGTTTTGATCAATAATGCTGTTTCTTTTACTTATGAATTATATTTTTTTTCAATTATTTTCCATTATTTATCTTACATTTTATATTACTATCCTACATGTCTATTCCCCTATTGATTCGTTTCATTATCAACCTAATCAACGATTATATCTTTATTATTTTTCATTATATCATACTGGATGTTGTTGTAGATAGTCTCTGTCACAACTAATGGGAGGGATCCATTGATCCCTTTATCAATAGTGAAATTAAAGTGAAATTTATAGCTCAAATGGTCTTCCTGTTGGATCCTGTTATCTTCCAAATAAACCAATTAACTAATTAATTCATTATTTCAACAGTTAATTTAACTAAATATTTTTCTTTATTCACAATCACTTATACAACAGACATCAAAAGTCTCCAAGCACAATTACAATGCAATTGTTTGATTTTCTTTTTGCAACTTGTCTGCTGAATCAACAAAAATACTCTTTACAATGGAAGTGTACTTGAGAAAGAGATTATGTGCATATATTTTCTCATTTAGAAAGACTACATTAAACTTTTCGATATGAGCTGAGTCAGACCACATGCTAGGCTCTTTACTAGTCTCAGTGTGGGTCGTTGTCACCGCCATTCTGCTGTTGCATTTATACCTTCAAATATTCACATGGCTCAAACCTAGTAGGCTTCATCTACTAAATTTAAATCCAAGGAATTCTATCTCGTTAGAACAAAAAGACTCTAGCAAAAAAAAAACATGTCTAGCTATTTATGTAGACTGATAGATACCTCCAATACCCTAGAAGTCTCTAGAATGATCAAAATCATCAACATTTATTCTGCAATTGTTTATGAATTTTATATAGCAACATTTGAAATAAGAAACAGTCATCGCGCGCTTTTCCGATCTGCTTTTTCTCGCCATCTAAACGACGCAAGAGAAGCTCACTCGCCCCCATTGATTTTTCGACCTCGACATAGCTATGATGCCGTTCGTTGACCAAATAAGGGAATCACGCGCTTCCATCGCAATCATCAACAACCCCTCACTAACATCGCGATCATGGCCGCGCCTGCTTGCAACGGAAACCGTCGTTCCACTTGTTGACTCATTTCTTTTTGTTTATTTAATTGTTTTTTTAGCATGTGACACACCCGGATAGTCGTGGGCACTGGCCTGTGTCAAGAAAGGTGAGGGTGAAAAATGATTCCTTCTCGCGTCTGTGAATTTTTTTTTCTTTTAACTCTAGTGAGATATACTTTTTACTGTAATCGCATGCATTTCGTTTTATATGTTGATTACATAAACTTTTAAAGACTTTGAATTAAATAAGTTATGAGTGTGATTGCAATTATCATCATCAAATCATTTAGTTGTTGATAGACATTCTGTCAGGTGATGTTTTAATTTTAGTTAACAAGAAAAACATAACAGTATTGAATTGTTGTTCAACGCAAAAATTTATTAATCAATTTATTTTATTGGTGAAAATCAATTAGTTTGCAATTTTTTATTTATTTTTCCAATCTTTGATATAGTAGGTTGTTTATAGATTGTTGATACAAATTTTAGTAGCAATTCCTGTTAAAGGGTCTTTTTAAATGAAAGGTAACTCGTACCAGGAATCAATCGATTGTGTTGAATTAATTTTTAACATAAAGTTTTAAGAAGAACTGTAATTTGATATACTGTGGAAAAAAATTCAGTTGCTTGCGAAAATCATTCGATTGCGGAATTCCATTAAAGTGTTTTTTGGTGCTTGAGAATTCGCGTCTAAGTGCATATTTAAACTCTGATTTTCTCACATTAGAAACTGAATATTTATCCATTAGAATTCAATGATTGATTTATTTTTTATTATTTAAAAAATTATTTTATTCATCCAAGTACTTATTTCTTAAATAGAAATGATAGGTAGTTGACCTGCATCATGTCTTGGTCAGCATTAAAACCATTTCATGTAATATGATATTCTATAATGAATACTTTTACTATTTCCAATTGCTTTCTAAACTAAATTGAACGAAAAAAAAACAGAAATTATTATGAAATAAAAGCAAAATGAAGTGAGTTCAGTTTTCATTACTATGTAAATTATGAAATAAATAGATATCAGTTTCGCGCAATTTTTTTTCACGCTTCTGTCTTAGTTAAAGTTAATCACTTTTGTCCCCTTCCATCCGTTAGCAGCTGCCCCATGTTCAATCTGAATGACTGCACTTGGTTTCACGTGTGGACTCGTTCAGTGAACATTCAGTTTCGTTTCAGAAGCATTAAGATCATTATATCAAACACATACAATTCACAAGTCTTTTCATTATATACAATAGTACGTACAATAAAAAGAATTAATCCAATAAAAATAACATTTATTACAATACGTGAGAAGGCATTTTTTTTATTTAATGAAGATTAATAAATAAAGTAATTATTTCTTTTTTTCAGATGTCTATGAAAGTGTGAGCCTGTAAAAAAAGGAGCACAGAAAGCTAAGGATTTCTCAAAATGGGAAAACTCCTCAGCCTATTGGCTCGAGATGAGTCAACTTGCTGTACTCCACAAAAGTATGATGTTTTCCTAGACTTTGAAAGTAAGTATTTGCTAATAATTATTTTGAAAGAATAAATGATGTTAAATGATGAAACTTATTTGATTTAAATGCATTTTTCAGATGCCCAACCCTCGGATTTTGAGAGAGAAACGTTTGAAGCAGTACAACGTGTTTTGAAAAATTCAGAATCTATTCTAGAAGAAATTCAATGCTACAAAGGTGCTGGTAAAGAAATTCGTGAAGCTATTTCTGTGCCTACAGAAGAGTGCCAGCGCAAGGCGTACCTGACTGTTGTACCTCTCGTGGCTAAACTTAAAAGATTCTACGAATTTTCATTGGAACTAGGTATTTATTCATTCAATTTAATCCTATATTTCAGCCAATAAAGACATTTTTATCAATAGTTTGTAATTAAAAAAACAATCAACTATTTAAATTATAGTTGATGAACTCAGGTTCAGTAGTTATTGGTAAAAAAAATTCAATAATTCAATTCATGAAGCTCTGATGCACTTGTGCTTGCTTTGAGATGAATTGTTGAGTGAGTGAAACTTTACAGAAAAGTTATATACGTAATTTTGAATTACACTTGATATTAAATTATGGAAGAATCTTTCAAATGGATTATTAAGTAGATAAAATTTAATTAAATGAAATCAAAAAATTAATTCAGAATATTTAATATTAAATTCTATTTGAAAGATTTGTTGTAAATTTCTATATCTACTCAAATAATTCCCATTTACTTTTTATACTCTGTTATATTTTTTAATAAACATATGCATTGATGTCTTTGATTACAGAGCGCATTGTACCACAAATATTAGGTCAATTATGTTCCGGTAACTTATCTCCGATGCAACACCTTGAAACTCAACAAGCATTGGTAAAACAATTTGCTGAAATTCTTGAATTTGTCTTCAAGTTTGATGAACACAAAATGAAAACACCAGCCATTCAAAATGACTTTAGTTATTATCGAAGAACTTTAACAAAGGCAAAAGACAATCCTGAAAATGACTTGGTAGTTGGTAATGAACTCGCTAATCGTATGTCATTATTTTATGCCCATGCCACACCCATGTTACATGTTTTGAGTCACGCTACCATAACTTTTTTGATGGAGGTGAGTCTATAATATTCTCGCATTACGCATCTTCATCTTCCCAATGTAATGAATTAAAAGATGTCCTGTCATATTTTAGTTTATCGCTACCCTTTTATTTGTACTCGTATATCATTTATGATAATCAGTTCCATCGTTGATGATTAACATACTGCTGACACACCTTGTCATTGAAAACATATGATTTCAGAGAGAAGATATACCAAGAGAGAATATTACCGAGACTCTGGGCACAATGGCTAAAGTTTGTCTGAGGATGCTTGAAAATTCGTAAGTTTTATTATTTGTTAATTAATCCAATTATTATCAATATAAATGATTGAATTAATTGATAAATTATTTTCAATAAACAGTAGTTTATTGGCCCAATTCCAAAGAGAAGAAACACAACTGTTCGTATTAAGGGTAATGGTTGGTTTGGTCATTCTTTACGACCACGTTCATCCCCAAGGAGTTTTTGTTAAAGGTTCTAATGTCGATGTAAGTAACATTGCTCAGCAAAATAATAACATTATTGAAACTTGAATATTACAAACCTCTTGAATTGATAAATAAATTTACTTTTAATCGTCTTGAAACACCTTATTATTTTAATGGACATTAAATAACATATTTAATATCAATAAACACTCCATATTTATTGATCAATATGTCATAATAATATTACTAATTGATATGAGTAATGGATGATCATGCAATATTACTCAACTTTGTAAACACAAATTACAGGTTCAGAATAATTTTCATTGAATTATATATTTAATTATATGCATTATGGTATTATAAAATATTAAAATAATCACCAACAGAATATTAAGTAATAATAATGATATCACAAGAATAATTCAATTTACTAATGAGTATAAATGTTTATAGGTCAAGGGATGTGTTAAACTGCTGAAAGATCAACCTTCATGTAAAAGCGAAGGATTGCTGAATGCTTTAAAGTATACGACGAAACATTTGAATGAAGAAAATACACCGAAAAACATAAAAAATCTTTTAGCAGCATGATTACCGAAGCAGCGAGGTTGTTGCATCCGAAATTGAAGCATTTTAGCTCAGTACTGTACTCTTTTAATTATTTTCTTAAAAATATAGAACAATAAGGATAATAATGACAAAAAAAGTATCTATCATTGTGATGATTACGATAAAAAATTATGTAATTTATAACTGCCAATTGAATAATTTGAAAAATTAAATTCATAGAATGTGTAGATAGTTGGTGGAGATATCGGAAAAGTAGTTTTTATCAAACAAATTGTGAAACTATCGTGATCCTGACGATTAAGGGTATATATTTACTTTATGATTAACTGATTAAATCAATAAGTAATTATTATATTTCTTTTGCGAATTATAGTAGTTTTACGGAAAGTTTTCGAATTATATAAGAAATTAGATTGTGATTTTTCTGTCAAATCGATTGAAACAACATCATGACATTTGAAGAAATCAATTAAAGCTGCTCAAAGCAACAGTTAATTGAAAATATGGAATTCCTTTTAGTTTATCGATATCTAGTATGAGGTTCTCAAATTAAAAAAAGTATAATTGAATTGTAATCTATAAAACTATTATTGAACTTTTTTAATAAAATTTCTATCTAGATGAAAATACTCATAAAATTTGGAAATGTTTACTGTTGAGATAATAACGTTTAATTAAAACAAATATCTTGAATCTAATTGCATTTAAACAGATTAATTTTTGCAACTGAAAAATTAGTCGGACTAAATCAGGTTAATGTAGATGTAATAGAATAAATTAATCTTAAAAATCACACTCTGCTGAGTCTAACAAGATTAAACAATTATTCAATTAAATCATATTCACGTACTTTGTTGATTCAAATGAAACTAAGCTAATCAGAAAAATTTAATCAGACATTAAAATTTTATAATCAATAGAAGATGTGATTGAGCTAATGGAATATTTTATGAGATCAAAAAATTCGTTATCAATGATTTTCTACCAAAAAAAAGGTACACAGTTAAACTAATTCCCTTAGCTGGAAAAAAATATTGAATGACTCAAGGTATAGACTGAGAAAGATTTTGATGTCTTTGAGTTTATCTGATATTTTCAAAAACAGTTTGCAGTTTTTTACAAAGTAGAAATAAATATTATTCTATTCCATGTCATAGAATGCATATCATACTTCCTGCACGAATTGATTCTGAATACTATAACATAAATATTTTTTTAAAGTCATATTTTTACCAAAACATTTTATTTTATTTCCAAATAACTATAAAGTGGTATAACAATAATCATTTCTGTTAGAATTTTTTAATAAAAAAATTTATTTAAATTTAGGTACTGCCAGTAATAAGTGATAATTATGAATTGATTTTGCATCAATAAATAGTAGTAGAGAGGAAACGTGAAAGAAAATATTAATAGAAAAATAAATGATAGAAAGTAAATGATTAAGGCAACGATTGATGGTATTTTCAATTACTAAAAGAACTTGAATCTCTGAGTGGATCATTCTTTATATACAGATTTCAAATCAATCAATAAGAAGTATATTGAAGAAGAAAAAGAAAGCCAAAGATTTATGTATATTGTATATTTAATGAAAGTAGAGCACAAAATTACTGGTATTAGCATTAAGGTAATGATCTATTACTTATTTATGATATATCCAACTAGATTCATAAATGTGATTGATGCAATTGCGATAGATAAAATAAAAATTGTATCACAATACCGAAGAATTGAATAAATCTTTTACTGAATAATAATATAAAAGATATTCTTGTATTTTTATTTAATTCAAACATCCCCAATACACATAAATATTGTTAAAAATATTTATTATCCATTGTAATGTAATAAAACAAAGCAACTTAATCTCTTATCATTGACATGCAAAGAAAATATAAACAGTTAATTTAAAAAATATATCTGTTATTTATAACAATGCATAAATATTGTTCAATATAAAAAAGGAATTTGTAAATGAACGACAATGTGATCATTTATATTATCGATTGTTTCGTGTAAATTTTTCATTATTTAAATATATAATAACGAAGAAGGTTGTTTCGTCATAACTGGTTCCTCATCTGATGAAGATGATTGCGATGAAGACGATGATGATGATGATGATGATGATGACATGCCATCATTAGATGCCATTTTAGGTACTGATTGTGATTGTTTTGGCACATCTGGTTGAGTATCATCATCTTCTTCAGCAGATTTTAGAGGAGTAAATTTGAATTTCATTTGAGATACTTTTTTAGGTTTTATTAAACCAGTAGGCAGTTGTACATAATTGTGCTGATTCAATTGTGTGTAACCAGGAGCAAATTTACCATCTTTAATTGCATTGTAGTCAAAATCATCCATAACTTCAAATTCTGTCGGAGAAATTTGTTTCATAATAAGTGGTTCGTATGAGTCTGCATAATCTCGCAACATGATAGCTATGTGATATTTATTCTATCTAATAATACTATAAAACTGATTTTTTTTTACATTCGAAATTTTAATTTACTTAATTATCAATGATTTTTTAAGTTTTTGATAAAAAAGATACGCATGTAAACCTTTATTTAAATGAGTCAGGAAATAGTCACGGATGCCTTCTAAGGAAGTAAGAATGATTGCATAAAAATTATCATTATTCACAAAAATTCCTAAGTACATTTCGAGTCAATATACCATATGTTATTATATTATATGATTGTTATGCTCAATAACCACCTACGTATGCATCAGGTGCGGGTGGTTCTACCTTTCAGTCATTCACTGAACATGAAATGTCAAGTTTCCACTTCCTTCAGTGATTTAAATCACCACTCTGATAATAGTAATTTTTCAATAAGTCAACTGTATATTCTAGAAACAATATAATCAGTAATACTATTTTAACTGCTTTAAACTATCAAATGCTACTTAACTACAATTGCAAAACAGTAAATTTGTATGATAAAATGGCATCTCTAAAAAAGCAGAAACATTCTAAATACATTCTTATATATTTTTTAATAAAAAAATAAAATCATACCCATCTATAATTATCAGTAAATTGTTAGATATTATTTATCCAATTTAATAGAAACTATTTTAAAACTGTGAGTAAGTTGTTAATTAATAAAAAAGAATTATTTCACCACAGTCTTTCATGATAAAAAAATAAAATATTTTAGCAAGTTGGATGGTGTTTATGACGATGGGTTGTTACTTTAATGGATTAATGAAGTAATTATAAATCATAAAAAAGTTGTCAAGCTGTACGTGACTATGCTATATCCATCGCAGTCACTTAACTTTCATTCTTTATGATCTCAATGTTGTCACTGAATGTCGAGAGACTTTTCTAGTCTAGTAACTAGAGATCCAGGAAGAAGAAAGATTCTTCACCGATAATGAATAGGCAACTTTAATGGTTGACTCTTATTCCTTGTATCTTATGTCCATTTACATATAAATTCATGTGAATATACTTTTGTATATGTGTGTATGTACTGAGGTACGTACAGTATGTAACATAAAGATGTATACAAACGAGAGAAAAGTACGTACACGTGGGCTGAGTTCCGGTTGCGTTACGTATCTGCAAACTCGACTCTGCCTCAGCCTGGGGACCACTGGGGACCTATCTGAACGGTGTGCCCCTAAGAAACGGGACTTTCAGTTTCTTTTAGTGAACCGCGTGTGCAAGACCGAGCGCGCAACGACGCGCGAGTACGCGCGTGAAAGTTTCGCCTCGAAGAAGCAGTTTTCTGAAATAGGTACTTACATGGAACCGGCATATTAACTTAAAACATTATTTGCGAAATTGTTTCTAGATTTTCCTTATTACTAAATTCTTGTTTATTTAGAATTTTTTTCAAGCGGAAGTGGTAATATCGAAAATGATCTAAGTCCATTTCACAATTTATTTACCTACTTATCAATCATTTTCAATTCATTTCAGTACAGTATTTATTTTAATTCAACAACTGTGATGATACTCTAAAATTCTAATGAATGAAATATTACAAAATATTTTATTCAAAGATTCTTTATTGTTATGATATAATAAAAATAGTTACCTCCTTATTAGTAACAAAGTTTTTGAGTTTGGGAATTGATTCTCTTATTCATTGGGTAATTGTAGTTTGTCAATTAACAAGTTTTGCATGCGAGAAGTACTTCTTGTGAAAAATTGCACTTATTGTTTCAGTAAATTTACATTTTGCATTATTCATCATTGAAGAAGAATTTGTATTCACAACTTCTGTAAAACATTCTTACTTGAGTGGATGTGTTTTTCTTCGTGCTAAAATCAATTTAAATGTCCTAAATCTAGTATAAATAATACCAAATTATCGAACTGTTATATATGGATATATATCATGTTGAAGGTTTGTATGAAAATTCAAAGTTTCAACAAAAATTGGCTTAACAATTGGCTTTACATCAATTTGGATTTATTAATTGGCATTAAATATTTATTTATTAACTATAAGCTTCTTTAGAGCTAGTAAAAATGACATTCTTGAGCAAAAAAAATCCAAGCCGTTTTTTGTCTACGTTTTTTTTTCAATTTCTAATAAATCATTGATAAAACTGAACCGCTTTGGACATTATTGAAAAAGCTCTTGTATTACGTCAACTTTTTTTTTAATTGTTTTCAATAATAATAAGGAATTTGCAGTTAGAAACAGTCTGATAGCGTCATACAATTCTCTACAGAAAACACACAAAAAGAATGCTCTCTCTTTTAAAAAAAATTATTGTTTGGTAAAAAGACATTTGAAAATCAATTACATTTAAAATATGACATATTTCGTAATCACCATCTTTTACAACAATGCGCTTTTCTCTTTATTTTATTTCTGTCTCAAAGTTTCCTTTTTTTTACAAATTGTTGTGACGAAAAACATAATTTTTTATTGTCTTTATTCTCTACATAAACTACTTTTTCAAATATACAACTATTGAGACATTTACTTAGACTGTGGTTTAAAAAAAAATTGGGAAAAATTTCATTTCTTTTTGTTTGAGAAATTAAATGCTCATCGTTTTGGAGTAAAGATGTTTTTAGAGCAATCATTCTTTTGGAGTAATAATTAAAAAGTAATCATTGAATTCAATTGAATTCACTTCTTCATGCCTACCTGAAAAATTCCATGTATTCTTCTATCATTAATTTGCTTTCGATATTTTGCACAAAGGCAGTTCCCATAACTGGGAGATTACATTAATTGGCTAAATCCAAACGATGCCAATGGTTTTTATTAATGTATTGTGAGGGTCATTGAAAATCCGATAAAAATAATTATTGTCCTCAATTTCTGCAGTTAACAATGGCACGTACAGGTGCCACTGTAGCCACATGCTATGTAAATTTGTGTTGCCTTTACCTCGATGACTCTTTCATCAAGTATCCAAGCACGTAGTCGTCTCTTTGTACTCGTTGACGCAATAGCAGGGATCGCTCCTTGAATATGACACTGTAAACTCACACAAGTACATTGATATCACGAGTGTTCATAGAAGTTAGAACTTTGGCAGTTAATTATATTGTGAAACATGCAATTACCTGACTTAGCATTGTCTTTTATATACATTTATTTATGATAATCCAATAATTTTTATCGTGCGAGTTTAAAATCTATTCGGGTGTGATCTCACTGTAAGTAATCAATAACTCACTTAGCTTTCTCCAAAGTTTCTGACACATTTCTTTCATTTATCTTTCGCTTATGATGCCGGTATTCCTACTCTCTCCTCTCATCCCATCTCGTTTACATGGACGTATTTACTGAGTCAAATTCACTTCGTGACTAAAGATAAATACGACAATGAAAGTTTAAATAAGAAAGATCTTTTTTTTTGATAAAAAATATTACTCTCTTTAAATCTTTCGTAATCAATTTATTTATATGTCGATTATAAATAATTGGTTTATTTTTAATTAAATTTTCATCTTTTTAATTAGCACTTAATTATTAGCAGTTTTGATGCTACTTTAATTTCTTCCCATCATTCATCCATTTTTTGCTTTTCTTCTTTTTTGATGGATATTTGTTGCGTCAATAATTACATGGATCTGAAAAAATGGCTTATGATTTTTCCAAAAGGCATGGCGCCAGAATCATAAGCAATCATAATGCTTAATAAACGCCGTGTCTTCTTTTGCCAGACAAGGACGTCCCTGACTTGTGCGACCATGTCGCAGTGTTCGAGTGAAAGTTTGTAAATCAAATATTTTACTGGAGCTTACTGAGTGTAGAATTGATTTATTCAAGAGAAAAACATTCATTTCTTTTATCATTTATATTATTTAATAATAAATTTATTTACTCTTATTGTTGATTTCAATGAAAGATAAGAATAGTCTTGTGTATTGAGATTACTTAGGCGTGTAATGTTGTTACATGAAATACAATTGATTAATTATGTTTTTTTATAATGAAAGTTAATTGGAAAAGTAAAAGTAAACACTTATGTTAATAAATTATTTTAGAAATCACTAATAAGGAAATGTTAATATTCTATAGCATTCCTAAAACTATAGCTAATCAAATTTCTTTGGTGGTTTGATTGCAAGTAAATATGATATCCTATATGCCCCCGGTTTGTATTTCAGTTATTTTTTATTTCTTTGCTCTACATACATACGATAAAATATACCATAGTGTCTTTATTTGTTGCAATGATAAGAATAATTTTTTATTTAATATTTAAATTAAAATGTAATCATCGACAGATATATGTATATGAATATATTTATTGAATTCAACTCGCTTACTACATTAAAGTTTTTTGAATTATTTAAATGTTGAATATTTTATATCGATTAAAACAAGTTAAAAAAAAATAAAGCTACTTTTATTTTTAATTATTTCAGTGTCAATTTTAAAAAGCCAGTTCATAAATAATTTTTTTCTTGATGTTTTAAAAATGAAAATAAAAAATAAACAGTTCCTTCGAATTTTTATGTCACTTTTTTCTCGAAAAAATGAGCAAAGGTGTAATTTTCCAAAATTTATTCTATCTCATTTATTCTTAATGGTTTTTTAAATGACTAAATATATTTTGTTTAATAACCAGCAATTTGTAATGTACACTAATGAGCTTTTTAACTTAGAATTTTCAAGTCATATATAATAAACTAGTAATTTGTCAGTTAATGAGATACATTTGATTAATGAAAAAAATCACCTAATTAGATGAAAACCTATAATAAAAATACCTTTTTTTATTGATTTTAAGAAATTAATGAAATTAAACGATGCCACAATAATAATTTACAATCGTATAATTCACTAATCACACTTGAACTATTTCTAATACCATTTTTAAAATAATCAATGATTTACTAATATTTCAGTGTATAAATATTTTTCAACATTTTTTTTTTTATGGTATGGTATAAAAATTTAAATAATTAGTTTAGTTTTTGCTGTTGTTTGATAAATAAATAACATTCCGCTATAATGCAAAAATTTCTTTTGAAGGTTAGGATAATAAAACAATTAAACAGAGGGCGCACTTATCTAATATCACCACATAACCCCACTCTCTCTTATTAGCATTATCGACTATCAATGTATAATCGATTTCCATCATAAAAAGACTTCAAAAGCCGTACTCAAAAATCGTTGAACAGCATATTATTTTAATTTTTGTTCCGAAAAAATTCCAGGATACTTCTGATATCAAAATTTAATTGCTTTTATTGTAATATCGATTTCATATTGAAATCTCGAAATATTTGGGGAAATTTTTCTTGGTATTACAGTGTTTACATTGTACTTATTCAATTGATAGTCTGATCATTCAGCCATGAAAAATCTCCATATTTAATTGACTAAAGTAAGTGATCGTTTATTTATGTAAATATTACCTTTCGTTCCCAAGTTCCTTAATAAATAGAATTATAAAAGAAAACGAGCCCCAAGTTATTGTGTCTCTGAATATCATTAACTTTTAGATTGAATATAACTGCCCTCTGACAACAATCGAATATCATGTGAGTCAACGAGGATAAACTGCATATTTAAAAGAAGTGAAAGTCGCGATATTTTCACGCCTCGGACTTTTGCCCGGACAACGACGATGTATCTTCGAAGATATTTCGACCCATTCGACCTTGCGGGGCGCCGATGGACCTCATTGATTTTTCTCCCAAAGTTATTTTTGTATACGCGTGAGTACGCAATCGAATGCCATAGTACTGGAGTGGGATTAAAAAGAAACAAAAGTTCTGACGTTTGCTATTTATTCTCTCATCGAATAATCATATCTTGATCATATATATATATATATATGTATATTGTACAATGCATTATTCACACGTTTATTTCAAACTTACATTGATTGTGACTTCAAGTGAAAGTTGAGGTAGAACGTGACAAAGTCCACGGGACTCTTAACGATTTATAGATTCCTTTACAAGATTGACACTTTGATTTAACTAAAATTCTCTACGATAACGATCAACAACATGAACTGACATTCAGTTTGCTCGGAAAACATCAAGTTATGCGCTCTTAATTAATGCAGCACTCAACTTACTTTATTTTTATTAACTCTATTATCATTTAACTATATTCTAAAACAATAGAATTTCCTGCAATGGCCAATGGCTTATGTAAAGCAACTTATTGAAGAAATTCATTTCTAAATTACTAGTGACTTGCATAATCAAATTAATAATTTAGATAAAGGTTTTGTTAGATAATTTCAAATTGGGCATACAAAAAATAATGAAATAATATTCCTGATCTTTTTCAGATCTATTTAACCAGTTTAGAATAAATTGATTCAAACTATTTGGAGTTCAATATAAGCTGAGATTCATTTTGTGAAACAAGATATAATGATAAATTATCAACCTGAACCAAATGATCATTTAAGTCACGTTAGAAAATGAGAAGGAAAGAGGATGTATATTACTTGTTATATAACTTTCTCCAAGTCATGGTGTTAATTCTTATTTGGAACTTAAAGATCTTAAAGAAGGATTTAAAGATATAGCAGTGATTTAATCACAAGTAAATCTTGGTGCACAATAATATTCGTTGATTTTACTTCCTTGAATTATGTATAGAATATTCTTTCAATTAAACCAGCATTGGCCTATTTTTATCATCATTACAACTTGTTTATGGATTAGTCTAAAATGAAATATTTTTCTTAATGAATATTCTATGAGTTTATTTAAAAAAACGACAAGCAGATTTATATTGTAGCCTGGACCAAGTAAGCTCATTTCAGACGCCCACAGGCTTAAGTATGGCAATGAATTTAATGATGACGAATTAATCCGTAATAACAGTAATGCAAAAAAGTATTTTAATGACAGTCTATGCAATCTCAGAGATGAAAAATGAGAGTGTCAAATGACACTTGTGATTATCACCAGTTTATCGAATGAAAAATTACTTAATCGATCAATCTGGTGTGTTATTACTTTAGTGTTACCCTAGATATGGTGGAGTAACTATATGATCACGTAATTCAATGCAATCGACCTTGATCACGAACGCGAAAACGTCAGTAATACCCCTCACTATTACGTCTCGGTCAGAGTTTCTTTGCAGATTTGGACTTTCGAGAGTGTATAACCAGGTGACTACTGTAACGAGTTTTCGCCTGGATATCTCAAGTTACTGGTGACCATGCAGACGGCCTTTGCCAAATACTCTCGCGCCCATCGGCATTCCTCAGCTATACACACCGTAATAACGTAAACATCACCAGTATAAGTTAACGTGAAAGTACGCATACCTAACGGCTGGATCCCGATTAAATTTATTGTATATATTAATGCTGTACACATGTGGTTCTCTTGATGTATCCTCACATGGTCATCATTGTTTTATGTTCATGCATGGTGAAAATATTATCGTGGAATTCATCACCAAGGCAAATGGAGTTTATAGACTTTCTTTTGGTATTATAAAAATTTTTATGATAATTATTATAAACAACATTTACCATTTATTATTGATTTTTTTTTTTGTGAAAATGACAGTTATTTTTGACATCATTTTGAATTTATGTTTTGATTTTATTGAGAAAAATTTACTTGATTTATTTTTCTTTGTTTTTAAATGATTTTTTTAATGGTTTTGCAGAATGTCAAAAGCAGATTGGAAAAATAATTTAATGGTTTATGAGGTAATTATTTTGAAATGGAGGAAATTAATGTTTTAAGATTAATTAAACTGTCTATGATACCAAAAATATATGTCCGGAACGAAAATATCCCAAGATCATTGTTCAAAAGCGAATAATTTTACACCAGTTACACCATAATTAATTTCATTTCATTCAATTATCTCTGAACTTCAGGGTCATTATTGTGTTTTATTGTTTCTCATAGAAATAATTTTCTTCATATTGCGGCACAATAAGTATTCTCATGAATTGTTAAAACAGGAAGCTATATTTATTGTATTCATCTAATAAAATTTCCTCAGGATTTAAAAAAATTCTGCTTTCATAATGTTGTCAAGGTAACAATTATTCTATTATTACAAAAAAAATTTATTTCATTTCTTTCTTTTCATTTCAGAAAATTTATTACCTCATTTTCATCATAAACAGTGATTTAGACTGATTGAAAAATGGATAATAAAATAATCCTCCTTGTGGTGTTATTAGATCACTCTTTAAAGTTCTTCAAAGAAGAGTTGTAAGTAATACAACATCTGCATAAGAGTAAGCAATGAATAAAAAACAGATAAAATTTTCATTCGTTATTTTCTCTTCATGAGTATAAATACGAGTGGTAATAAAAGTCATCACTTGGGTCTTTCAAAACATATCAAGTATATTTCGTAATTGTTTCTCATAGCCTCGTCGATATCATGCGCAACAATAATTAATGTTCACTCATTTTGGTTATCGGCATGGAGTAGCGAGGAACCATGCCGTTTTCAGTTTCTCACTATATATACTTAATTGCTACTTATGTTGCACTTGAAGCAGTCGCGCGATATCTCTCGAATCCCACAATTATCCCTCCAATCGCATCAACCAATTACCCATCCCTGGTCTCAACAATTCGTCATATAATAATTAGCGATGGCAAAACATTGTGCAGCTCCAGCAAGTCATTAGAGGTCGTTTATTTCCCAACATGATACATAAGCTACTGATTATTAAACTAATCAATTGTCTCCTTTCTCTTCTTTATTTACCGCTTATTTCATTGTGAATACATAGTCACTATTCTTTCATTAATTACAGCAGCGAGATAAAAAAAGAGTGGATCAAGGAAACACGACGAATACGAGGAAGTTCCGACACACATGAGACAAAAGAAACTAAGCCTGTCGATAATGATAGGCTGCATGTTGTTGATGACAGTCTACTTCAGGCAATAGTTGGCAGCAAAAGAATGCCGTGGTGGATTTTGGCACATGATGAGAATACATTTTATTTATGTAAATGGTTTATAGTGTTACTTCATAAAGTACAAAAACCATCGTGGTGTATGGAGGAATGCCCCGGTGTAACAAGACAGCGCAGATCGCTAGCCAGTCCGCCAATAGTGGAAACGGCTTAGCGCCACAGCATCATCGAGACTATCACCGCTATGATGTTGAGTGGTGAGCCAAGAATACTATTTGTACGATAGTGAGATATAAATCTACTAGCTACTGGGTTTCTTCCTTTCACTTTTAGAGTTTAACATCTAACGGATTTAGACTTTTGTAATATTAAATATTAAGGACGAATTTGAAAATTTACATTGGGAAGTTGTTAAGGTCATTTTACACCTATTAATAAAATATTTGTCTTCTTTTCTTAATTACTCTATTTAAAATTACAATAATTAATCTTATTTAATTCTTTTCTCTTAACTGTAGCGAAAAATGATAAATAATATTTTATTAAATTTTTTTACAAGTTTCTATCAATACATTTAAGTATAAATAATTATTTTTACATTGTTATTGATTCACTAAAGATTGTTATAACTTAATGTATAGTTAGAATTATATAGTGAAAAAAATAATTTATGCAATAAGAAGTCAAAGAGTTGATAAAAAAAGAGACAAAAATTATGAACAAAAAAGAGCAAATTTAACTGGAGTCCCACTTGTGAATAATTATTAAGAATATAAAACTAATTAAACGTTGCCACAAAACTATTAAATGTGTTAATAAGAAGTTTGTTGTTGAAAAAGATTCGTTTTGGAGCACTATAAAATTGTTTACTCCAAAAACTGTATATGGATTATTATATTTTTTTTAAACTTAATTTTTATTAACAAGAATATAAAAAGACCTAATTAGTTCAAGTTCAGTTGAGGTATTCTTTCTAGCTCATGAAAATCTTGTTTTTAAAATTACATTATTTCATGCTAAATTCACAATGTGAGTTGAGTTGCTGTAATTTCAGACTCGTGTAAACCTAATTGGCTAAACCTTTTCTCTTAAGGTCAAACACCATTTTAATGGTCTCACTATTTAGAGATTAATTTACATTTAAAAAAAATATATATATATAAATAACAATTTAATGGATATTAATAAATTTTTTTTATATCTGTTTTTATTTATCAAATGAAAAATACTTTTTTTCAATGAATGATTCAATAGAAAAAACAGATATTTATATCAAGAATACCAAAGGAAACCCAAAGCATAATAAAATTTCGTAATGATTTTTTATTTATAAAATATGACATAATTTATGTCGATTTTCAATACCGATAATGATGTTGAAATCAAAGATTGATTTATAAATGGTGAAAATAAAGAAAGGTACATATAATTATACCTTTTGTGATTATGTCTTAACGAATTATTAAATACTTTGATTGATAAATCACTGCAGCTTAGTTTTTTTATCCAAGAATTTATACAAATTATTTCAAAGGCAATTAATTAATCATTAATTAAATATTCAATTTACTTAAATAATTTCAAATGAAGCAATTGTAATAAATATTCAAAATTTTTAAATTGTAAATACTTAAGTATGATAACAAATTAATTAAATGTTAAGAAAGCATTCAAGACTTGAATCTTATAACACCTTATAATGATGATGGTTCTATTACGTTAACATTTGATAATAAAAATACAAAAAGCCTCCTACAGTAATTTTTCAATTGTTTATCTTAAATAATACATTAAGCAATGATGAACAAATTTTTGAAATGATCAATTCATACAAGAACCTTAAACACTAATCTATTATAAACCATATTCAGCATAAAGAATTTCGTACAAAGTATCAAAAGAAAAAAGATGAAGCCATTGAAGTATCTGATTTTCTAATCCGTTGATCATTAATTTGCGTTTGTAGGTCAGAGCAGGAGGCAATAGATGCGGAAGTGTCCCAATTGGTAAGCGGAGGCGCGGCTGCCCTTCGTAATCCGAAGAGATGGCGCAATTCTACGAGTTCCGGGTATTCAAGTCACTCGCCGCCACTCTCTGCTGGGTCCTACTCTACGTGCTGCGCGTCAGTCCTCCGAAATTCTGCGGCGGGAACACTTGGTACCGAGGCAGCTCTTGGACTAGCTGTAATTCACGAAGCCGAGGCAATACCTCGACCTATTTGGCCTTGCACATCCGTTGATCCGCGAGATTTACACTTGGTTGGTTGCGAGGCTCTTGACTGCGAGGGCTTATCTGCCAGTTGCAGTTACGAACGCGCTTACACGTACGCGAGTCGCTGTCGCAATGCTTGGCGAGACTGCCAGTCTTCTGCCCCCACGGCTCAAGACGTCCTCTTCGAGCTCTCGCGGACCCTCAACTCCGTCATTGACGGTGAGAGCGGCATGACGCCTGAAGAGATTCTTCGTGACATTTCTCGAACTGTGCAAAAGGGTATTGAAGCAAACAATGGTACTGCATCAACTGGTATATCTGAAGAACACATCTATCGGCTCTCTTCTTCATCATCAAGTGCAATAGGAAAAGACTCGGTGGCTGTTAATCCAGTTAATCTTAAATTGTACGGCAAATCTGGATACTCCAACGTTCCTGCAACATTTTTTAGACCAACATACCAGTGTCTTCATGAAGGGAAAACTCTTCTTGTTCATTCTTTATCCAAGGTTGATGAGGATCAGCGCCCTAAGAAAGATCAATGCCACCAGCGCATTCCTGCTGTATTTCTTGTACCTCGTTGTAATGCTGTTCATTCGTCGACTCTTTTCAATTGTGGTATTAAAAGTGTTAAGAATACTAATGATAAAGATGGTGGTGTTGGTAGACTGATTGAAAATCATAATCATTTTGAGGATAAAAATAAACGTACTATTAGACTTGAGAGTGCACCTACCAAAACTTGTTATACTTCTGGAGAACCTGTTTACTCGACGGTGAATATTTACTATTGCAAATTTATTTCATTACTATATTGAGAGCTATTTTTTTTTTTTATTATATTTAAAGCTTACAACAATGATTTCAATCATTTTGAATCAGTATAATAATAAGTTAAGTCATATTTGATGAATTCAACTTTCACTCTCAAAAATTTATTTAATAAAACGTGTTTTTAAACAATAAATTCATTTTACTGTATTATATGAAAAAAAGAAAAAGTTTTTTGAAACAATCCTTTGGATTTATTAACTACTTGCTTTATAAAATCCTTATTCAAAAATGCTATACATACAATAGTTCATTTCTTCAAAATATTTTTAATATTTTCATTAACAAAACAGTTTTTTTTTACATAATATGAATGACTATTCTTTGAACAAAGTATACATATTTAAAAAATGAATCATGAATGAGACTCTTCTATGTAATAAATATATGCATACTTTTTTTAATGAAAAGTAATGAAAGTAAAAGTATCGATGTATCACATAATAAATATAAATATTAATGTCTTAGAAATTATCATACTTTGAAATGAAGAAATTTGAAATTTTAAATGAACATTCCTAAAAGCTATCTTATAAATTTGTCATAGCAAGTGTCAATTTAGCTGTTGAGATTTTTTTTCAAGTATAATCAATTAACTAGTATCTTTATATCCTAGTATATCGATCAATTAATGAGTGAATCTGTTCCAGCAGCTAGATCCCAGTGATGAGAGTTCTTCTTACGGAGCAGTTGGAGAATCATCTGAAAAAGTTAACTGGAATCAAGGCATTACAGTCTTCAATAAAAGTCTAGATTTCACATTAGATGGTACTCGAGCTGAAATACTAGGTCGCATAATTGCTCGAGCCAAACGTAGACGTCAATGGTGTCGTGCTCTGACTACTATCCTAGGCCTAGTCTTCTTTATTTTAAGTGTTGTCATTGTTTCCATGTCCATTACTCGAGGACGAAAAATATTTGGAAGTATGTAAACTTGATCTATTAAAAGATCTAAGAGATATTACATAGTTTATCATTTTAAAAACCAGTTTAATTTGACTCATAAATTATAAAATTACACAATAGTGTTATGGTGAAGAAAAAAACCAACTATCACTATTTTTGTGAAAGATATTAAATTATAAATGTATCTCTATAATGAGTAGATAAGTAAATAGATAATTATTATTAATTAGATAATATAAATTTATTTTTTTTTCTGCAGAAGACAGTTTTTCTAAACTGATACTTCAGCCATATGTATTTCATGGTACCTTATATTATAAAATAAGATGTGCAAGATTAAAACACAGTAAAAAAATTTGTCTCAACATACATAAAAAAATACACTATATATTAATTTTATTAGATGACTATTGATATTAAAATTACAATAAAAACTGTCATCATTCGATGATTACTCTAATGAAAGTTCAAAGAAATGGCTGCCTATTGGCATACAAATCGATTTATAATGAAAAATCGTTCCTGATAATAATCTTTTTTTTTTTCTATTAAGAACTCGACATAATTTTAATACATTAATGTACTGATTGAATGTAAGCTAAAGTTGACGTAATATTTTTCATTGTGTGCCTCAATGTTGGTAAATTTGTATTAGCATTGTTACTTAAACGTTACTTGAATAAGAAAGCAATATAATCAATCGATTATCATTCTTGGGATAACTCTATTTAGAATAATATTAAAATCTAACGTTTGAAAAATTTCTAGGTAAAAAAAATAGATAAATACCTAGCTCATTGACCATTAATATTGGTAGGTCTTATTTTATACTTTAGAACTAATTAAAATGTATTTCAATTCAGGGTTATCTCAAAATAATAATGAAAATAACACAAGTTTTTTTGCTGTGTTGGTAATCATTGCTAAGCAATATAATGGCTGTGACCATGTCGTTTGCATTTCTATGTAATGTATTTCAACTCCAACTTATTAAATATATGTCTTTTAATTCGTCAAATATCAATTTTTATTTATGTAATGGTTAAAATGACATTATTATGATACTTAAACTTTAAGCCAACTATTAAATTTATTGAATATACTGAACATTCCCACATAAATATTTGCGCATGCGCTTTAATTTAATAACTTGTCAGTGTTGTTGCTGACATCAGTACCAGAAAAAGAAGACCAGTATAGAAGTTCAGTCCATATGGGAGCTAAGAAATGCAGTCTACATTCATAAAAATGTCCGCAAGATGGCACGCCAACCCGACATCTAACAATGACTATAATCACTTCTATTGCCGTCGGATTAAATAAGTTCAACATGATTTCACGACCCATGTGCAATTGCGGAAAGTTTACGAGAGATATTAATCACATTTTCTGGCAGTGCCAAAGTTTTAATGTAGTAACGGAGTGCCTTATAAAAGATTTATAAAAGTTAAAGTGTTTACTCATAGATCGTGAGTTATAAGCGAAAAACAAGGTTATGCTCCAATAAAACATAAAAAAATCTTTAAACGCTCATAACTCGAAAACTAAGCGAGATACGGCATTTTTGACGGGGATATCCTATAGGGGGGACCCAATTTATTACTTAGGTCCAGATCTTTCATATGAGTCGGTGATCAACCCCGTAGCATTATTTGCATAGAAGTTATGCACATTTTTATGTTTTACAGTTTTTCGAGAATATCTCTCGATTTTACTAACCAAATATAGTCGACAGCCAGTGTTTGGAAATCGTCTCGTCCCCGTCTTCCCAATGACATCCTAAATTTTATGATCCAAGCATAAATACGCTTTTTAGCTATTTTTGAGGTTAGGAAGAGAAATTTTCTGATCTTGGAAATCGAGGGTTACTTTGTACATTCCGATTCTCTGAAATTCGGCCTTAAATAATAATTCATTTAAATAACCCTAAAACCGGAAATGGCTATAATTTTAGCATAAATTATGGCCGGATCATAATTTTGACTATATCAATGGGAAGCTCTTGCTCTCAGGAATCCATTAATATACTTGTAATCTATGTACCTCTCATAGATCGTGAGTTATGGGCGAAAAACGAAGCTATGCTCCAATAAAACATAAGAAAATCTTTAAACGCTCATAACTCGAAAACTAAGCGAGATACGGCATTTTTGACGGGGATATCCTATAGGGGGGACCCAATTTATTACTTAGGTCCAGATCTTTCATATGAGTCGGTGATCAACCCCGTAGCATTATTTGCATAGAAGTTATGCACATTTTTATGTTTTACAGTTTTTCGAGAATATCTCTGAATTTTACTTACCAAATATAGTCGACAGCCAGTGTTTGGAAATCGTCTCGTCCCCGGCTTCCCAATGACATCCTAAATTTTATGATCCAAGCATAAATACGCTTTTTAGCTATTTTTGAGGTTAGGAAGAGAAATTTTCTGATCTTGGAAATCGAGGGTTACTTTGTACATTCCGATTCTCTGAAATTCGGCCTTAAATAATAATTCATTTAAATAACCCTAAAACCGGAAATGGCTATAATTTTAGCATAAATTATGGCCGGATCATAATTTTGACTATATCAATGGGAAGCTCTTGCTCTCAGGAATCCATTAATATACTTGTAATCTATGTACCTCTCATAGATCGTGAGTTATAGGGCGAAAAACGAAGGTTATGCTCCAATAAAACATAAAAAAATCTTTAAACGCTCATAACTCGAAAACTAAGCGAGATACGGCATTTTTGACGGGGATATCCTATAGGGGGGACCCAATTTATTACTTAGGTCCAGATCTTTCATATGAGTCGGTGATCAACCCCGTAGCATTATTTGCATAGAAGTTATGCACATTTTTATGTTTTACAGTTTTTCGAGAATATCTCTGAATTTTACTTACCAAATATAGTCGACAGCCAGTGTTTGGAAATCGTCTCGTCCCCGTCTTCCCAATGACATCCTAAATTTTATGATCCAAGCATAAATACGCTTTTTAGCTATTTTTGAGGTTAGGAAGAGAAATTTTCTGATCTTGGAAATCGAGGGTTACTTTGTACATTCCGATTCTCTGAAATTCGGCCTTAAATAATAATTCATTTAAATAACCCTAAAACCGGAAATGGCTATAATTTTAGCATAAATTATGGCCGGATCATAATTTTGACTATATCAATGGGAAGCTCTTGCTCTCAGGAATCCATTAATATACTTGTAATCTATGTACCTCTCATAGATCGTGAGTTATAGGCGAAAAACAAGGTTATGCTCCAATAAAACATAAAAAAATCTTTAAACGCTCATAACTCGAAAACTAAGCGAGATACGGCATTTTTGACGGGGATATCCTATAGGGGGGACCCAATTTATTACTTAGGTCCAGATCTTTCATATGAGTCGGTGATCAACCCCGTAGCATTATTTGCATAGAAGTTATGCACATTTTTATGTTTTACAGTTTTTCGAGAATATCTCTGAATTTTACTTACCAAATATAGTCGACAGCCAGTGTTTGGAAATCGTCTCGTCCCCGTCTTCCCAATGACATCCTAAATTTTATGATCCAAGCATAAATACGCTTTTTAGCTATTTTTGAGGTTAGGAAGAGAAATTTTCTGATCTTGGAAATCGAGGGTTACTTTGTACATTCCGATTCTCTGAAATTCGGCCTTAAATAATAATTCATTTAAATAACCCTAAAACCGGAAATGGCTATAATTTTAGCATAAATTATGGCCGGATCATAATTTTGACTATATCAATGGGAAGCTCTTGCTCTCAGGAATCCATTAATATACTTGTAATCTATGTACCTCTCATAGATCGTGAGTTATGGGCGAAAAACGAAGCTATGCTCCAATAAAACATAAGAAAATCTTTAAACGCTCATAACTCGAAAACTAAGCGAGATACGGCATTTTTGACGGGGATATCCTATAGGGGGGACCCAATTTATTACTTAGGTCCAGATCTTTCATATGAGTCGGTGATCAACCCCGTAGCATTATTTGCATAGAAGTTATGCACATTTTTATGTTTTACAGTTTTTCGAGAATATCTCTGAATTTTACTTACCAAATATAGTCGACAGCCAGTGTTTGGAAATCGTCTCGTCCCCGTCTTCCCAATGACATCCTAAATTTTATGATCCAAGCATAAATACGCTTTTTAGCTATTTTTGAGGTTAGGAAGAGAAATTTTCTGATCTTGGAAATCGAGGGTTACTTTGTACATTCCGATTCTCTGAAATTCGGCCTTAAATAATAATTCATTTAAATAACCCTAAAACCGGAAATGGCTATAATTTTAGCATAAATTATGGCCGGATCATAATTTTGACTATATCAATGGGAAGCTCTTGCTCTCAGGAATCCATTAATATACTTGTAATCTATGTACCTCTCATAGATCGTGAGTTATAGGCGAAAAACAAGGTTATGCTCCAATAAAACATAAAAAAATCTTTAAACGCTCATAACTCGAAAACTAAGCGAGATACGGCATTTTTGACGGGGATATCCTATAGGGGGGACCCAATTTATTACTTAGGTCCAGATCTTTCATATGAGTCGGTGATCAACCCCGTAGCATTATTTGCATAGAAGTTATGCACATTTTTATGTTTTACAGTTTTTCGAGAATATCTCTGAATTTTACTTACCAAATATAGTCGACAGCCAGTGTTTGGAAATCGTCTCGTCCCCGTCTTCCCAATGACATCCTAAATTTTATGATCCAAGCATAAATACGCTTTTTAGCTATTTTTGAGGTTAGGAAGAGAAATTTTCTGATCTTGGAAATCGAGGGTTACTTTGTACATTCCGATTCTCTGAAATTCGGCCTTAAATAATAATTCATTTAAATAACCCTAAAACCGGAAATGGCTATAATTTTAGCATAAATTATGGCCGGATCATAATTTTGACTATATCAATGGGAAGCTCTTGCTCTCAGGAATCCATTAATATACTTGTAATCTATGTACCTCTCATAGATCGTGAGTTATAGGCGAAAAACAAGGTTATGCTCCAATAAAACATAAAAAAATCTTTAAACGCTCATAACTCGAAAACTAAGCGAGATACGGCATTTTTGACGGGGATATCCTATAGGGGGGACCCAATTTATTACTTAGGTCCAGATCTTTCATATGAGTCGGTGATCAACCCCGTAGCATTATTTGCATAGAAGTTATGCACATTTTTATGTTTTACAGTTTTTCGAGAATATCTCTGAATTTTACTTACCAAATATAGTCGACAGCCAGTGTTTGGAAATCGTCTCGTCCCCGTCTTCCCAATGACATCCTAAATTTTATGATCCAAGCATAAATACGCTTTTTAGCTATTTTTGAGGTTAGGAAGAGAAATTTTCTGATCTTGGAAATCGAGGGTTACTTTGTACATTCCGATTCTCTGAAATTCGGCCTTAAATAATAATTCATTTAAATAACCCTAAAACCGGAAATGGCTATAATTTTAGCATAAATTATGGCCGGATCATAATTTTGACTATATCAATGGGAAGCTCTTGCTCTCAGGAATCCATTAATATACTTGTAATCTATGTACCTCTCATAGATCGTGAGTTATGGGCGAAAAACGAAGCTATGCTCCAATAAAACATAAGAAAATCTTTAAACGCTCATAACTCGAAAACTAAGCGAGATACGGCATTTTTGACGGGGATATCCTATAGGGGGGACCCAATTTATTACTTAGGTCCAGATCTTTCATATGAGTCGGTGATCAACCCCGTAGCATTATTTGCATAGAAGTTATGCACATTTTTATGTTTTACAGTTTTTCGAGAATATCTCTGAATTTTACTTACCAAATATAGTCGACAGCCAGTGTTTGGAAATCGTCTCGTCCCCGGCTTCCCAATGACATCCTAAATTTTATGATCCAAGCATAAATACGCTTTTTAGCTATTTTTGAGGTTAGGAAGAGAAATTTTCTGATCTTGGAAATCGAGGGTTACTTTGTACATTCCGATTCTCTGAAATTCGGCCTTAAATAATAATTCATTTAAATAACCCTAAAACCGGAAATGGCTATAATTTTAGCATAAATTATGGCCGGATCATAATTTTGACTATATCAATGGGAAGCTCTTGCTCTCAGGAATCCATTAATATACTTGTAATCTATGTACCTCTCATAGATCGTGAGTTATAGGCGAAAAACAAGGTTATGCTCCAATAAAACATAAAAAAATCTTTAAACGCTCATAACTCGAAAACTAAGCGAGATACGGCATTTTTGACGGGGATATCCTATAGGGGGGACCCAATTTATTACTTAGGTCCAGATCTTTCATATGAGTCCTCGTTCAACCCCGTAGCATTATTTGCATAGAAGTTATGCACATTTTTATGTTTTACAGTTTTTCGAGAATATCTCTGAATTTTACTTACCAAATATAGTCGACAGCCAGTGTTTGGAAATCGTCTCGTCCCCGGCTTCCCAATGACATCCTAAATTTTATGATCCAAGCATAAATACGCTTTTTAGCTATTTTTGAGGTTAGGAAGAGAAATTTTCTGATCTTGGAAATCGAGGGTTACTTTGTACATTCCGATTCTCTGAAATTCGGCCTTAAATAATAATTCATTTAAATAACCCTAAAACCGGAAATGGCTATAATTTTAGCATAAATTATGGCCGGATCATAATTTTGACTATATCAATGGGAAGCTCTTGCTCTCAGGAATCCATTAATATACTTGTAATCTATGTACCTCTCATAGATCGTGAGTTATGGGCGAAAAACGAAGCTATGCTCCAATAAAACATAAGAAAATCTTTAAACGCTCATAACTCGAAAACTAAGCGAGATACGGCATTTTTGACGGGGATATCCTATAGGGGGGACCCAATTTATTACTTAGGTCCAGATCTTTCATATGAGTCGGTGATCAACCCCGTAGCATTATTTGCATAGAAGTTATGCACATTTTTATGTTTTACAGTTTTTCGAGAATATCTCTGAATTTTACTTACCAAATATAGTCGACAGCCAGTGTTTGGAAATCGTCTCGTCCCCGGCTTCCCAATGACATCCTAAATTTTATGATCCAAGCATAAATACGCTTTTTAGCTATTTTTGAGGTTAGGAAGAGAAATTTTCTGATCTTGGAAATCGAGGGTTACTTTGTACATTCCGATTCTCTGAAATTCGGCCTTAAATAATAATTCATTTAAATAACCCTAAAACCGGAAATGGCTATAATTTTAGCATAAATTATGGCCGGATCATAATTTTGACTATATCAATGGGAAGCTCTTGCTCTCAGGAATCCATTAATATACTTGTAATCTATGTACCTCTCATAGATCGTGAGTTATAGGCGAAAAACAAGGTTATGCTCCAATAAAACATAAAAAAATCTTTAAACGCTCATAACTCGAAAACTAAGCGAGATACGGCATTTTTGACGGGGATATCCTATAGGGGGGACCCAATTTATTACTTAGGTCCAGATCTTTCATATGAGTCCTCGTTCAACCCCGTAGCATTATTTGCATAGAAGTTATGCACATTTTTATGTTTTACAGTTTTTCGAGAATATCTCTGAATTTTACTTACCAAATATAGTCGACAGCCAGTGTTTGGAAATCGTCTCGTCCCCGGCTTCCCAATGACATCCTAAATTTTATGATCCAAGCATAAATACGCTTTTTAGCTATTTTTGAGGTTAGGAAGAGAAATTTTCTGATCTTGGAAATCGAGGGTTACTTTGTACATTCCGATTCTCTGAAATTCGGCCTTAAATAATAATTCATTTAAATAACCCTAAAACCGGAAATGGCTATAATTTTAGCATAAATTATGGCCGGATCATAATTTTGACTATATCAATGGGAAGCTCTTGCTCTCAGGAATCCATTAATATACTTGTAATCTATGTACCTCTCATAGATCGTGAGTTATGGGCGAAAAACGAAGCTATGCTCCAATAAAACATAAGAAAATCTTTAAACGCTCATAACTCGAAAACTAAGCGAGATACGGCATTTTTGACGGGGATATCCTATAGGGGGGACCCAATTTATTACTTAGGTCCAGATCTTTCATATGAGTCGGTGATCAACCCCGTAGCATTATTTGCATAGAAGTTATGCACATTTTTATGTTTTACAGTTTTTCGAGAATATCTCTGAATTTTACTTACCAAATATAGTCGACAGCCAGTGTTTGGAAATCGTCTCGTCCCCGTCTTCCCAATGACATCCTAAATTTTATGATCCAAGCATAAATACGCTTTTTAGCTATTTTTGAGGTTAGGAAGAGAAATTTTCTGATCTTGGAAATCGAGGGTTACTTTGTACATTCCGATTCTCTGAAATTCGGCCTTAAATAATAATTCATTTAAATAACCCTAAAACCGGAAATGGCTATAATTTTAGCATAAATTATGGCCGGATCATAATTTTGACTATATCAATGGAAAGCTCTTGCTCTCAGGAATCCATTAATATACTTGTAATCTATGTACCTCCCATAGATCGTGAGTTATAGAAAAACCTTTAAACGCTCATTACTTGTAAACTAAGCGCAATGATATTTTGTGAACTCTTCGGAAAAGTTCCAGAATTTAGAAATTTATCATATATATTTTTTAACTGTCCATTGTTGTTATTGAAAGTAAATCGAACATGATAAAAAGAATTTTATATTTTTATCTATTACCCAGATAAAAAAATGGCACTAGTATTGTTACAAAACACAAAAATGAATTTAAATATTTTATATTATTAAATGTTTTTTTTTTTATCAAAATATGTTATTAATATCATCAATATCATAATCGAAGCCTATGAGTCATCATTATCATGCATAATTAAATTTCCTTTTTTTTTATAAACATCGTTATTTGTTATCAAAAAATCGCTTCCGTCGTACATCATTTTATTCTTTCTTTTAGCGCGAATACATATGAAATTCGTCCTAAAAATATTAATCGATACAATTAATTGAATTTAAAAAAAAAAAAAATGACATTGATAGGCCTGAACACCAAATCTACGTTTCCGTAGTCGAGCGTGTTACCTCTGAGCTTTTACAAAAATATCGAATTAGTTTTATAGCTTCTATGTATGTTGCGAACAGAGCTGGACCTTTTCCATTTAAGAATTGGTGCTTGAATATTAAGTGGCTTAGGATTCTTATAATGAGAGTAAAAGAGAACACAAATCTTATCTCTTTTCTCTCTTAGATTAAGGGGCGTGGCTAAAATAAACCGTCGCAGCGCCATCGCTCGATGTGTTTACAGAAACTTTTATGTTGTGACCTGCGATTACCGACATGTTGACCGAAACTCCGTCCGGATTTTTAACACAGCTGGTTTCTCTTCTCTGTCAGTATGATAAGTGTGAAGTCATTGACAGGTACGTTGACATTTAACCTCGAAAATATTTTCATTTTTTTAATTTTCAAAAATTTATCATTTATATTTACATTATTTATATATTTTTATTTATTTTTCTTTTAGAAATTAATAACATTCAAGGCTAATCATGGTTTGTGTACCATGTGTCTTTATTCCAATTGTGTTAATTCTATGGAGATTTCTTATACAACCCATTCTAATAAAATTGTGGAGATATAGAATAAAGAGAAAGGACACAAAAGATGAAGCCGCACCAGAGTTAGTAAAAAAATGCGAAAATGGTGTCTGTTCACTGGCTTGGGAAAGGTCACAGAAAATATCTAAAGTTGAGTAATAACTCAATAACAATAATTATTCATCGATGCATCAACAAGATCCTTAAAAAAATGAAAAAAAACCTTTATAACAAATTATTTATTGTGTATCTTAACTTTACATTCCTTCGATAAAACATTCAGATGAAAAAATGTAAATGGCAAATTAAATAATTCACTTCGAGTTTATTTATGAATATAAGTATTAAATTTTACATTATGTAGTAATTCTTTTCAAGTATGTCTGTAGTATACCAAAAACTAGATACTGACTTTTTTTTAACATGTATTGATCAATTTGAACATTTTTAATTATAAGATATTTATGATGAAGAAATATTGTATACATACTTGAACTAATGATTAAATTTAACAGACTTAAATTTATGTCAAATTAACATGCTTTGAAATTCAAGATCTGAATAACTTTAATCTAACTATAATGATGGAAAGGATTGAAAACAGAACATTCAAAACTTAAAAGATACGTCAGCTGAAGTAGAAATGTACAAAAAGACTTTATGGCAAATACTTATTTTAAATTGACATTAAGGGTTTTAATGAACGTTTTTGAGTTCTACTTCAAAGATGAGTGTACTGTTTCCTGGAATGACTGGAGGCGATCCTTTTGCACCATACCTGAAAACGTATTTATTGTTGAATAATCTAATCAATTTTTTTAGCTCTAAAAACCTTTAGCAAACAATCTTTAAATACTTACGCTAGAGTTGGAGGTATTGTGATACGCCTTTTTCCGCCAACTTTCATTCCTGCAACTCCAATATCCCAACCTTTGATGACCTCACCTTTGCCAAGTCGGAATTTAAATCCATCCCCGCTTGTTGTCGCGTCGAATTTCTTGCCATTCTTTAATCGTCCAACATAATAAACTGATACGAATTTTCCTGATTTTGCTAGCGTTCCATTTCCTACTTTGATGTCTTCAATTTGTACACCACCAGTTATAGTTCTCTTTTTTTGTTGTTGATCATTTGGTGATTTCTCTTCTTCTTTTTTTTTAGGTTTAGCCTCTTTTCCATTTGTTAAATTATTTTGTTGCTTCTGAGGTTTCTGATTCTGAACCTGTTTATTTTGTTTGCCCTTCTTTTGTTGAGGTTTAACTTCTTCCTCTTCTTCTTTGTCATCGTCATCATCTTCTTCCTCCGAGTCATCATCACTTTCATCCTCATCTTCCTCAGAATCATCATCTTCGACTTCTAAAGTATCATTTGCGTTCTCATCATCATCTTCATCATCATCGTCATCCTCGTCTTCATCATCATCATCTTCTTCTTCGACTTCAATTTTGGCGTTTGACTTTAATTTTTTAGCTACTTTAGCATCAGTAGGTGATGTCTGAGCTTTACGTTTTTCATTCTTTGTCACCAAGGTGGGAACTTCTTCGTTTTCATCTTCATCTTCTGTAGAATCCTGATCCTCGTACATTTCTAAATCATCAGGTATTAAATAACCTGTTAAGTGTACGTGTCCTCTTCCATTGGATGTAAAAGCAATTTTATCACCGACTTTGAAATTTAAATCAAGTGATTTTTGGCAAAGTGTACTCTTCTTTAAATTACACAGAAGATAATTACGGTTTTCATAGCACAGCATCACTTGAACAAAGTCATCGTCTGAAATAAAATAAAAACTTTTAGAACGAAGAATTATAATACATAAAAATAGGATATATACTTTAATTAGCATGTGAATACTTGCTGTTTTTTTTCAAATAAACAAAACATAATTCACAGTTAAATTGTATATATTTAAATAAACATATTATATGTAGATAAAATTATTTATTTTATTATATCACTTTGTTTTTAGAATAAAAGAGTCTCATTCGTTAGTAATCTATTATTTTTAAAACATCTAACCGTTTTTGAAGGATTCTTGGAAGTGCACGAGTATTAGGCATGACAAACAGCTGAATAAAAGTTAATCTTTACAGCAATTTTTTAAATTAAAAAAAAAAATTAAATTAAATTTTATATAAATTTTTTAGAATCTATTCATTTTGTGAATTTAAAATAAAACAAATAAAAAAATTATTTCATTTTACCGCCTGTTGTAACATCCAAAGTTGCCATAGACACGTGGAATGCTTTTTCTACGGTTTGGGTATACCGTTTATTTGGTTCCATAATAAGTCCTGAAATAAATAAATAATTAATGAAAATACGTTAAAAAGACATAAACAAACAATATAAATAGACATAAATTTTATATTAGAAGTTTCATAAACGATCCTTTGTTACCACATGGCGACGCCATTTCTAAATAGACACCGGTACGTTAAAAAGTAAAATATATTGAAAAGTATTATTACTTACCCCAAAACATCTTGATAGATTTATATTTCTAAACTTTTAAATTAAAAAAATAATAATTAAAGTCTTTAACTTATTGTTCTAATGAGGAATTCTTATAAAACTACTGCGAACAGCGTGTACAAGCTATTCTGCGCGCCAACTTCTAGAAAATTAACCTATTGAGTGATTTGCAGGAAGTGGTAAACTGGAATAAGCAGAAACAAAGAACAATAGAGTGGCAATCCTCAACGACTCAAGGAAGCTCCACGCGCGACATCTACTGTCAAAATTTATTGCAGCGCCCTCTAGTCTACAATTTAAATTTAGTAACTATTTTTTGATGTCGGCTAAACTTCAGTTAAGAAAATTAAGCTTTTTCTCTTTTCTAAAACAAAAACAAATACAAAACTGGTCATATTTCATTTAGTTAATCATTCCAATTTATTCAAATAATCTAAATTCTAATAAATACCCGTTATTTATTGTAGAATATTGAAGTTCAATCGGACAATCATTTAGCACCTAGCGGATAAAACAAACACTACAATCATCATCGACCACAAAAAAAATGTATCTTAGGTATTCTACAGTTTCTGTTCGAAGTTTCTGCAAAGACGTCCATTGTCGTTCACGACTGTCTATGACGTAACGAAAGAGTACGAAACAAGAATAATTTTTCAGTAGCCATTTTGTAATCGTCTTAAAGTATCACAAGTAGGTACAACAATTTTAATAATTATTTAAATATTAGATTATCAAATAATCGAATATTTATAAAAACTTAGTTATATGTGATAAAGATGGAATTATGATTCCAAGATGACCGATACCAGACTAACCATTGATCGCTTTTCACAGAGTAGCTTTAATAAAGTAATATACCTGTGAATTAATTTACCTTTTACTAACTAGTTTATCAATTAAATTAAAAGTACTTCAATTTTTATATTAAATGTCACAATGAAAATAACATTTATTGAAACAGCTTGAAGTTATAAAACCCATTTACTGTATTAAAAAAGCAAGTTTTTAAAATCATTTAACATGTTTGTTATCGAAGTGTGTCTTTAACTATATTTTGCATATTAAATGAAATATAAGTAATTAAGATGTATTTATACGTTTACATTTATTCTATCTCTCCTCGCTCTGAATCATGATCTCTTATTATAAATGAAAAATAGACGAATCGATAGTGGAGTAGGGCCAAAAAAATGAGCTGCTTACTTATAGAAGGAAGTTTCTATCCTTGTAGGTATACCATCGTCGATCGAGCTGGACATCAAGGCAAACAAGGAGTAGGGTGTCATGGAGTCAAGACGGTATGAACGTGGTGGCAGGTCGAATTGTGATTCTCCGCCTATACCACCGTCACCTCCTCCATATAGTCCACATTCAAGGACATGTGAATCTTCACAGAAGAGCAAATCACGACGATCACCGTCTTATACAGATTATAGAGGTTGCCGATCATCACACAGAGATTCTTCCCAAGAAAGACGACGAAAACGACGCAAACGATCACGATCTAGTGAAAGATCCAGAAAGTATTCTCGTCGACGCAGATCTAGATCAGATTCACGAGGCAGATCAAGATCAAGAAATCGTCGACGTAGTTATACTCCTCATCGTAGTACCAGTCGAAGTATAAGCAGAAGTCGTACACATAGTTATAGTCGAAGTCGCAGTCGTAGTCACAGTCGCAGTAAAAGTCGTAGTGGTCGAAATAGAAGTCGTGAAAAACGTCGTGATCGTGGCAGACATTATCGTACACCTTCTCATGATTCTGATACAGCTGAAGGATTAGATCGTCAAAGTGTTCCAAACATACCACCTACTCCAGTGCAATCAAATGCTTTCAAAAATGATGGTAGTTTTATGGAAATGTTTAAAAAAATGCAAGAACAAATGCAACCTAAAGAAAAACCAGCTACATCAGTACTTGAAGAAAAGCCTGTTGTTCCACCTCCTCTAATGGTTGGCAAAAGACGTGGTGGACGAATTTTGAAAACTGGAATGGTAGCAAAACCCAAAACTGGTCAAGTTGTTGAACAACCAAAAGACGCTTGGTCACTTTATATGGCGGAAGTTAAAAAATATCGTGAAGTTTGTTGTCAAGAAGAAGACAATACACGACCATTAGTGAAATAACTCCATTATTTTTATGAGTTTAGCTTTTTTTTTATTGTAAAAATTATATAAATTGTATTATTTAAATAATTTTATCGGTATTACTAAGAATGTAATCAAAATACATTCTAATTTTATATGTTAATTAATTGCTTGTCTGTTGAGAAGATGGCTATTTTCGAGTATAAACAGTTTGATTTATATAATTTTTATTATAATAAGAGAATATGAAAAAGAGCGAGAGACAAATGTAAAAAAATTAACGTCAAACGATGTTATTAGTTAATGATGAATTTAAGAGTATAGTTAATAGCATGAATGTAAGATATAAAAAATAATAATAACTTGTTGAGCAGTGGTGATAAATTGGGTGAACAATTATCCCCGGCCGATGCCTGAAGATCCAGACCCAAAAGATATTCCACCAGAATTCCGGGGTAAAAAAACTGTACCATTTGATCCACGGTTCCCCAACACAAATCAGACTAAGTAATTCTTACATTCATTAATTTTTTACACTATATAAAATAATTGATCATAGTAAACATGACTTTTTTTATTTTCCAGAAATTGCTATGTAAATTTTTTGGATTTCCATCGATGTGCAAAGTTACACGGTGCAGATTACGATGCATGTCGTTACTTTAAGCAAGCATATTTAAGTCTGTGTCCTAATGATTGGCACACAAAGTGGGATGAACAAATAGAAAAAGGAATTTTCCCAGGAAACATCTAATTTCAAGAGATAAATTATAACAGTTCACTCGCCAGTTAGTTCAATATCAGTATGTAGCAGTAATATTTATAAACTATATCTTCTGCTACTTGTAAATCATCTATTATTGAATAAGTTCAAATAAAATAGTTATTTAAATTTACTCATGTTTTAAATAAAAATTTATAATACTGTTCAAGATTTATGAGTTAAACATTGAACATATTTAATATTATTCCAATCAAAACTTAATGTAATTGTTTCGATTTAAAAATTAAAAATGCGGTAAAATTTCAAATGAAAATAAAATTTTCAATTTTCATTTTAATAAAATTACTTCAGCTTCATTTCTAAAGTACTCTCAGTATGTAGATAGTATTTAAATATATCCATTTGATTCATACCGATCTATTTCCCACGAACTAAACTATAATTATAATGAAGTGCAATGTACACATAATATTTATATGTATAACTTTTTCAGACTGATTCAATTATTATAATTAACATTTTTTTTCAAGTTTAAAAAAAAGAGAATACTTTCGTTAAACTTACATGTAAATTTTTTACTGAAGTCAGTTAGATGATTAAAAAGAATCAATATGATATTAAATTCTTATACATAAATTTATTTATTTTTGTTAATAATACTCATTAACTTGTTCTCATTTAATTGAAATTTATTACATCTTGAAGATGATTATTAATTTGTTAAGTTAAATGTAATTCTAAGAAACATCTTTTTCTTGAACTTTAATTAATTTAATCGGATTAAACAGAATTTGTTCCAAAGTTAATATGCATATACTAGACAAGGTCTGTTAATGTAGAAAAAAGGCATATAAATTGTTTGACTTGAATTTTTCTTCATTAATGTGACAGGTTACTTGGTGTTAATGGTTTTTGCATACATCAGAGTAGATATTGGTATGCCTACGATTACTAAAGTAATAAAAGGAGACTTAAATGATATGATCTACATAAAATGTTAGTATGTACTAGTAGTGTAACAAGTTTGTTATACAGATTGTTTTTGCACGTAGGCGTCACCATCATATTTAGAAAAAAACATGAAAACTTTTACAATAAATTTTCCACACTATAATTCAACTTTACAGAGAAAGTCAGAATATGAGCTAAATATGTGGCAAATAAATAAAAAAAGATTTATCTTGAGAAAAAATAAATAATGAAAGAAATTAGTGGCAAAATGCATTGGTTAAGTTAGGGAATAGCAAATGAAAAGACTAAAAAATCAGTTGTTCACCGAACCTCCATAATTTCCTAGAGAAGTGCCACTTATATAACTGACAAGGGTGCGTTGTGGGCAAAAATTAATTTCACGTCTCGCTACGCCCAACAGTTCTCAGGCATATTCTTCACTCTATGCATAATTTCATTGATAGTCTGTGATTAATCGAATCAAAAAACATTAGCTAGTTAATAAATTAATTTCATAATTACTGCAATCAAAATGTCAAGATGTCTAAAAATTTTAAATGAAATCTAAACTCATCTACAGAAATAAAATTGAAGTAATAAAAAAAAACTCCAATGCAGTATAACAGTAACAATAATTGAGTGTGATGATGCAAAGTAAATGGAAAACAGTGCAGTGATGATGAATAAATTAAAACGAAAAAAAATATTAGTGATCATTGCCAGACAACTTCAACGGTGGTCCATTTAAAATTCAATCAAATAAGTCATTAAACGACACGTACGTGTAGTGATTTTTGAGTTTGCTGCTGCAATGATTATAAAAGGGTTGATAGGAAACCAAGCAAGAGCAAAAGATTGCTTTAGCATGAAAACTACACCGCATCGTTTATGTCGTGTCATTATCAGTCAGCCAAGTTGATTCGTGAAAGAGACAAACCAAAGTAAGCACCTGTCCCACCACTCTTCTTGACATATATGTGTATATATACGTTACTAACTACGCACCAAGTGTGCGAACAGGACCGACATGAAGAACGAGTAAATCGCAGTTCAGTACCCCGTATACGTTCAACCTGATAGGACCGTTTAAAATTACATGTATATTACGTCAAGTTGTATCTTAACCTCGAGAATCTCAATTAATACATTTGTCAGTTATTTTATTCTCCAAGATATGTTGTTTCTACGTGATGTTATGTTATAAATGATAAACGTTGTTAATTGTTGAGTTTTTCTTTTGTTTGGTATTGTAAATAATCGGTAACTTTCAGTCATTTTTGAAGAGCACAGGTGAGCATGCATCATCTGTAATCCCTATAACGGTAAGCACGTTTGCTTCATTTTCCAAATACATCTGTGAATCATTTGGTGAAAGTATTGTTATACCAGTGAGAATGTTGTATTAACCCGTTTATGAAGCTGTTTGAACATACCTTTATTGGACGACTAAAAAAATTAAAAAAACACATCTCAATTCTTTAGCCAAACATTCTGTTAGAAGTAGATATTCTTTTGATTAGCAAATACATACAGATGACGTATGAAAAAAATCATTGGAACGTATCTGAATTGAATCATGGTAGTGGTGATGAGTTTATAATAATTCTAAAAAAATTAAAAATACTTAATATTTATGTAATTAATTAAATGTCTTTAATTTGATCATTTATGGAGTTAAAGTGAAATAAGCGGAAAACGGTGGTAGAATCCTTTAAAGTGTTTTTATTTACACCATTGGTATGAGTTAAAAAATGTCTTCATCCGGTAAAAATTGTTTTCCTTCAATCAGACTTAACTAATACCAGTTAAGGATAAACACTTGACGATTCTCATCCCTCACGATAGACAACTAATTGAAGAAGGTTTCTTAGCCTTAAACCTCGTAGTAGAGATTATCTCTGATGCACTTGATACTCGTAACTAATCTTCAAGTCTCTAATAAGCACTTGTGAATTTTTTCATTGGTTTTACTCGCATTTATTCTCATCTATAGTGTAGACACATTGTGTAGACTAGAGAGAATTCTTTTTTTTTTCTTTCTACAGTTTAATAATTCTCTAACGGGAAAATAGTCGGGTAAATTTTTTTCCATCACTATAACAAATTATTAATGATGGAAAGCCAATGTGTAGTATGTACATGAAGTTAATATATATATACGGATACATATAAAAATATATATTAGCAAGTTAGATAAAAAGTGAAAGCTACATGTTAAAAAAAGTAGATGCATAAATGCTGGAATTTTAATTAATTTTTTTTTTGCATATAAATATGTCAATTTTGTGTGTAAATTAAATTGATCTATACATTTCGATTAGATAAAATTTTGATATTCTCTACACGTGCCAACTCTACAGAGAGCCAAATACTTCCACTTGGATAGTTTTTAGCTATAATTTCGATGTGTTATCTCCGGTCTTCTGCTAAAGTCCGCATTCTTTCCTTCTAAATGATTTCGCCGAGTGTATACTTAATTACACTAATATTAAAATTTCGTGATGTTTATTTTTTTTTATACATATATAGATATATTTTTATTTTTTTAAACACGTGCACAAACACATTAGCACATGTAGATATGCTAGTCAAAAATAACGGTATATGGGATTTCAAGTTTACTTCAATATTCGTATATGTGTGATAAATTTGAAATAAAGTGTGTGCGTGTGATTTTTGGGAATAAAATTTTATCTATAAAAAAATAAGATACTATTTGTACTCTAGTTAATCTTTTTAACAGTGTTCGTTATATTAAAGAGCATTGCAATTTTGTGAAGCATCATAAATATCAAACTATTGCTCTTGTTAAGCTATATGCTCCGAAAACCAGTTCTCGACACTTTTTGTAATCTTCCATAAAGCCATAAATAATCCTCATATGTGCTTTTCACAAAATATTTTTAATTTGAAACTCGTGATCATGATTGTGATATAAAATGGAATTTTTTCAAGTAAATAATTCAAAATCTGGTGACAATAATCCACCAAGAAATATCAACTAAAAAGAAATTCAACCGAAAAATCTCGTAACTTGTGATTAGAATATAGATAATCTTTTCTGTGTCCCACTTATTAACTCTTCATATGTTTTATTCTGTATAGTGTACGACAACCGTATATCAATTTTTCTTCACACAGTTTTTTTTCTATTAAACTTCGGTGATATACTACCAGCCTTATATACATTGATTTTAATCTTCTTCTTCTTATTTTTTTTTATTCTTTTCATTTAAGTATCAAGAAGCTTGGGATTAACTAGTGGTATTTTTTCACATTTTTCTCATGCAATATATTTTTTATTTTTATGATTATACTTAACATGAAACAGTTAATACTAGACATAAATAACAATTGAAAATTAGCAGTTACAACCGTAACAAAAGGTAATACATGTTTGTAGGTTTGGTAAAATAAACTAAGCGTAAATGTCAGCATGAAGTGGCTCTTGAAGATATTCTGTACATGCATAAATATCCGTTCTTGAGGAATAAATGTAAGGTGTTGCTAATCGACGGCGGGTTAAACGAGTGCTACCAACGTCCTCACGTCCGCCCACTATAACCATCGCTTAATCGCATGGCTGTAGGATTCGTGATCCCTCGGGGCGTTTACTCAAATGGTGGATTAAGTCGTTGCAGAGCTATAATTTGAGATGATGATCAGACAGAATGGACCTAAAGGTCTTTTCACCATCCGTGTCATTATTAGGTCATTAGCCACTGTTTAGATAAAACTTTTAATTTTTTTTCATCTATTTTTAAAATTAATTACAATAAAAAGTTATCAACTTACCAAGCACTTATTTCATTATTAATGCAATAACTTCATTAGTTATCTTTCAATCTTCTGAGATGAGCTGGCCATTTATTTATGATGTATATTCTTCACGCGTTAAGAGCATAGAAGACATCAAGTTGATCTTTCAATGCCACTCCCATGTGTACCTAGAGCATGAAATAAAAATTTGTTATCTGCTCCAAAATAACATCAAAGTGTCATATGACTATTATTACTTGTATATAAATGCAAAATAAAGATGATGATATTTGATTGAAGGGTCATTATATATACTTCTTGAGTATATTAAAATAATTATTTTTTGTCCAAGTGTTGAACAAAAAAAAAAGTGAAAATAAAAGTAAAATATGCTGGTAATTTTCTAAAAGAAGGTAAACTGTTTGATGTTTTATTATTATGGTAATAATGATGAAGAAAAGAATACATTTAATTGCTTAAATTAGAAAGATTCATCACTCTTTAGGTGATATATGTCATTATCAAACCGGTTTTACCTTCCACCCAGAATTTTTCGTGCACTTCGTACACTTTAATCATTACGCAGAACTCGTGTGCACTTACTCAGGAAATCAGATGATAAATAAGTAGTGTGAGTATATGTATATAATTAGTCATTCATATAGCATAGTGCACGATCATGTATATATATTACTCCTACGTGCATTTTGCCACGTACGATTTGTAGTAGTTTATTTTAATGATCCACTGGCAATAGTGGCAACCATTATCACACAATCTAATATCATTGCAATATAGAATGTCTTAGAAAAAATAATTTAACATCAAGAAATGCATAAATGTAAATCATACAATGAAATGAACAGTATGAAAAATATTTTTACCTGTACTTCATTTAAGATTTTCCCCATACACTCTTATTTTCTCGTTCCCATCCTTTAATTCGTATCAGTGGAATGTTGAGTATTACTTACCGGCTTGTTTTTGCTCTCCTCCCTTCACATCGTGTACCCTGGAATTTCCTAGTAGCAATATGACGTGTCATCGGGACCTAACGTCTGTAATAAATGTTATATATATCATAACACGAACATGATATACTTTATGACTTTTATTAATTAACTTACACTATTTAATCAAGATTATACCTGTGTATCAACTCTATTTCATTTTATGAACGTACCTGAAGTGAATTTCATGATCAACATTTACTTAAAAACTCGATATAAATATTCAACAACCCATTTATTGTTAATTTTAGATTTTAACCCTTTGTAACGTATGATGGATTATAGGCAACATATCATTTCATCCTTTCTAAATTTTCCTGATAACTATTACTTCGTAAAGAAACAAAAACAATGACAGAATTTCAAAAAAAGTATCTCTTAAAATTATTATAAACCTATCTGATTTTATAGAAAATATTTAATCTGAAGATTTTGGATTATAGAAGGTTTCAAAAAAGCATGTTTCTTTTAAGTCATAAAATAATTATCAGTAAAATCAATAGAAAGTTTGAAAAGAATATTTTCTGACGTGATCAAAGTATTTTCATTATGCTGCTAGACTTTGAAGTTAAATACCTAAATAGAATTTGAAAAAAAAAATAATAGTTAAATAAATGTATTTCTTGAGCAATTTTATTTCATTGTTGAATCAATCGCAAATCATCCATGGACCATCGATCTCTTGGACGTTGAGAATTTAAACTGGTCGCTTTGGGCTCGCGGTAAATTGTAGGTAGGAAAAAGAAACCTTCGAAACAACTTCTCGTTCCATTGTTCGATCCTTTTTTTCATTAAAATACTTGATAAAATGTATGAAACATAAACTTGTTTTCTATATAAAATATCTAATTGAAAAAAAAAACATGCAATAATGTATCCACAAAATATTTAATCCACATTTGTTCAGCTAATTCGTCGATAAATATTCTTGAATGAAAAAAAAGTCCCACTAATTCGATACTGATCCTCGAAACGAATTGGCCGCTGATTGAACATGATTTTCGCTGGATGCTTGAATTTAAAAAGGAGAAGAGAAAATAAGAAAGATAAAAAAAAAATAAAAGAAATAATATGAAATACAGTAAAAGTTCCATCTCTTTCTATCATGTCGCTGTTGTTTTTTCTTGCTGCCGATCGTCGAAAGTAAAAGTAAGCACGACTCTCCCTTGACGTTAGGAATCCACTGCAGAAGACCATATAACTTATGCGGAGGAGCCATCAGAAGGATCGTATAGCCAATGCCACGTACGATCTACACGCTACAAGCTGCACCACACCTCCACAGAATAAATTTACATCAACTACACTTGAGAGACCAGAGACATTTTGCATCCCTAAAACGGACACTAACAACCAAATGGTAACGCGAGTAGTGTCAATTGCATTAACTTAAAAAAATTTCCATGTCTATTCCGATAAAAAATATCACCTAAAAAAGGTGTTGAAAGACTTGAGAATAATCATTTGTCACCGGATGTTGTCTGAGATACATCGTAAATGATATGTGTGTGCAATAGCATGAAAAAGTCTTCATCCAATTCTCTAATTAAACCAATCTCATTAATGGTCTTGTGTTACTTTAATTAGCCAGAATATCCGGGAGTCTATCGACCATTAGTGACTACTTAACACGTGTCACCTGTATTTTTATACCGTATACTAATCCATATCAATTAATTTATTACACTTGCATGCAAACATTAACTCCAAAATAATTTTCATGTAGAAGTGCCATTTATTTATTTCTAATTCATATGAAAAATAGAAAGATCTATTTCTTTGGTATATAACCCACCAAAGTTGTAAGTTATGTGTCTGGAGAAAACTTTTGTCCTGCGCAACGGCCTACAAGATAATAGGACAAAAGCAGTCGGACATTGGTTTAATGAAGAATGATATTAAAATGCAAAAATTTTATCTCCCCTTTGATCAATGCCCTGAGGAATAGAATTCACTGAATCTTCTCAAGACTATGTCGGCGTCCTACTAGAAGCAACTAAGAAATAATCTGATTACGTTGTTTTCTGATGTATAGTGTTTGACTTCTAGCTTTCTAACGCACTTAACTCACAATTACACTGATCAACACACGAAATCAATCAATAACAGAGATGAGAACTTTCAATTATGATTGTCAGAATTGAAGACACGAAATATAAATATTTTTTTCTTGGTAAAGTAAGTTGAAAAAACACATTAGATATATGTCCATAAAATGGTCTTGAATATTAAATGATGTCTGTGCTATTAGAGTGCACAGTTAGAAGCATACTCGGGTGGCAAATTTAGTAAATATGTTTATATCATTTGCAAGGTCCACGAACTTAGTTCTTGGCGCGTGTAGATCCTGCTCGATAAATGGGACTTGATACTCAATGACCCCAGTGGCAATTCATGAGAGGATCAATAATCCTACTACTTCAATCCTTGTTCATTGGCCACGCGCATCTGCCATCAACATGACTTATCACAAGTTCAACTCATACGATTGACTTTAATTTCAATCACAGACAAACGTCTGCGTGTTGCCAGTCATTCAAATTTGATTAGGACTTCTCGTATTCAATTTTAACCGTGAGAAAACTTTTCACGCATTTCTCATTTATCATTTACACATTTTTATCATTCACAGTCAAGTAACTTACACTCACTAATCGTCTTGTTTTACTGTACTATTGACACATTGATAAACTACGTTCAAGTAACTTGCACCTTTGTACAGTTTTCCTTTCACGGCTTTGAATGAAGATTCATGAGTATCTTGAGATAACTAAGTAAATTGCTGTTAAGCTCTTATGGGATCAAATATTTTAACAAGACATTAATTGCAGAAAATAACATTTAATGATGTGCTAATAGGATATTTATAGAAGTAAAAATTTATGATCTGTATCTACAATCAGCACAAGTCTTTTTTTCCATCAACAATGTCTTTATGAAAATAATGACTATTTTTATTTGTTTGATTGAAAGAAGAAGTTTCGTGACATTGAAACTCATGAGAAAAATTTAGTCAATTGATGCAAAAAGGAAAAAAAGAAACTTTTACAAATGACTGTAGATATCTATTTTATAAATTAGACTTACCATCATCCTTGATCAAATATCACTAGCAATCCATTAGTTTCTTGTTATGACATGAAAGGACCATAATGGAATGAGTCTTCTTCTAGGATTGGACCCTCTTGGACATAGGTATAAGACATGATTTGATTGAAATGTATCGATATCACAGTGATCCTTTTAACCTTCTATCTATTACATTCATCACTTTCAAAAGATTGGATAAAGAAAAGAAGAAAAAAATGATTTCATACAAAGATACAATGATATCAAAAATTAATTTACCAATGTCTCGTGTAACTATCAAAATTTTATCACCAAAAATCATCTGTATGTCTCATTTAATTCCATTCAAAATAAACATAATAATTTACGAAAAAATTGTTTTGAATGGCATTCTTATTTGTTAGATACAAGCATTGTAGCAGGGTTTTTTCTCTTTTCTTTTCTCTCCCCAGCTTGGCATTCGTTTCTTGAAGCGACACGAGGCACCGGGCGCCTCGTTCAGACTCACGAGCCATATATATTATGTGTATCTTCTCGCGACATTAATCACTAAAAAAAGAGGAAGTTGCGACGCGTGAATCGTCACCCACTGCAGTCTATATCTTTCTGGTGTCCATTCTATCCACATTGTATCCATGAAGGGAATTTATTGTGTTTTACTAAGATTAGTGTCAAAAACGACATCCAAATCCCTACATGCTTTTTCTCTCAGACATGTAGAAAAGACTCCAATAATTGGATCACACCAATTAATTACTAGCTGAAAAATAAAATAATTAATTAATTTTTATAATAAATTTACGATTATCATTATGTTGACATCAACTTAAAAATAATTATGAATCAATAGGTTTTTTATAATTGCACTTAGTAAAACGATTTATTTTTTGAATCGCTATAAAATACAGTGATTGTATCTAATGTTGAGATAATATCAGTTTACTCCTGCTACGGAAAATTTATGAGATGCATGAATTTGATGTGGACAAATTATAGTATGTCAGCATTTTATTTAATGCTTGAATATTTATAAATAAATAGGACATCATTTAATAAATATACCTGTGAAACTTGAAGATTTTTTCTATGTCAGTAAATGGTAACTATAATTTGAAAACACTTGTAACCCACCTACGTATCATTTTCTGCAACAAATTATTCAAGTTGATGAAGTATTTATATTCACACCTAATTTGCTTAAATTTATAGAGGCCAATCAGGCAAATGAGTTTCTTACGAAAATTGAACATTTACACAAAATTTTTTTTTTCGGGTTTCTGTGACATGTTGAATCCTTTCTAATTTCGCCATGTTCGCTTGTATGTCACCGCCACACATAACCTCCACAAGTTTAAAATAGCACAAAATTTCGGAGGAATTTTCAATCTTTGTACTCCAAGACAAATACTATTAATAAATTTCTGTATTTGACAACAAGGAAAAAAATTTTTTTTCTATTTTTTATTAAGATCTTTTCTCATCTGAAAATATCCAATTAAAAGTGTTTAATTACTGTAGAATGTGGTCGTTGATGTGACTATAAAAATAATTTTATTATTAAGATGAGATGATAACTCATTACGATGAAGAATAAAATATACAAAAATATTTGATGATTTAGATAATATTAGACCAATTATTTTATCATCAAAGTGTAATTAAGTCAAACCGTTAACTCGTCTTTCAGGAATGGAATGTTAAGTGAATATCTTTGAAGTTAATGTCAACGTGATCTCAACTCGATTTCTTTATCCATTTTAGTTAGCTGGTTTGTAACCGAAATTTTCAATTACTATTCCACAGCATAAATATCCCTTTTATTTCAAGTTGAATTCCCCTGAGAGAGTGTAAAATTTCCAAAACATAGCGAGAATAAATCTCAGGGTTGTATCAGTTTTTTTAATAATTATTATCGTTATTACGATGGTCTCACGTTTACAACTCTGAAATAGAAATAAAAGTGGTCAACAAGGCGCCGCGTATGAAATTACTTTTGCCTTGTTATGCATACTCATGCGTTACAAGATAAGCAAATTGTCAAGAAGAGGAGAGAATTTATAAAGATAAAAAAAAATAATTCGAGCCTGGAAGCGCCGGGCATGTTGACCAAGTCGCCAGACGAAATTATGGTCAATTATTATCCACGTATACCTATTCTCTTTTCACTCTTTACCCCCTCACTTGCTATCCTTCGTTACAGAGTTTAAGTCATATACCCAAGCAAATAAGGTATCCGATAAGCAAACACTTTCGTCATACCGCTCTATTATTATACTGTAAAATCACCAAGTTTCATACTTACATATATAAACTGTCTTATGCATCGATTTGTATTCTTCAGCCATGAAAAATTTGAACCAACTTCATCTGTACTCAATAATATGATAACTATTTTCTTCAAGAAAATTTACTTCACAAGATCAATGATAAAAAATATTATAAAAATTCTTGATCTTGAAAGTTGAACAAAAAAAAATCAACAGCTGCATCATTTGTCATAATCATAAAGGATCATTATGACTAGATTAATCAAGTTAGAGCCTCAATCAAGATTGACATTGATTGCGAAATGGAAAAATTCCCTTTTGATTGAGATCAATTCGAAACTGAAGATACTCAAATGGATGCAGAACACAACAATAGAATGTGTTTTAAATAGATTGTTCAACTTTCAAACTCTAGGTCTAGTGTAGAATAGACATATTTAACCTTCTGCTTCAAAGCAAAATATATATCATTTATTTTATCATAATAAAATAAGAAGAAGCATAATAATAACAATAAATTATCGAATATTAATTTCTTTATAAGCTTGAAGCACTTTTTGTGGATTAACAGATCATGATAACGTTGGTGGTGGTTGTAGTGATGATGATGAAGCAAGTAAGCAGTATGTAGAAGTGTTTATGCCAAAAAGTGGAATGTTATGTTGAAGCATATTATTACGTTAAAAAAACTATTCTGAATTAAAGTTAAAAATGTTTATTATTAATAGAATATAAATAGATAAGTGAATTGTAGATTTTCAGCATTGCAATGGACACTTCATTTATATTATTCACATTCTTTAAATTTCCAACATTATACAATGCTCTTTTTTACAAGCCATCATTTTTCGAGATGTTATCAGGAACTTAAGGGTAACGAAGTAAAAATTCTCAGACCTTATGAACCATAGCTCTTCCAATCAACCTATAGCCAGGAAGTTGCTACCTGCTCTGTCATCTTCATTTACTCTTCACAGTAATATTCTTTTTTTAATTCAATTTCTTGCAAAGTGTCTCGTGTTCTTTACTTGCCATACATAACATGATCATTTTTATGATATATAATATTCTTTTAAAGAAATATATAATTTTTTGTGGTACTCATTTCTAAATGACGAACAGCTAACCTGAGATAGATAAGAAATGCTTGAAATCAGAAGTATTCTGAGTCACATTTATAATTTTTTACATCTTTTTTTTTAGTATATAGATAAAAAAATATATATAATCAGAGAGCTAAATTTTTTAAAATACACAAAATTTTTTGTTCACAGGTAGAGACATAAAATGCGAAGAAAAATGGAGCAAAATTTGATTTGGAGTAAAAAAATGACAATCACTTGCTGCTAAAATACACCATCACTTTGATTGACAACTGGAGGAAGAGAAAGAGGAGGTGGAAGGCGAATGAATTTAAAAAGAAATAAAGTAGTGCAATAATTCGAATGGTGAAGTATAATTGAAAAAAAGTGATGACGATACACAAATCTGTATCAGCAACCATTAGAAATAGTATTGGTTGTTTGCAAGTGTTATGCGCAAAGCTGGTTGTTGTGAAAAATATGAAGATATTAGTAGTAGCTGGATACTGGTTGGAAATAATAAGGACAGTGGTGGCGTGGATACTGGTGATGCTGATGCTGATCCCGGTGGTGTTGGCACACGGTCGATCTTGAGTGCCGAGTGTGGTTACTTCTCCTCTACTCGTCTCATCCAACTTGTCGTTGTACTCAGTGAAATATGTATGTATTTGTGTACTTGTGATCTGTCTGTGCGCCTGACTATGTGGCCCGACACGAGAGTGAACCGACCAAGTGGCCGAACCAAGCCGAGGAAGAGAACCGCGGCACTCGTTCAGTAGTTTCTCGGACGGCGCACCGGCATCATCCGACCTCCAACACGAGAGATAACCCCCTATCTTATGTGTGTGTGTCTCCCACCCCCATTATCATATGGAATTTTTTTATGAACGAAAGTAGCGCACGTGACAATCCGCAACTTTCATTTTCTGTCTTCTTTAGAATTTAAAAAAAAATATTTTTTTTTTTTTCAAAAATTAACTTATTTATTTATTTCTATATCAAAGTCACTATGAATTTTTTTTAAAATGTGAGTTTTTATTAGATAATAAAATTTAACTCACTTTTTCTGTTATTATTTAAGTCAATTTGATCGATTTTATCCTATCAAATGATTTATTTGACTGTACTCTCATTCAAAAAGACAACGTGTAGTGACTTGAAATGTGAATCAAATCAAGTGATGATTTGGCTTGGATATAATAGACCTGTGACTAGTGTATCGTCGAGGTAATTTGATAAGATGGGCTTGTATTGGGACAATGTAGTATACATCACATAAGTTTCACATTGCGGAACAATAAAATACTGAATAACCGCAAATCTTATCGATCATCTGGTGCTTAACTTCAATCGCGTTCAATCGAACAAGGTGGAAAAAAAGAGTGGAAGACCCGTTAAGGTGATACGACATATACGTGTTGGCAGTACTTTTTTGCAATTGATAGATCGTAGTATAGAGAAGAAGAAAAGACGATTAAAAGAAACAGTAAATCGAAAAAATCCAAGGAATAAGTTCTGTCTACCGCAGCTAAGTAACATCTCTGAAGAGGTAACTTTGAAGAAACTCCATCCAGCTTACAATAGTCTCAACTAAGAATATTCCTGTTTCACTTCAAGAATAGACAAATATTTTACATTATTCGCTCAAAATTTGCTTCTCTTTGACGAAATGTTTAAATTATTTCTCCACTATTCAATATACTGCACTATAAACATTTTAACATTGAAAGAGAATATTAAAATCAATTATTATTGATAATGTCTTTTTCACATATCAATCATCAACGATCAGAATGATGCAAGATCGTGAAAAAATCCAGGCTCGAATATTAGCGAGCCGACAGCAATTTAGCTGTCTTGTAGTGGAAAATAGGCAAATCAATAAGTCGGTATTATCATTGAAGATAGAATAATAAGAGATAACGAGAGAATAAAAAAAAAACGAAGAAGGAGGTTGTTAGAAGAGTTTAGATGAGAACGTCATGCTCGGTGAGATCGACACGGGCGATCCAAAAGTGGTGAAGTATAATCCCGAACGTTCACGATCCATCCCCATTACTACACAAAGCAATTATTACATAGAGAATCCTATCAATCCATACGATGTATGTGCTTCGCTACAAGGACTCTCCAGGGAAGCGTGGAGGGAACAAAATTGCCAACGATCAAGCTCTCAACATCAAAGAAAATCTCAAAAGTTGTGCACTTCTAACGCTTCGATGGGAGGAAATTTTGTTAAAAAATATTCAAGTAATGAGAGCTGTAGTAAACTTAATGAAAGTAGTGCAGTCAATAGTGAGTGTCAAATTATAAATATAAGTCAATCATTGACACGTTTACATCTGTATTTTGACGTTAAAAAACCACTCTTGGGACCCTTTATAGAGTCTCCAACGAAGTCTAGTCAACGCTTCCGTGTATTGAGAGATTCCAAAGGAACAAGTAGAAATAGAAATAAAAGAAAAAAAAGAAGAAGACGACGAAGAAGAAGCAGTATTGACGGTGAAGAGGATCATCATAGAGTGGAAGAGAATACATGGTTAGTGAGTTCTAATGAAACAACAAGTGTTGAGTGTGACTTGAAGGACAATTTTAAAAAATCTGAAACGTGGCAAAGGACAAAGATTCCATCTGCTAGACGATTTTACCTTCAACTAGCTTTCTTACTTTTTCTTATTGCATTTGGAGGACATTCTGGGGTTGGTATCGGGGTCAGAGTACCTCGGTCAAGTGTTCTCGGGATTATTACTGTTGGGACAATGTTTGGTGTAGCTACTAAAGCTGCACCTATTGATATAGACGCCGCCATCAGGGCTGAAAGATCTGCCAACTTATCACATCTCACTGGCACTTCACGAAAGATACTGATGTTTATCAAAAATCGATTTCTACAGATTTTACCGGATGGCACTGTCAATGGAACTGAAACGGACAATGCTGACTACAGTGAGTACTCATTTTTTATTCTCATCAAGATTCATCTAGAATCATTATATAACTAAATGGTAATATTGGAGAGGATTCTCTTCTTTTACTTTCTTTTTCGAATGATTCAATGAGTTTGTATGAGACAACTGATTGCGTTACCTGATGAGTTTAGAAATTGGCGAATTTAACAGTAGACATTCTTGGACCGACGGTCTGGTCCAAGAATACTCAACTTACACACAACTCACTTCTATTAACTAGTCCACTCGAGAATAACCTTTCCATCAACCTCCGTCATTCTAATTGCCGGCATTATTCGCTCAATGTTTCACACGTACACAGAAATTCAAAGAAAAAATCCATTCATGCATTAACACTTGGTAAACCTATAATTAAAATTTAAACATTAGTTATTAGAGGTTCCACTTGATTGGTTATTTTTAATACTTATAATTACACCCCTAAATGAATGGGTTTTGAATGAAACGTTGTTGTATTTTATCCTGTATCAATTACCAAAATGAAAAGTAATCAAGAAAGTGTGAAAAAATAGATTAATCATCATGAAAATTATAGGTTGAATTACATTGCTAGTTAAGTTGACCAATTATTTTTTACATGGTAACATACGCGTATCGAATAAGCACCTTGGAAGTTTACCAACATCTTGAATGGTTTCTCTGTCGACAAAGCTCACCGACGACTTGTAAAGTGGACGGCAATACGGAAATAGCGTGACTGTAGTTCAATTTCAAAGTCTTACATCTTTAAATGATTCAAGTTAAACATTGTACGTGCTAGTGGATACGATAGTTCTGCCGCAATGCCAATGACGACAGGATCGCTTCAGATATCAATCATCATGGAATCCGGCCTACTTAATTGGCCTCTCGTACCTGGATACGTGATTCTCCATTCCTTTACTTATTTAGATTGACCAGCGCTACAGTCACGTGCTATTATTTTTTTATTTACTTCTATTGCTACCAAACCTTTTTCGTTGGTCAATTCATTTCTTGACGTTTAACAGAATATACACAATTATTATCTCATGATAATTATTTCAACTTGGACGCCAATCCAATCATATCAGCAAGACTGTCTTGATTACTGATAAGACTAAATTTAAACTAGTTCATGATCATGTCAATAACATTTATCAATTTACGGAAATTGATTTCTACTACTCAATTATACAATATATCTACAATCATGATACTAACAATAATAATAATAATTATTATTATTATTATTATAATAATTGAAATAATAATATTTCAATGCATTTAAAATGATTTCAAGGAATTGGATAAAATACTTGGGTTTGATGGAAATAATTAAACTATTTTACCATATAAATGGAAAATTTAAAATACATTACAGGAGTAAGGAGAATAGATAATGGTGGGCAAGATTAAATATCCAGATAATGCTACTCGGCTTCAATACTGACGAGAGTAAAAGATTGTTGGCTATGTATCGAACATATACTTGGTGAATAACTGGGTATTATAACGCGCGATTAACTAAAGCCGGAACTACATCCACAGTTCAAGGGTTATATAGGCTTGAAGCGGACGCATCACGTACATCCAGCCTGCATTCATCGTTCCGCTCCTCCTTCATGTTTCCTTCAGCTTTCCTTCAGGGTTTCTTCGTTTAGTTATCTTCTTCTTTTCATTCCTCTTTCTACATCTACTCTCAGTGCACATCTTCCTTGCTCCAATTGATGCTCGAATTACACCTAGTCACGCAAATCTACCCTTGATCAAATTTTTCTACACTAAATATAGAGCCATTAAAATCTAAAAATCACTTGCAATCAATTATTATTTAAATTAGAATTAATAATAAAAAAGATTCTACAGATTAATCGTTTTAATTTATCCAATGTTACACTCGTTAAATTATATTCATGTTTCCAATTCAACAACTACAAATACTTTATCCAGATGACTAAACATTGGTGGGCGTGAGTAAGATGAACGTTTGGCCTGTAATACAGAAATTTCATATCTTTCAAATACTAACCTACCACACAAGTGTGGAGGTAGTTATATTTTTTAAGAGTTTTACACTTGGAGAAATCTCAATGACATAAATATACTTTGTTCCTACTTGAATTTACATTGAATTGCTAGGTCTAGGTTATTTGATATGACAACTATACACCAAGTTGAATATTTTTATGGTAAAGAAGTTAATGGCTTGCACTGTGCAGTTGATTAACTTGTCTAGCTATTGTAATTGAAATATCCCGGACGTACATAACTACGTAGACTGAAGATAACATTGAGTAGCATCGAGGGTAAAGAAATTCAACGAAATATGAATACAGATATCACAAAATAAAAGACCAAACACTCATTGATATCAAATCAATGAAAATGTAAGACGGAAATGGTGAACTCAAAAATAATGTTAACAATAAAAATATCAATATTTAAAAGTTTCTTATAATGAAATAGACATTTAGAATATGATAAATCATTCACAGTCGAAAGCACAAAGTCAATAACCTCGATATCTAGATCAATTGCATAGTATAGACTCTTCCAGCTGGCATCATTGACCTCTACATGAAATGATGTAACAGTCACATCATCATTCTACAATCACAGCTCATAATTTAGTCCATTTTTTTTCTTGTTATGTTATAATGTAAGAATTGAGCATCGTGTAGAATATTAATTAACAGTACCATCAACACTGTAGCTTCATTAGAAACTATTATATCTACTTTTATTAGAATATCTGTTTGATAATCAACTTTATATCAGTCAGTTGGATGATATACTACTTAATGATAGAATTGATGGATACACTTCTAATGAAAGGTATATTTGTTCAGTGTAAATTTAATAAAAATTCATGCTCATCAATTATTCTCATTCTTTTTCCATCATGTTTAAATCAAGAGCAAATGTAATGATGAATTTTTTTATTTTTTACCTCACACAGAGATTCTTTTTACAATTTGTAGATTATCATTTCAAGTTATTGAGCATTATGGCATTTAAGTGTTTTTTGTTTATAATTTTTATTTTATTTTTATTAACTGTAATTAATAATTACCTCGTAGTTTGTGTTAAATGGCTAGGAATCTTCAGAAAAATTCGAGAATTAAAGCAATAAAAATAATAAATGATACTAAAGTGAAAAATCATTCAACACTACATTATTGTCAGGAATTACAAGTCTTAAGTAGAGATATTTTTTTTTCTTTTTTATTCTCTCATCTGTCTCCTTCACTCTTACTCTCTTTCTTTTTCTCTTTCTCTCTCGTAATTTTCTTCTCTTTTGTCTTTTATTATCAGAATGAAGCAAGCTGGTTGTCCAGTTTTTCAAGCTCTTCCGCCCTCCAACCTTAACGAGAAAAAGGAACATACATTTCTTACTTCATGGACATAACAAAGTAAGACTCAGACTTAGATACAAAAAAAGTCATTATGACGCGAGTAACTGCAGAAACTTAGCTGTCAGTTCATTAGACGTCTAGAGAGTATTTAATGAAACTGCGTTAAATGTTAAGTTGATACTTGGAAGAGAATCACCATCAAAAGGTACACTGAGAAAAGGATTTTGTAATAGTTGAAGAGATTCGTCAACTCTTTAAAGAATCTTTTGTTCAAATATTACTGAATAAATATTATTGTTAGTGTGTCTGTGTTCAAGAGATATTATTCACAATAATACCAACAAAAATTATTTGTTTAAATATTTTTTCATTTTAGCATAAGACATTTTTAAAAGTAACATTTACTTATTTCCTTGAGAAAAAGAGATATTTAATAATATTTAAAATATATTCAGATAAGCCGTAATAAATTTTAATTTCTTCAAAATTGTTTTTTATTTTTCAAAAAAAGGTATGCACTCTTGTCCAAGCTATAAATTATATTAACTTCATATTCATAAATAAAACGTAATAAAAAACTTTAATAGTTATTTATAAAAACAAATTGGGACCAGCTACTTTCTAAATTAGCATTATTATACATGACACATGCTTAAACTGTTCTCCTATATCAGCAGCTGTTAGAGAATTTTTCCAGTTGATTTCTATGACCAGACATTGGAAAATTATTGATTAGTTGGTGATTAAATAAATCAAATATCACACATTTAAATAAGTCAATTAATCAATTTGCTATTATAATATTTTATCTACTGACCCAGATATTATAAATATCTTTTAGTTCCATTCCTCAGCGGCCCTGACATTCAATATGTTTATATCAAGAATGAATTATCAGGAACACCCACAGTTTGTACAAACTGCGATTTGGACCCTCTTCGAAGCTAAGCTCGTTCATTACGAAGATTAAGACATCTCTACTATGGAGAATCCAAATCAACAATTCTGGCGCCTCGCATTCTCTTTTTTCAGTTAATAATTTAATCCTTCAATGCCTACGTGATCGGTTTCATTTACATACTTTCCATCATTTTTTGTTTCATTCTATTCTTAACTCCATATATGAGTAATCTCGAGGGGGCCTGACGTCCATTTGTTGATTTAAATGTTACTTTGACCATTATATTTATTTGTAGAAATATCTGTTCAACTACGTATGTACTGAAATTAGCTTTGGCTTATTCAAGTGTGTATTTTGTTTGCTATGAATAGCGTGAGAAATTCCTTGCGAAATACGTAAATTAACCGCATAATTAACCGCAGTAAAATTTGAGATCTCATAAGTCAAAATGAAAGTTAGTCTGATTAAGGAATAAAAATATTATTTTAATGTTTATTCTATTTTACTATTAACATATTTTTATCTTACTTAATGGAGACCATTGATAGAGGGTAGAAAAAAAAAAGGATTATCATGAAGATAAGAAAATGTTTGCTTTTATGAATATTAAGTATTTATTGGCAAACTTTAATTAATATTTAAATAAAAATTAATGAGTTCTAATTTCTCGCTAAATTTAAAAAGTCTGATATTATTTAATGATTATTTTTTTTTCCTTAGTCATTTGAATAAATGTGATTTGTAATTAAAGAATGATTAACAGTAAAATTAATTTAAATAAAAAACAAGTTAAATAATATATTAAAAATAGACATGATTATTAATATTTATTATAATCTTGTAAATACCAAGTTGAAGGAGAAAAAAGAAGTGAATATTTAATCTTCTGATTTGTATTTATTAATAGTATATCTCGGTATATCTATCACAAAAGTAAATTCGAATGATTAGAAATTTCTTGGGGCCTTCTAGGTTGCTATTTTAATCGATGCTGTTGGTGAAACTTGTTTTTATGTGACCGTGGTTCACGGTAAACGCCTCATTTAATTTTATGGTAGACATCAAATTAACCCTAGGAGTTAATATAACAGAGAGTAACAAGGTGTATTGAATATCCTAATAACTGATCTTTTACTTGTGATCGTGATTCAATCGGTTTACTCGGTTTAATTCAGGATAAGAAAAGGGGAGGAAGCTGAGAGTGAAGAATTAATAATAATAACCTAACTTGACTTATACCGATATAATAATGGAGGCAGATTATCAGTCACTGGAGTAATCATGTTGTCTACATTTACTTGACGACGCTTCATCATCTTTGGGTGTTAAAGTGCCAATTTAAGGTTGTCCTAAAATTAATTATCTTGGTGTAATCAAAGCAACTTGATAATTATGTGTGATTTTAGTCGTGACAAATAAGGATCGAGCAGGATTGAAAATCATTAACTATCAGTTGATCAACACTTATCTTTGATCATGATAAAGATCAATATTTAATGTTGTTTTCTTTATATTCTACCTGCGAGGGAGAGAATAAATAAGAAAATAAAATTAAATAAAGTATTCATGTCTGATGGCCTTGCAAGGTCTTATTCCTTTTACCACACACATTTATACACACCATTATTATTGTTATGAACTTTCTATTTAATTTATTCTATTAAATTTATGCTTTTATTCTTTCTCTTTGACATTCACACACCTTTACGCGTCCCAATTATATTCGGACTACATGCAGGAATCCTAAATCACAGATACAGATTATCGACAAGACAGATCGACATAACGAGTAGGTGGGTTATGCGCCGAAAACTAAGAAGAAGGCGTATAAATTGTCAATAAAGACCATCCGATGAATTATGTCTGTCATTTTTTAACCACCAATTCCTAATTGGTCTATAAAAATGAAATTTGTATTTATTATAGTTACTTAAAGGGTACTCGTCATCACATACTAACTTAATACTTTTTTTTCTCTTCATCAACACCATCAAATTATTCATTTATTTTTTACACTAGCAAAAGTACATTTTTGGATCAAGAAGTGTTTCGTTATTGATCATAATATTCTCAAATAAAATAACAACACTTGTACTATTTAACATGAATGGATCCACCATGATGGATCCAGAATGATGACAAAAATGCCATGATCCTGTCATCATGAAATTAAAATTAATTTAAAACACATTTTGAAGTAAAAATTACTCCAAAAAGATACAGAATATAAATCACCAAATGTGGTAATAAAATTCCAGTAATTTTTGACTCCAAAAAATAGTTTTAGTTTATATGACTCTTTAATCGACTATTAATGAGGTGTAATGAAGTATTTTATCACATTAATCTAGTTATTTTGTAACGATAAGCCATGAATCACTAGTATACAATAAATGATAGGTATTAATTGTTATTATATATTCAAATAAAAAAGTTAATTGCTGAAAGTGGCTTGATGAAAATAGTTACTACCTGATACTAAGTCGAATACTTGTGAGTTGCTGATAAAATAATTCGCTCCCGGCGTAGCTTCTCTGATGCATTGCGAATACTCACATTACACGCAATTCACGCTTCTCAAGAGAACATTAATTGCATGTAGGTATTATCGATTTGCAGACACGGTTTATGAACAAAAAAGACTGACAAAAATCTTAAAAGCAGGAATGAGTAGGCGAATAATTGATTAGATATTACTGATAATATTATACCCAATCTATTTTATTAATCTTTACATAAATTCATGTAAAGCCAAAATTACTTCTCAAAATCATTTAATCCTATTTGTTAATAAAATTAAATACTTAAATACTTAAAATCATTAACGATTAAAAATTTGAATGCGCTTTCGAACATCATACATTTAATCCTTTGAATATTTTTTCTGGTTAATTTTTTTATTCGCTGGTTTAGCAAAGAAACGCCCAGAAATATCTCAGATAATATTGCGTGAATATTGCCAGGCTTCTTCAAGTACTACTTTTTCATATACGAATTTAACGTCGCCATACCTCATACAAATGACACTGATACGTCCTCTAAATCAATGTTTATTGCGTCCTGCGTTTTAAGAACCATGATTCTTTCTCATACGTTTTCCAAGTGGAATCTAAGCCTTTTGAATTTTTACTTTTCATTTTTTTTTTCTTCATCTTCTCTTGTCCCAACGCTTGACATCACGCTGAGCTTCATGGTTGGAATATTCATTTATGAATGACGATTAAAAAAAAATGACGAAAGAATAAGATGTCCTGGATTTTTATACTACTCGATAAACTTAAAAAAGTAGGAATCAAAGAATTTAGTAATTTGTGAGATATTTTTCAATTTTGTCATTTACATATTTCTAACTATTTCAAATGATGATAATCGACAAAGAAGGAAAAAAATTTATTTTTAATCCACCAATTTAGAATAAAACTCATAAAAATAAAAACACTAGAAATGTTTAGCTTATAGACACAACTGTCGAAAATTTAGCAATACAAATTAGCTAAAAAAACTTTGCTCAAGATTTGTATCTGATGGTCGGCATGTAATAGTTATAGAGAAAAGGAAGAAGCCACACCTTGACTGTTACTTTCATTAATGTTCCTCACAAGCTTAATTTAACCGTTAAAATTTTGTGAATTCGCTATTTTTTTTCTTCACCATAATACCCGGATATGAAATACACTATTTATAGTATTACATTATTTATACCAGATATCCTGGGAAAAAAATTCGTTTCTAATCAACAGTAAATTTTTTTTTAAAGAAAAAAAGAACATTTTTTCTCCATACACTCATACACATATGTATATAAGTAATTAATTTAAAATTCAAATGCTAACAAATTTGAATAAGTTCAAAGTTATTGAAGAGACTATTTCATTTTTTTTTTTTCAGATAAAAAAGTTTAAAAATAAATGTTAATTTTTTTTCATGCATACCTTCTCTATATTTGCACAATGTTCAATAGTCTGAATATGATCCAGATAAAACTGACAAGACAGATGGACCTCAAAAGGGATAGGAAGAGAAGTAAGTTTATGATGGCGGACAATATAAGAGTAAGACAACTAAACAGACGCGTTTCTATTTCGGTTGAGGTGAACACGAAAACGACAGACTCAGTGACATAACCCCGGGTTAGTGGCCTTTTCGTGACACTACTTTCGATTTTATTAATATATATGATATTTAACTAATAACATCAATCAAAATAAAGACATAAATAAATATAAATAAATAAATAATATATACAAAAGATGATGAGAAGACATTAGATACAAAGCCTACCAGAAAAATATCGCGTGTACTCATTATCAAGCAAAGTCTACTAACGTTATTCCATGATAACACTAAGGCGTTAAATCGGTATCAAGGTGCTTTAATTAGTTACTGAAGCTAATGAATATAACATGAGATTATCAAACTCGAAGATGTGAGAATATTTGAAATATTCAATTATTTAATTACCATCATTGTTGTAATATACAATGAAGCACACAATATATAAAGAATATATTATATAAAATTAATTCACATTACTCCAACAATGCGGAAGAATGTTATTAAACATAAAAGCATAAGGTATGCATATAAAATATATATATACACATGTTATTTTATGTACGAATATTTTTGTATATGAAAGCAAGTTGAAACTCAACGATTCTGGGACTAATTAGACCGGCCGTAGTTTGTTAACAGTTGAGGTCGTTAAACGCAACACGAGCAAAAATACTGTGTTGATTATCGCGAAGCGTGCCTCAGTTTTTTGTATATACCATTCTAAACCATATGTTACACTATCAGCTGATACAACTCCTCTGCTCTATATCCCTACGGTTTCATAAATCATCATATTTTCATTAGTTTTTATTTCATAGCATGCTCACTTACCAATATAAGATGATTAAGTATTCCTGATGAATAACTGATAAATGATTTTCAGCAATATTCCAAAGGATTTCCGTGTCAAGCGGTCAATTAAAGATTCAAGGAGTTGCAACATGTCTCTACCTCTGCATGGATTCTTGTGGTCTGCTTTACGGTTCTGTAAGTATTTTATTTTCATATTTTAGTAAGTATACAGGATGTTAAGATCACTTTAGCAATTAAATTAAATAATATATAATCATATAAATTACGGCAAAGTGAATAAAAATTTACAAGGACGTTTAGAATATAAAAAAGTAAAAAAAAATTAAATAATAATAAAAATTGTAAACATTAGTTTATAAGGAGCTAATTACCTTCATTGATTGCAAGTTGAATGCCAATAAACCTGGTGACTCCTAATCAGAAGAGTCTGATTCAAGACTAAACCATCACCATCACCATTACAGTTGTTTCATTCAATTCTTGGAAATTTTTTATTCACATTCCGCAAGAAATACCATTGACATTCATCAAACACTAGAATATATTGTGTGCACAAGGTGCGCACCAATGATTGGATGATAATTTGAATTTTTTAATCAATAAGGAAAAAGTCATTCACTTTATCAATAATATATCAATTATAAACTAATTTCATGTGTCCATGTAAATTCATGGATAGGAAATAAATAGGATGATTCTTTTTCCCTACTTCTTGATACTCTCCTCATCTCCAGTTATTTCATAGTCGTCAAATTGATGATCATTTCTTCAAACTCATTCCGACATTTATATTGTAAAATCCCAAGAAATTAATACTTTATTGGCAATGTGACTTGGTCAACACTTTCATTGAGATAAATATTCATATGATGTGGAGAAGATAAGAGAAATAAAGGTGTCCAAAATGGAAAAAATCATAACGAGGCTTGTGTGCAGGAAACTGGAATAATAAAAAGAATAAAGATTAAAAAATATTTCAAAGCATCGATATAACATAGATTTTTGTAATTGCAAACCAGTGAAGATCCTACTACTACTTCAGGAGTAAAGAAAAGACAGAGATAACAACATGATCTACCAGATGTTGCTACCGGTGAGTCGCGCGACGATGAGGCAGAAGCTGCTCTCGCTTGCATAACGCCTGAAGGAAATTCCACGCTAGGCCACACCGTGTGCATTGCCTCGAGTCAACTGTATTATACGGCCAGCAGACGCGAGCCACGCGCGTCGCGTGCACTTACGCGTTTCAGTTTCACGGCAAGTCGTGTAGCATATAATAAGAGGTCACATTGTATATGTTCAGATAAAACATTATTAACTATATTAAAAAATTATTCCATTATATAATTCTAGTTTTTGAATTTATTTTATATTTTTCTCATCATCTTTAAATACAAGTTATCGGTTGAATATGGCTGTTTCTCGGAATTTATTATCTATCAACTACCGCTTTAATTTTATCTAAACACTTATGATTTTCTGAAGAATACCAATAGTTATATTAGTATCAAGCAGCTGCTAAATCTGGCTATTTAATCAAATAAATTTTCTCCAAAAGGGTTCATTCTAAGTAGCATGGAGATGGATCAAGTGAGGAGAATGCTCCATTTATTCTTTCAAAAATAAAAAATTTAAAATAAAAACATGGTATTAAGAAGCAGTTAACTATGAAGTAGATTATTTTTAATTTGAAAATATTTCAAGACCATAAAAATGTTATTTTCATTTTTACTATTCTTTTTTTTTTTTTTCATAACTCTTTTATTATAATTATAACTAAAAATTCTATATTAAGTTTTAATTAAAAACATGTATTTATTACTTAAAAGAAACATCATTTTATTGATTATAAAAAGAGCTGATAATTTAATCTAAAGTTTTGACAGAAAAAAATTTCGTATGTTTTTGTAGATCAATCAATTAACATTTTAAAGTTGAACGACTTTTGATTCCAATTATTTGTCGAATATTTTCCCACGAATGAGATGCTATGTGTTAAAATGGTAAGGATTACACCCACGCATCTTGAACTTGACTTAGATTGAATCGTGATATGCGACACTTATATGACCGTTCACATTTAGACATATCATGATCATGACTTTCATCGAATACTGTGTGATATAAATAGATAGACATAAACATTTGTCATATAATAATAATAATAATAACATTTTATAATCAATGAATCGAGAGGATTTTTTCCAAAAAAAAAGTGCTAATTTATATAATGATGATCGCATAAAATTTAAATTATCTTATAAAATAAAAAATGATGTATCTTTTAATAAGTTATAAAATGATATCCTAAGATAATGTTACCAAACGACTTTATTACCATATTCACTTTTCTTTTCTTGTTTTATTTCTTTATTAAATGATAATTATCTCACAAAAAGGCTATAATATTAACCAAAAACAATTACTCAAGTTCACCTTCATTTTGATCATCAGCAAAATAGCTATACCTTATTATACTAACCCGCATATTTAGCGAAAAAAAGGTTAATCTAGAATTGAACATGACCGTTAGAGCAGATGCAGTTGATATATAACATATAAGCATAAACTTATATAAGTCATAGTGCAGATGTAAGAAGTGAAGCCCTTGGAGTATTATGGTGGATGGTATAGACAACAGTTGATGGATGCACCAGGTAGTTTCCGCAATCGATCATTTTACGCTAGAAGTATATAGTAATAATCAATAATTTTCGCTAACTATTAATGATGTAAGAATGCAATATTCCCACTTTATAAAGGATTTTTTTACTATTCCTATTATTATCATAAATTGCTTACGGCGCTTGATTTTATATATAATCTCGCGGTTTTATCTTCTCAACATCTCTTGAATAGAACTCTCGTTAAAGTTAACACGTCCTGTTCGTTTCTGTGGTCGTACATCACTACTTGAGAATCCTCCTGATACTGGTACGAAAAACAACCTTTCGTCGTGATGCCGGCGTTGAGCATCGGCTTACAGTGCGTCTCCTAACGATATAATTCAAGCCGTTGACGCGTGCACAAATATTATGATGGACGGCCGTTAACTTGAACAATGCCAGGAGACTTAAATCTCCAGAGATGAATAAAAGGCGAAGAGAAATAAAAAAGAGAAGAACAAGGTATGAAAGGTTGAAGAGATGAAGAAGGCGACTATAATGATGATCATGATGATGTTCATGATGATGAAAAGAGGGTTATAAACAAGGTGAAGGTTTTGAGAATATCTTTAAATAATCCTTGAGATCGCAATCCTTTCGCTTACATAGCTTTTGATGCTGCAGAACTAACACGTGACAGTTGTAGATATCTAAACTCGAATAAATAGAATGAGAAGGCTTCCTGCAGTTTCGAGAGATTGAAATACGAGTCGACTCGATACGGGTGGTAATCTGTTTAATGCACATGGTAAACATACTTAACAAAATATTTTAAATCTCATTTTATACACATCAAAAAATTTGAATTATCATCAGACATAAAAATTACAATCAAAAGTTGAATTATTTATCCTACACATTATTATTTTTTATTTATCCTCTTTTGCTTCACAAACTAACTTATGAGTTAATTCCAAGGATTATGAATTGACGTAGAAACGTGTTTAAAAAAGCTGAAATAATTTTTAAAAAAACGTTTTTTGACGATTCGAGAGAAGCCTTTTGACGCCATCGACATCGTATTCTTGTAACTTTATGAGCTCGGTCCGTTTGAACCTAACAACGAAATTATTTTCGACACTTCCCTATTAACACTTAACATTTAACCATTATTTAATACTTCCTAAATCAGCCGATACTTTTCTACATCACATTAAGCTCCAAATTTACGAGTAAAATAAGATGTTTCTACCTAACAACTGCCTTATAACGATAAATTTCACTTTTAGACTAATCAAGCTATTTCTATGAATTGATGCACTGATCAACATTTCCTCCTTTTTTTGCTCATTATTTTTTAATAAAACCAGTCAAATTGGTGAAAAATAAAAACAAATAAAATTTGTTGTAAATCATGACTGACATAAGTTATAACTTGCTAACAACACACCCATAAGTATCACCATGATCACCAACATGCAATGTTTGACTTCGTCCAACTTATACGTGTACAGCTGAAAACATAAAACTAAACGAAAAAAAAAGTTATTATCTTGTTAAGTCTAGTCTATAAATTTTCTTAACTTTACTATAGTTATACATATCATTGTGTAAAAGCATTAAATTCTACTTGAAAAAGTTTAAGAACAAACTGATAAATGGTATATGAAAATGACGTGAAAATACTTGTAAATTGCTAATTGTACAAAATATTTCTCAAGTTGATTCAACTTCTTATCATCAATTCATGAACTTGTACTTTTTGTTTTTTAAAAAAAGAAAAAAGCCTATAATTACTATTGAAAACAAAGAATGCCGACTCATTGTAAAGCAAGTGACAGCAGCGGAAGACTCTCATTGAGATATTACGTGATCGATTTAGCAGATAGGGAGAATTGGTAACGCAGAATGCAGGAAGAAAAGTGTATTATCATTTAAAAAAGCTTCGACCTATTATTAGGCTTTCAATCTTAAACTTTAAAATAGATTAAAGTTATCCCTCTAGAACACGTACGACTTTTTACGCAAGACATTAGGCAAAGTAAACAACTATCAATAAATAATTGCTCATGGTTATTTACACGATTTATTTTAAAATGTTAATCTTGAATTATATATATTTATTTAAAAAGCTATAATTACTAAATTAGTTAAAGTAAATAAATATTTAATTCTGAAAATAACAATAATTTTTTTTCTTTATTTCAGCGAGAGTACACTGAAGATTGTGTGTTCAACGAGACATTAGAGGCTCATAATTATAATACTTATAGTTCAGTGAGATGGTCAACGCCTCGAAAGACTCTCTACATGGGGTTAAATCGTTATGGTCAACCTCGAAGAGTTCAAGCGCGTGGTCATAATTTAGGTAGACTTTCACCTTATGCAAGAGTCTTGACTTTAGTAGCATCACCGGACAGACTAGAAACCCTTCAGAATCGTATATTGGGTGCACAACATAGGGTTCGTCATCATCATGTACAGCATCATCAAAATATTCAACAATCGATTTGTTCTTCTAGTCTGTCTAACCAAGAGAAAGATAGCAGAGATAGGTTCAGATGCAGAAAGAGAAAAAAACGAAAAAAAAGAAGAAGACGCTGTGAGAAGAATGAAAAAATGAATTCTCATTGTGAAACTCGTGTTGAAGAAGATAGCAAACGTTGTTCAGATACTGGTGGTAACGTTGAGAGTTCCGTTGAATCCAAGAGATCTTGTGAAGATGTAGCTAGTGATGAATTATCAAGGAAGCAAAATTTAAATACTCCTGCGGTAAAGCGGAAATCACGATTAGAAGTAGTTAAAAATGATGAAAGAAGTCATTCAAAAAAGAAAGATTCGAAAAAAAAGCTTACGAGAAAAGTGAGCTTAGTCGATGGCGTCGACAACACAGCTGACATGAAGCAGAAGGGACTGATTTTCAAGGAGAATTCAAGCCTGGTAAAAAAGAAATTTCCTGGAAGATCGATAAGAACAACTGTGCCAGCTCCCACAGAGAATTCTAGTGCTACTTTAGCTACTTGGTTCTTTGGACCTACTACTCAGTCATCTTGGGACCCATCCACGAGGTACAAACCACCAAAAAAGACCGTTAATCAAACAATGAAATTAACAAGTCCAAAGAAAATGGAAACCCAAGTTATTAGTACACCTTCGTCTTATGATAAAATAATCAGAACTTCAAATGTTCCATCTGTTATTGTAGAATTTAGCACTGAAAATACTAGTCTGCTTTCGCCAACATTTGAGTCATCTGATGATATTTTTATCCCAACATCTACCACTAGTGATATCTCTGAAGAAACAAGTGAAGAAGATTTTGGATTAGATGATGATCCAACAGGTACTTCTAGTGATTATGGTCTAATGATGACAACTATGGACACAACATCTCCTGAAAGAACGGAAAATTATGCCAAGACTACCACACAATCGCTTATGGAATCACTCGAAATCAACAGGCCGGTTATTGACTCCAATCGATCATCAGTTGATTCAACATTTCCGTTTAAAAGACTTGCAATGTGAAAACTTGTCTCAAAAGCTTTTTTCTCTCTTTGTAAAGTGTACATAACTGATATGAAATTAATTAATTCATTAATTAATGCAATTTACTATTAATTCACGTCCCGAATAAATATTTTACACGTTCAATCTATAATTAGTTAATGATCTAGTTTTATTAAATTACAGGGAAGATTATTTTAATTTATCAAAAGATAATGAATGATAGACTTTTTATTGTTTTTTGAAAAAAAATTTCTTCGTAAGTTAAATAATTAAAATAAGAGCAACAGTATCTGGACAAGAGGCTGATCTTCTCCTCACGAATCTCGGAAATCCCGATACATTTATTTAGTGATTTATTTATTGAACATTTATTTATTGCGTAAATCCCAATCAATAATTGTGTGTGTATGTATATGAGCTATGTATGCGAAAATGGAAAAAACTCAAAATCAATCACTGGTCTTAGGTATCGCTTAAATCCAATTAAAGTAAAATTCAAAAGAGAAGAAAAAAATGATAATTATAGAAAAAAAAACTTTGGTTAAATATTTTTTATCCTTTACCCCACTGTTAGAATTAAATTTCTTTGATTGATAAAAATATCATAACGATATTTGAATCGATACCTAAACTCAGTATTAATGCAAAAAGACGTAATTCCTGATGTAAATAAAAAAATCAGTTTAAAAAAAAAATTATGAAAATGGTTTCAAATGCTGTAAATATAATAAAACTTGCAATGTGATTTCAGTTAAAAGTACTGATCCCACACTGCCATTTGATTACAATAATGTATTTAATCACACAGACTGATAAAAATAAAATACTATCAATAATAATATTATACAAGTATTTAATTATGAAGTTGACAATGCAATGGGGATATAGAATACCCAATATTAATTCAAAATTGTCGCAATAAATAATAATAATAATAATTGTAAATATAAATTGTGAATATAAACCAATTAAATATTTCAGTTGTTTTTAATATTGACATTAGTAATCATTCATTAAAATGCCATCTTATGTGATATTTCCTATAACTATATTGCATATAGTTATCGATCAATAATAGTAAATTAATTAAATGAATTTTATATAAGAATTTACTTGAATGAAATTTTTTTTTCTATGTCATTAATATAATATTTAATAATCGACGATATAATTAATATCCTATTGAGATTTGACCTTTTTTAAATCGTTCAAATTATCTAATATATCTGTATATTAAACAACTATTAATGATAATTGGATATCTTGCAAGTTTTTAATAAATTTTTCTACAAACGAATGTTTTACTTAAATGCAGTAAAAAACTCGCAAATTATGTAGTCCAACTACCATCGAATAAACGGTATCACTCATTGCAAGACAGCCTTGTTTTTTCTACACACTACTGGTTGACACATCACCTAGTATAATATGAGTTGACAGAAAAAACTACTCTGGGAACTTTAATCTTTGATGTCCTGGTGCGTACCAGTCTGAAGAATTGCCAATCTGTATCGTCTCGAACGAGTTTACGTGTTTACTTGATCAAATAAAACAATTTGATTCATTCTAAATGTGTTTTATCATGTTGGTTACGAGAAAAGCCGCTCAGAATCATGACCGGAAGGCCAGATGGTTGATAAAATATACTTAACATTTATTCAAGACATTGAGAAACGTTTTCCGCCTTTGAGACAACGTTTTGGTTGTTTTTCCTCGCAAAAATGAGCTTTTCTGCTAAACGCAAGGTAAGTCTCAGGAGGATTGGCCGCTTTATCGTGGTTAACGATTATGAGCAGAACGCGTAAATCCCAGTCTTGTTACGTACTAAAGTACAAGGGAATGCTTCTAACAACGCAACAAGATCCTAACTAAAGACACCGTCGAATATGTATATATATATATATATATGTTGCAATTATACTTACGAATTACAGTTCAGTACTTTTTCTCCATCTTTTTCTTCCTTTCCATCATTTTCAAAGAAAATTTTTTTGAATGTCTCATACGTTGAGTACTCACGCACTGATTTCCACGCTACCATCTGGAAACAAATTGCAATGTGTCATTTCCTGCTCAAATACAAGAAAGATTTATATATTATATATCGACAGAATATTTATGCATATGTGAAATGAACATCCTTGATACTATGATCAACATGATTTCTACCCCAGGCTATCGGACGTACTCAATTTATTGCAAATTCATCTTGTTATTTTCCTAGTAAAGCTTCCATGTCCATTTTTATGCTTCATAATATTTTTCATAAATCACTTCTAATTTGTGTAATTTATATTTATTTATATGCTATGAATATATATGTCATAGTTGGTAAAAAAAGCTTCATAGAATTAAATTGTAAAATATGATGCTTTATTATATTTTTAGTTTCTAATCATCGATAGAATTCATAGACTCAATGTAAAACTGTCAGTTGTTTAAACAATAAATAATAGATACCTTGATAAAGAAACATCTTTGATGAATTAATTTCAAGTAATTATCCACACATACTATGAGCTTCTATTTTTTTTTTGTTTTATCATTTGGATATCATTCCACTACAAGTTTTCAAAGTCATTTAAAGAATTTTCAACTTCATATGTAATTAAATTTATCAACAATATTGATGATACAAATGTGTAACTTTTTAATTAGAAGTACTCTTGTTGTAGATAAATCAAGTAGTATTGCAATACGATCCTGTTACGTAAAATATCAAATCAATTAGTTTTATGAAACTAGACTTACTCATTACATATAAATGCTAAGTTACAATCAATATGTAATAATTTGTCATTGATAATCATTAAAACTTGTACGAATAAAAAAATGTTGACACAGCTCTCTACCATCTGTACTAGTAATCTATGATGTAGTAAGTAATTTTTTAAAATCTATTAATGTTTTTTTGTTTCACGTAATTGATTTATATCAAATATAAAAACGTAAAGATAAAAACAAATAAAAATAATCAAACATCTATACAAATTTAAAATGGTACATGTGTAAATTTGTGGTTAGAATTTAAAATTTAGTGACTACAGTTTGTACGAGCGTTGTATTCAGATGAGAAAATAAAATATGAACAAATAAAATAAAAGATTCAAGGGGAGATGCGAAATCCGATAAGCAAAATATATTCGGAACGATCGTTGGTACATAATACTTATCAGTTAAAGATTGAAAGAATCAAATGCTTTTTAAATACAAATAATCATACATTTTGATGTATGGATATATTCCTTCATTTCAAATCTAAGAGCATAACGGAAAACTTGATAAAGTAAAAACTCTTAATTGTTAAATAAAAAAGTTAGTTAAATGCTTATTATAATATAAAAAATAAGCAGCCTTGAAAGTTCATTGTACGGAATATGACTTTAACATCAAGATGCACTTTCCACCGCAATTGTAATTAATCGACTATTACGTCTGATCGATCAGGACTCGTTTATGTCGACACTTGCGGAATGTCCCAGAGATACGATAGGCTACTGTTTTTATTCTCGAGGCGGAAGTTTATATTACTAACTTACCATAATCAAAGTTACAAGTTGTATGTAAGAGTAACTAATTACATAAATACATTTATAATTATAATGAGGTATAGTTTTGAATATTTCCTTCACAAAAACAAGGTGTAAAATTTCTATAAATATGTTATTGTCTATTTATAAACACAAGCCGGCGTGGTTGATTTTCGGTACAAGACTCAATGCGCGCGCACGTGCACCTCGAGTTTTATTTTCCAGAGCGTGGTTATTGCTTCTGTCGCTCCGCATTGCGTCACAAATATGGCGAGTATCACAAAACGTTTGTGTAGACCATTACAACATATTCGTAAATTTTCAACGAATTTTTATTTGCTGAAACCTCGTAAAAATACACTTGAAATTATCAAGACTGGCGCTGGATTATTTACCATTGGTGCCATTGTAATTTACGCTGCAAAAAGATATGCCAATGTCAACGTCGTTTACGCTGCTCGACCACGAAAGGTAAGCAAAGTTTAATTGAAGAATTATATCTAATCATTTGTATAAACAATTTTAATGTGATTATGTAAATTACGAAACCATGATATAAATAGAACGTTATACTTTCCAAATTTGAGATACTCAAGCTCCATTGCTTTCGAAATATAGGTTATTATTAGCTACAGAGTTTTCATGTTTTTATAATTAGTGTTTTAGATTTTATCTATTAATGTGAACACGTAATTTTTCTTCAGTGATTCCATCTGAATAAAAAGTTGACACAAAAAAGAAACAGTGTATAGGTATGTACAAGTATCATCATCAATTATGATCGAAAGATCAGTTGAGTTGGGCTAACAGATGAGTACAACGTGAAGATGATGAGTAGTTGTTGATAAAACCATTGGTAAATTATTTATAGTCAATAATCTTCTTGAATTTGAATATTTCCTTTTGGGAAATTTTGATTTTAAAATAACTACGTGCTCATCAATTTACAAATACCAAGACCCAAACATGATATAATTTTATTTTTTCGGTGGCCGGAACTTTCAAGAGTTTTACGAGCGTTAAAAATCACGATACAAGGTGAATATTTTTTCACCGCAACAGGTTGTAACTTACCACTGTGTGTTGTTGTTATATTTTCTTTTTTAAGTTCAAAGACTAAATGCAACGAGTGGTTGATAAAAGGAAGTCGTTAATTAGCACACTAGCCCTGAATTCTCTTTGTCGGATCGAGGAAAAATTTTTCAATCTCTGCATAATTACATAAAAATTCATAAATATCAGCACGTTGAGGTAGTATCAAAATTTTTTATCTTATACTTGAATTATAAATAACTGAATTAATATTTTTTATTATTTTTCTAATTATAGAATATTGTTTGATATACGAGTTGGATGCTACAATTGAATTGATTTGCATTTAAATTCAAATCATAATAGTTATTAAAGATCTCTCGTAGTAGTTACGAACCGCCTACGCAATGTCAACAATTTAACGACATTTCTTGAAATATCTTTTCACTTATCAAAAGTATAACTCAATAAATACTGACCGGTACACTATTCAACTTCTACTAATGCAGTGTTAAGATAGTAAAGGCACTTGGTTACTTAAAATTTTTTTTATTTTTAGTATTTCGAATGACATGAATGAATTATAACACTTGTTCTCGTGTGTCTATAAGAATTTATTTATGTAATGTGTTATAGGTTATTGACATTAACATCGCGTTCACATATAAATTGATTTCAATTAGACTTCATAACGACTAGAAAAAATGAAAGCTTAAATCGAACCAGTTGTACTATATAAATTTTATAATGATTGCGTCTTCTACGTGGGTGGGAAGATTTAAATTCGTTCGGTAAATTTACTTTTCTTTGTTTTGTTCATTTGTTCGACTTTTATTTTTTTTTTCTTTCTTTTTCCAACTCATCATTGAAAGGCAAAGCTCAATAATGAAACAAAGAATATTCAACAATATATCCGTGTTGCTCTGATTTAAGATCAAAAGACTTTTTAATTGACTGGAGTTATAAATCTTCATTTTACATTTAAGAAGTTTATCGTGTATTTCCAGTAACTATTAGGATACAATATAATAATAATAATTTAATAGGCTAAAATAAAAATTATTATAAATTAGCCGTCAATTGGGTTGTTAATATAAAAAATAAATCATAACTTTTTTCTATTTCTCTTTTCTTCAAATGATTCGTTAGTTTATTATACAATTTTTATGTTGATCCTTTTAACATCTCGCATAACGTTCGAGATCTATCATAGACTTATTTGAAGTACTCAATAAAAAATTTGCAATAAATTATAATTATTAACTATTATATTTAATATACAAAGTAGATTTGAACGATTCTTGATAAATCATTATATATTCCAAGTCATCACATTAGCTAAATCTTCTTTTATATTTTCAACTATGTAGGAGGATATTGTGACAGGAGAAAAATTTATCATTTTTATCGATTTTTTATGACAAAAAATTCAATTTAATCGTATAATTAATCCTGGATTATTCAAAAAGATTATTGTGTGATAAAAATCTAAAGAATTACATTTAATTTTCTGCCAAAGCAATGGTTTTAAATGCCACCTAAGAATTATTACTTGGCGTTGATAATATTTTTGTTATATTTTTTTTAAAAGAACTCAAATAAGCCGCATAGCTATATAAATATATATTTTATGAATAGAAAAAATCCATAATGTGGTCAAAAGGCAGTCAATCCTTTATAGTTTGAGGTATAACACTACGCCTGTATACCTCAATAATTCATGGTTTTTTAAGTTGTCTGTTGCACTCACACTTTTATTTCGTGGACACGAAATATTTATGTCGAAGCCTTTGTCGCCTTTTTTCTGATTTAACTACCAAGCTACTGGTCACAATACATATATATATTCATAGCATTCATACATTTTTTTTCAATATTATATCAACAAAATTTTCCTAAAATTAATTTTTTTGTGCTCATGATGCCGATTGTATTATTATGTTTTTTTTTTTTACAAAAAGATTAGTTTCTTCTAATGAAGTTATGAAAATGTAAACTTGATACGTTGACAAAAATTTTAGTTTCATTTTTTAGTGATAAAAAATGAACTTAAATGAATCAAAAGACATGTTCACCTATCACGTTCATCGTATAACTTTACTGTTTATAGTAATACCCTTAGGCCATATAGAACCTGGCAGATTTAGACATCGTTCTGCAAACAAAAAGAAACTGAGACACTATCGTGGAGGTCGTGTGGTCCACCGATGACACATTACCATCCAGATAAAGTTAAAATATTGAAAAATATACCAACTCAAAACAAAGAGAAAAAAAAAGAGAGAACTATATAAATGTCACAGTTGTGTGGAGGTTTTTTATTTTTATCTTACAATTTCGATAAAGAGCAAGTAAATGCGGTTACGCCTTCGATAACAAGCATCTGTAATTTAGGATAAAATAACACAGTAAAGTCTGTAAAAGCACTTTGCACGCGATGCATCACTCACCAAAGACTGTAAGTAGGTATTCAAATTTTCAATTTTATCTTTTGTGTAGTTATTCAGTTAACTATACTGAGCAATTTTCGTCCCTCAGAATTAGACGACCTCACTTGGTGTGAAAGACTTTGATCAATGCCGGTAAAAAAAAATGACAGAACTTTTAGTTAGCACTTACAAAATTGATCAATTGCTACATTATTTTCTCTTTTTTACTTTACTCCTTTCATTATATTATTATTATTATTATTATTTATTTATTTTTCATTATTATTTTTTTATAATTGTTTTTATTTTTCATGAAATTTTAAAATTATTTTATTAAAGCTATGTCTTAATTTTTAAACATTACAAGTTTTTGGAGTTATTTTTTGAAAGAGAATTTCTGATGAAAATGATAGAAATAATTGATTACTATAAATCATATTCAAATCATAGTGTCAAATCTAATATCTAATATTTATTATAAATGTATTAGATATTAATTCTTAGTTCTCACTAAAACTGAAAATATTTTCATCAACTTCTTTTGAAGAACGGATTATTAAAACGGTGCGGCAATATCTTTATTATCGAATGTCTGAAAAGTCAAAACCATCACCCCAGGTGGTATACCTTTTCTCTGTATGTACCCTTCACTGATACCTCTCGGCATTATATTTAACAAATCCGTGCTTCCTTAAATGCTGGGTATTATTTATGTCAATGTAAGAGAATAAACTTGTTCTCTTATTCATTCCATTAGTTAAGAAATTTTTAAAATTGTTTATAACATATAATTATCATAGCCATTTATTTAAAAAAAAATTATTCATAAATTTAATTATTTATTTCTTTTACAGGTGATTTTTCCAAATTTATGCTAATGGATATTTAATGACTATTTTGAGCAAAGGAGAAAATTGATAAAGTTGTGTTACACGAAAGGAAAAAAAAATGTGAACAATTGGCACCGGTGTATTCACTTTTTTCTTTGAAATAAATTTGCGCTAAATCGTGTGCGGAATTTTTGGGTGTCATGTTCGTGGCTTTGAAGTGACGTGAAAACCAGCTTGAAGCCGACGAGGCGCGAAATAAGATAGACAGGTGTAAAGAGCACAAAAAAATGCCAGTGCAATGAGCGAGAAATAAAAACAGGCAGGCCAGAAAATATAAAGTAAAAGTATAACAATCTGATCTAAGTTGAGTGGGTTATATTTATTTTTTTTTATGAATATTTCTGTTACTTTTTTCTTAATGTCCATTCAATTATTATTAATAATCAGTTAATTGAACAGCAAAGATTCATTGAATTTAAAGAAAAAAAAAATGTATGCAAAATATTCTTTCAAAGGTCAAAGTATTCGGTACCTATAAGAATTTTTTTTCTTCATCCTAATACTTATTTATCATTCAATAAAAGTCGATAATTATACAGACCCATTATCTACTGCTATTCTAAACAAGTTTATTAAGCTTGGCCATAATTTAAGTATAATACAAATGCTAATAAAATCACTATCGATACATCTATCCTTCCAAAACTAACTATAGGGCGTATTTAGGGAATGAATAGATACATCATGCCTCTAAGTAATGTTCTCGAAACTTAAAAGAGCAAGAAGAGAAAATTACAATGAACAAAAAAGATAGATGTACACGAGAAAATTGTTCAAGTATCTGTGATTTTCTGTTTTTAACTCGGAATTCTTCAATTCCCAACATGAGAAAAAAGAAAAAAAAACCAGATACAAAGCTAGTTATCTTTTCTGTTAGATGTATCGATCAGATAACAAAAAATTGTACAGATTGGATATTGATACAAAGAGAGTAGAGTAAATAGCGAGATCGTATGTATATTTACAAGTACAAATTTAGGAGTGACAATGAATAACAAGAAAAGCAAGTACACATTTAAGAGCTGTTTATCAAAGAAACTAAGTTAAGGTACAAGACAAGTAGACGCTTACGAGACGCCATGACCCTGCTATAGCATATTTAACAAATCGCAAATCTTTTATTATTCTCTTTTTATATGTCTCGACAAGCCAAAGGAGAGTCGTTACCAGTTTTCGACGCCTCCGGGTGCGGGAGCATCCACTCCACCCTTTCTCACTCCTAACTTGCTTTGCTCTTCATTCTTGTTTAAGCCTCTTTCAGACGAATCGATAAGGTACTTTACTTTTTTACTCTTATTCTTGCATCGATTTACTTGAGAAAAGACCACTTGTAATTTTATGAATATTTTGACTTAATTTACATTTTTTTTCAATAAGTATTATCAATAACATAGAAATGCCATATAAATAGTTTCCAAAATTCATTGACAGATGACAAGAAAACACCATCATAAGTTACTTTGATTAGTTGTGAAAAACATAATAATTCAATTTTATCCATTTATACTTAAAATTAAATATTCAAAATTAATGTATCTCTAGCACTTGCAGCATAAGCATATTTAATTTTATCATTTGGTCGCAGTCAGGTGCTTCATCGTTATTATTACTTGATGAGCCGTTGAATGGACTAATGGATCTTGAGAAATATTTTTATAAAGTTCCAAAAAAATACCCTTGCATTACTCATATATTGTATTATGATACACACTTTCATCTTCATGTTGGACAAAAATGAAAAACTAAAAATGTGAATGATCAATCGTTTACCTATGCAATAATAAATCTTGTACATTAAAGTCCTCATGGGCCTGTGATTATATATAAGATTATCAAAGTATATCTACCCCTTAAGGCTACTTCTTCAAATACTAAACAAGTTAGTGCACTAAATTGTATCAAAATATACATGTCAAGGTGTACAATTTATTAAAATATTTCATTTTTAAAATTATTTTGGTAAAATGAATTTTTTTTAATTCATTCATATCAATAAATTACACAATAATTTTGACTCACTATGGGGTTATCATGTTCACACCTTGGTATTATATAAAAAGTATATCATAATGACAGTGATTATTTATTATATCTCGAAATTATTTGCTGAAGCACACGAAAGTGCAACAAATGTATGCATCTTCATATCGCCAAAGGTGATATCTAAAACATTACCTCTCAAATATTCAATTATTCGTATTATTTTTGTCTGATTTATTACCAAGTTATAACATAAATTTATTCTTAGTCATGCATTCAATTTTTTTTTCGACTTGCGAATAAATTCTTTAATTTCACGCTTAATTAAAATACCTAAATCATTAATTTAGACTAATTCGTGTAACCAATTAGTTTGGCAATCATAATTTTTGAACTAGAAGTGTAAATTGATTTTCTTTATCCTTATTTAATTTTTTTTTTTTTATTTTACCACCAAAGACACTTTAAAAAAGTACAAATAATTGCATTCAATTAAATGGACATTAAGATGATATCAAGTAACAATTTAAAGTCAGTGGTAAATGTTTTGGAGTATCTACATGTACTGGACAAGTGCAAAATCGGGGACCACGAAAAATCAACCATTGTATAATCTGAGAATGGTAACGCCTTATTCGTTGAATTGAAAGGGTAGATTTTATCAGCGGCATCAACTACTCAAAGTTTTAAAGCTGTGATCATCAATGATACGATTTGATCAAAAATATCTCCATATATCATATGATGCGTGGGTGATTGAAGAATTTTTTTTTCTGACCACCCAAGAATATTCTAAAGTAACCCAGTAATTACAGTTTTTTAAATAAAATTTCAGATATATAGCATAATTGCTTATAAATACTGTTGTAATATACATTTATCAGAGATATTTGTATAATGAGGAGTGAAATTATCAAGAAAATGAATATTTTATCTTGGAAATAAGAAATAAATAAGTAATTAAATTCTTAAATGTTTATCTTCAAGTGCAAATAATGTAGAAACTGATTCAGGTGGATGCCAATTAAAATATTTTTAGCAGATATATTGATTTTTTAGTCAGAGTATTGTATAAAAGTTTTTCAAAAAGTTATTTATCAGTAAAAAGAAACAAATATTGAATAATTTATTAATCGATATAAAATATTAAATTGTCAGGAAGTATAATAAATTTCCATTGACTACATTAACCTTGTATACTTTTCTCCAAGTATTTTGCATTGCTTGTTATAAGACTTTGATCGTACCGTGTTTTGGCGCCCCTTGGTGCGCTCGTTAACTCCCAGAGTGCTCGTTTCTACATCCAAACTGTCGCTTCCGTGCGTGTTAAAATTGAATATCAAAGCACGTAACAACAGTACTTGAAAAACGCATTAACAGATTGGAAAAATTTTCAAATTTTTGATATTCATGAATTTATCTCTGTTGTTGGAATATAAAATGAATTTATTACATTTTTAAAAGATTCCATTTATATTTGAAAAAAATTTCTATTTGACTTTTACAGCATAATGACGATGAGATCCAAGAGGCCGTGAAGCTGACCATGAGAGAGAAAAGATTTATCAAGTTTGCGTCAGTGGTATACAATGGACAACTATACATGACACCTCAAGATTTTCTTGATAGTGTTGTTGAATCAGAACCAAGACGTAAGTGTACTTAAATTATAAATTACTTGACAAATATACTTTAACAATGGATAAGAAATTTGCGAAAATGTACCGACTTTATTTGGTTTGGATTAAATTTCTTAAATAGGTATTGTAAGATATTATTATCAATAAAAATAATAGAATATTACGAAGATAAAATAGAGATAATATAATGTTATGGACTAGTTCTGATGACTATTCATTTTTATTTTCAGCTAGATATAAAAGGAGACTTCTCACAAATAAGGATTTGGAAATGATTAAAAATATTACTCCTCAACTTCGCCATGGAAAACCTACTATGTTCCGGAATTTAAAAGATAAAGGTGATTTATTTATTTACCAAATTTATAGCTAGAAATTTATAGCCTCAAGTGATATTTTGCATCTTAATGTAAGTTTGAAATAATATGAATAATTTAAAATGGGAAAATGTTAGATATTAATTTCCATGAAATTCATCAATATATTTAATGAATAAGATAATTGAATATAATCAAATCATAATAGAAAAAAGACAAGCATGCATTTGCAATTAGCGTATCGAGTAGAGTTTTAAGAGCTAAAGAAAATCGTTAAGCATTATCGTATTCACTCATTAATATAGCAATTATAAATAGAATAAAAATAAAAAACTAACAAGAATAAATATTTTTTTCAGGAATAGTATCGTATACGGAGTACTTGTTTCTTCTGTCTATACTTACAAGTGAGTATTTATATATAACTCACCATTCCATAGATAATTTATAGTGCGAATTACTTCGCCAAAGTAAACTTCAAGACGCTTTATCGCTCTCTCACACCGTGTTATTAAAACCAGTTTGTATCCATAGATCTCTGAAAGACGTCTTACTATGTGTATTGCGGTTGTTCTACTGATAGTTATGTCTTACTTCATTTAGATATACTTTTCTTCGTAATAAACATCAACAGCTATCTCCTAATCAAAACAAACTTTTTGTAATCTGTTCTGTTAATTGCAGAACCACAAACTGGCTTTCGCATCGCATTCAATATGTTTGATACTGATGGCAACGAAATAGTCGACAAAAATGAATTCCTAGTGGTAAGATAAATAATTCTTATTTTTCATCCATTTCATTTGTATTCAATTTTGTTCATTCAAATTAAAGTTTATTTCAACTTTTTTCACCCTTGTCTATACCATGAAGAAATTAAAACCCACTCATCAAATGGGATATATTTACTCAGGAGTAAATTTTTCTTACAAAAAAAACATCCACTGAATTGTTGAGATATTCAAAATCCATTGTAAAATAATAATGATTTTGTTATTTTGGAAAGCCTTTACCAAGCTACAGAACATATAGATCATAATTAATTAGTGGGATCAGTATATAGCTACATTTTCAAAAATTTGCATGAGCCAATTTTTTCACAGATCAGAAGACTATTTGGTTTTGGACTGAAGGAACGTGCTCTTGACGAGGCAACTCAACAAGTTGTGAGTTGAAGCTGCGGAGAAATCCTAATGCTTCTGCACAATGTTTGTAACGAAATTATACATGTCCAATCATACGTATAATATAAATCAAGTCACGAAGACAATTGGATATTTGCTTTTGAAGATGTTGGAATTTTGTAATATTTAATCATCTGCTGTGTGAATGTGTATGTTTCACGTAATATTATCATGGAAATGTTTATGCACTAATTTCTAATTGGCGTTTTCCTTTAGCTTTCTAATTATGAAAATTATATTTAAATTACATAGATTACTTAACTACATTACAGATAGAGGCCTCTAACAGTGCATTTCCCATTGAAAAATTGAATGTGTTTTTTTCTTAATTGTTTTTGAATCATTCTATTCATTCAAAATTATTTCAACAGCTTATTTATTTACATATTCTATCTGTACTATATTTCATTTCTGTATAACTTGCTTTTATTAATTTAGTTTTTTTTTTTTTTATTTATATTGAATAATTCAATGAATGTATCAACACATTTTCAAATCATACTTTTGCTTATTTCAAACAAAATTAGCTGCAAAAAATTGTTAATCCAAGTGAAGAGACCCTATCCACCAAAACACTACTACGAGACTGCCATGACAGTACCATCGAGAGAAAAAATACATCAAAATCATATGTAAGTTCATCAAATACTCGTCAAAACTATCATCTATAAACTTCAATCTACTATGGATATCTTCGATTATTAATTCATTTCGTAATACTTAAATTTAAAATTCTAACGTTATTACATCTTTCATTCAGCTTTATAACATCGAGATAACGAGATTCTTCTTTTTTATCAGAAAATCGAAAACACTTGTAGTTACGAATTATTTTATCTGTTTAAAATAGATGGAGAAGATATTCAGTTATGCTTGGCAAAGTCGCCATGGTAATGATACAATTGATGTTGATCCTGAAAAAAAAGTGGAAAATGAACATTCAGAACCTCAAGAAAATGATGAGGTATTATTATCTTTTTCTTTAATTGATAAAATACATATACTTATTTACCAACCTCTTGAGTTAAAATATTTTAAAAAATCAATTGACATACATTTTTTTATTAGGGATTGCAACGTCGTCACGCGATTGACACGACGTTGATGATTCATTTCTTCGGTAAAGATGGAACTAAAGAGCTCAAATACGATGGATTCAAACAATTTATGGAAAATCTTCAACATGAAGTGTTAGAATTGGAGTTTCAAGAATTTAGCAAAGGGAGTGACACAATTTCGGAGTTGGATTTTGCCAAAATTTTATTAAGATACACATATTTAGATACAGATGAGTAAGTTTTTATACTTTTTGTCATTATTATTTTTATTTAATTATAAATATCACTTTGATTCAAATTTATTGTATATTTTAGGTATGAACAATATTTAGGAAGATTATTAGAAGGCTCGAAAAATCATGAAGAAATTAATTTTCAAGAATTCCGACTGTTTTATCAATTTTTAAATTCTCTTGATGACTTTTCAATAGCCATGAGAATGTATACCCTTGCAGATCATCCGATATCCAAAGGTAAAATTGCTATATACTATACTTGTGATAAATGAATGCTTATTATTTAATATAAATTATTAATCTAAACAATTATTATAGATGAATTTTTACGTGCAGTTAAAATATGCACAGGAACCTGTATTCCAATGCACATCATTGATACAGTTTTCGCATTATTTGATGTCGACGGGGATGGACAACTTTCATATAAAGAGTTTATTGCAATTATGAAAGATAGATTACATCGAGGCTTTAAAGTAAATTATCTTCATAAATTTCCAATAATCGTTATTCATTGGGGCTTATAATTATAAACTTTTCAATTTATTTTCAGTCTCAACCTAGAAATGAAGGATGGGAAGGTTTCAAGTATTGCGTAAAACAAGAAATGAAAGCACCGTAAATATATTATGAATTTATTTGAAACACAAAAGTTACCGTTAACTCCTTATCTACAATTGTTTGTTATATTTATTTTCTTAGTGCCAATGATATTTAATTCATGAGTTATGCAAATGTGATATTAATTCATTATTAAGTAAAGAAAGTTTAACTAAATGAATATGTATTTATATTATATACACTATTATTTAATTGTTTGACATTGTTACGACATAAAACAGATTTAATTTTATTCTTACTGTTCGAAAATGTTCTATTAATCTTTAAAAATTGAGTAAATGAATATTATGTGAAATAAAAGAGTTTATTTTTTTTTAAACATTTTCATTACTAAGTGAGTGATCTTATCGTAATGAAATATAGAGCGGGTATTTATTCCCTGTGATCGTTTATTGCAATAAACGTCGTCTGGAAGTTAAATTAAATAATGTCACTGGAAAAAAAATCATTTAAATCTTCTTTAAGTACTAAGGAAATTCACTACATTCTTTTCTTTAATTTTTATTTGTTAATAGCTTAGATCTCAATTAACATTATTCATTCAACTATGAACATTCATGGTTGGATAAGCATTCAAAAATTTATTTATAATTATTTATAAAAACTTTTGTACGCTTATTTAAATGAAAAATAATGAAAAATATTATTTGTTCATTGGTAAGATGTAGTAGAAACCAAAAGTGGGAAAGTAATTCATGAACCGTGAGCCAGGTAGCCCACTGAACCCCAAGAATATACCGAGCTTTGGGTCATAAATTTGACTTTGGTGGGGAGGTATGGCAAAGTTCATGAAGAAGATGTGAATTACCTACAGTAATTTGTCAGTCAGTGCCGGGAAACAGTCAAGTTAAGTACATTCAACCAAAATTGAGTTCTGTGCAAACATTCAAGTTTTTTTTGTGATTTGTACTTTATTTATCACACGTTACCCATCGCAGTGTGATTGACATTATGGGGATGACAGGAATGTTTAAGTGGCTTCGAAAGTAAGTAATAATGATAAAAAATATTTAATAGCTTTATAAATTAATACTTGACATTAATAACTGTCTAAATATTTCAATATTCTACTTTCTTTATGTGAAAATTTTTAATTTACTTCCTAAATATGTTCTTTTTTTTGATAATTTTGTTTGCAATCGTGTTTTTCTAATATCATCACAATATTTATCAACAATATTATAAAATTAAAATTATAATTCAACTAAAATTGTTATTATTATTACATCAATGATATTGTTGATCAAGATTTTTTACTTTTTCTCATGTAACATTAATTATTTAACTAGAAATTTTAATTTAATATTATTCCATATATTCGTTTAACAAAATATTTTAACATTAACAGCACTGTACATTTTAAACGCAAAGTAAACGTATAATTTCAGTCTTATGACGTAGACTTTTAGTCTTGTAGGTTCAAGTTAGTGAATGGGATTATAAATCCTGTTGCTAATACTACTTAATATCCTTGTGTACCTAGAGATTCATTGTTAAATAATTTCCTTTCCTAGAATGACACTAAAGTTTACGGTGCAAAATTCCCAGGCCCTCTTAGATTCCCAATGACCGATACTACCTCTCAATGCGGGTATTCATTGTCTATACATAGCCAATGTCTTCTCTAGTCGCCAGATTTGTTCTTCTTAAATAATCCCAACCTTTCAATATTCCCCATAATTACCATCACGTGATGTCATTACCTGATGCCTCGGTTCTGTGAATTTTTGTTACTTCTAAATTATTCTTAAATACTATCCCATTTAAGGTATTTAAAAGAATATTTTCTATCTTATTAGAATTCACATTTAGATAAGGTCAGTCATGCAAAACAAAAGTAAATATGTTGATAAAAATCTAGAATTGTTATTTCTCTCTTTCCGTTATTATTGAAGTCATTGAGTAAAATTGCAATTCAACATTTTCAAATGTTTCCGCTCCTCTAAATCACATAATTATAAAAGGCAGGAAGTAAACACTGAATAGGCAGGATGATAAAATGAATTCAGGAATCCAATCCTTTCTATTGAGGAATAATCATTCATGCTTCTATAATGCCATTAGCTAAATAGAAATAACATTTAAATTAGATTTACAATTAATAAAGATATTTTAACAGAACATTAACTTTATTACTCATACCTTATAATAATTGTTTTTATTTGTTATTTACAGAGACGCACTTCACCGTGGTCGAAGTCGTCAGAGCTTACCGCCGAATCTAAGTTTTAATAAGTAAGTTAAATTTGATGTGCATATAAAATAAAATATTAATATTTTATCTCGTAATTAAATCAAAAAATAACCTCATTTAAATTTTCAAATAAATTGATACACATGATTAAAAAACCGGAAATTCCGATCAGCACACACCTTCGAGATTAACAAAATTATAACTCGGTATTCAGTAGTGTTTTTACTCAGTTCGTCAACTCATCGCAATAAATTTACTTGTACTCAAATTAATCGAGTGACGATAAATTATTGGATTAATTACAAATAAAACTTAACTGTAAAATTTAATTCATTAATTAAAAGTGTTAATAAATTTTATTGCAACACTTTTTTATGGTTAAAAACTGTTTTTGTGACTAAATTTTCATTCGAAATAATATTTCTTAAAATGGAATTGTGGACAAGTTCTGATTCAATATATTCAACATATAGTTCGTCCTTCAGTTCATCTTCACTGAGTGAAAAAGCTAAAAATCGTCAAAGACGAACTGTTGTTATTACTACATCTATCCTTGTCAGAAATGACCAAAGTCATAGGTATATTAAAGATAAATCTGCGAGATAGGATTGATTCTTTAATAATTATTACTTTAACTACAGATTATTTTTTAAGTGCATTCACTTAATTTATGAGATTTAATTATCATTAAAATAACTTTCATTTCATATACTGTAATAGTCAACTATTTTTTTTACAGTGATTCATATCGTTCCGCCCTACAAGAATTTCTTGCACGACGAAAAAATCCAGACGATCCAGGATATATCACATCCCCCAACACCACCATCTCATCAGGCTATGAGTTTTTATCGAAAAATGAGTCGGAAATTGACATCAGTAATCTAACTGTAAACCAGTCGATTAGAGAAAAAGTTGATAACTACAGTATTTCAATTCCTGGGATTCCTCATGCTCAACTGGCCGATTTATTTGAAATTGGTTGGATCTCGGGGACAGAAGATCGTAATATTGAGGTTATTTATGCAGAATGGCAAAATATTAGAGTATCACTCAGAAGAAATGTCCATAAGGACTGTTTAGGTGCAATTGATCGTGATATTGTAATTTTATCGTAAGTAATTAAACATCTTTTATAACATTATTTAAATAATAGTTTACCATAAATAATTAATTCACTATTTTTCATTTATTAACAGACAAATACGACATCAAAATATAATGATACTCATGGGTACTACTCAAACAGTTGATAATCATCTCGTAGCAATCTGTGAACCAGTAGATTGTACCCTTTACCACTTTGTCCATGAACAAAACGAGAAACTTTCAGTTCAAAGTGTTGCCAAAAATTCAGGAAGTTTAGCATCGGCCCTACAGTACGCTCACATGCGAGGGTATATACATTCTGCTGTTAATCCACATTGTGTTTTTCTAACAATCAGTGGAATTGTAAAATTGGGTGGCTGGGAACTGGCTATTGAAAATGACAAAGTAAGTACAATACATTACTAAATAATCAATGAATGATCAATTATTATTTATGTTTACATGATAATAATTAAATTATTTTTCTTATAGACATTTCCGGAAGAACAAAGTTACGAAGATTGTGTACGATCAGAAATCTTCCAATGGCAAGCACCAGAACTTTTTAAAGGCCAAAGACCAACGATAGCAACAGATGTTTTTGGATTAGCATTACTCACATGGGAACTGTGTACCGGTGTAATACCTTGGGCTGATTTGAGCAAAGAAGATGTTGAAAAGCAATATTTGCAATTAGGACAAGGTGTTTCAATTAAGGCTTATAATTTCCCTAGACTATTAAAAACATTTTTGGAATCTGGATTACAACTTGATGCTAGAAGGAGATCTTTAGACATGATGAACATCTCACGTTATTTCCAACGACTTGAGTTGCAATATGAAAATAAGGAATTATTTTACATAGATCAACAGTCAATTAATGGAAATGATACTTATAATAATTCTAGATTAAGTATCAACTCTGCACCATTAATAAGTCGCGGTAATTTATCTCAGCTATTTGGATCTAATGAACAATTTTCTTCGAGGGAAAATATTCAGCCATCTCCCATCAAACGAATTCCATCTGAAAGAAAAAATATTGAACCACGAAAATTATTTCCTCGAATTATTTCGATGAATCGTAGTCTTGATATTGATCATATGCGTAATATTGGTCTGATTAGAGAAAATGCTAATAACAATCGTAATGAAAAATTGAATCAAAATTTATCTCACAGATCATCATCTCCTAAAGACCATGATACAGAAAGAAAAGACTCGTCAAGTCGAACAGAAAGTTCAGTGATACAAGAAGACACTAGTAATACACGAATAGATATACAAAATTTAAAAGAAATCTTAGCAAATAGAAGACGAAGTTTCTTCAGTAGTAATACTACCGTTCACAACTCTTCTGAACATGATGGACTCGATAAATCATCCATTTCAGGAGATAAATTTAATAAATCATCAATTTCAGGAGATAAATTTGATAAATCATCAATTTCAGGAGATAAATTTGATAAATCATCAATTTCAGGAGATAAATTTGATAAATCATCAATTTTAGAAGATAAACTTAACAAATCATCACTTTTGGAAGATAGAACCAATAAATCTTCATTTTTAGAAGATAGACTTGATAAATCTTCACTTTTAGAAGAAATTAAAAGTAGAGATTACAAACCACATAAACCTGCAAGTCATAAAACAAGTATTGAACCAAAATTAAATACATCATTACATAAACACTATTCAACTTTTATAAAGTCAACTCAGCCAAAATCTTCGAAATTACCATACTCTTATGTACCAGGATCAGTAAGAGATGCAGTAATTCAACCACAGGTTTTAAATACTAGCTCGCAAAGTTTCTTTGAAACTTCATTGTGGAGTAAAGAAAAGTCATTGTATTTATCAAAATCACGAAATCATGATTCAATGCTGTCAGAAAATAAATCGAGTATATCTCCAGATAGTGATCAAACTTACACTATTAAATCATCAATTGAACAAGTACGTCATGAGAATTTAAATCGTACATCAGGTGCTGAATTAAATACTGATAAAGTAGTTATGAAGAGCATGACTAAAAGTACATCACTTCAAGCATTGAAAGATACTCTTGAACGAGTCACTAATCTTGTCAAGTTAAATAGCTCAAATACTGTTGGTAAAATAAACGATTCTAACAAGTGTAATAGCATTAATGTAAATATTTCAAAGAGAAATGAATCATCATCTCTTGAAGAATCATTCAATTTGAATGAAAAAGTTGACGAAAAAATTCAGACAATTGAAAGATCATCGAGTCAACGTTATTTTACAGTCAATTTAAGAAAAACTTTTAAAGATAATGAAAGAAAATCGCCAATCAATGGAGGAAAGTTAACATATATTTCGATTTCTTCTAAGAAACATTCTTCACCAGAAAGACCACGGCCAACGTCGGTTGAATTAAAAACCGCCCTAGAATGTGGTCTCCCTATTATTCGAAACAAAGAAGAATATAATGTAATTGAACGAAGATATAAAACTAAAACATTGGACACTCCAAGCAATACTTCTTCAAAATGTACAATGGATGTTGAAAATGATAGAAAGTTTGATTTGCTGAATACCAATAATAAAATTGACGAAAATAAGTTCGGGTTACATTCGGAAATAATTTTAGCCCGACGACGATCACTTCCTCCAAATTTAGGGGAACTTAAAAGAGCTAGTAGTGACTTTGTTATTAATCGAGCTAATAAAGATGCAAATTTAAATGACAGCGTCTTGGAAGACTTTTACATAGATGACGAATTCAATGAAAATAATTTAGCGCCAAATATGATTCTACTGGATGCAGACTCAACAGCAGGAAGCCATGATATTTTTTCTGATTTACCAGAAAATTACTTTGGAACTTTATAAGTGTAACAATTTTAACATATTGTAAGTTTTTAAATTAGTGTTATATTTGAAAGGATAATCAAATATAATTTATACATTATTATGAAAATAATATGTACAAGTAACTTATTATTTAATTAATTATATGTTTTTACTCAATATTATAAATAAACGTGACTTTTCATTATTATTTGATTTATTTTTTATAAAAATGAGCGTTTATTTTCTTCACATAAATTTAACAATAGGAAAGCGCAATCATAAATATTTTATCTTAATCTACGGAATCATTCAGTTGAATATGGACTACAATTTTTTTGCTGATTTAAGCATGTTTTCATACAATAATGATTAATAGTATACTAAGCATATATATAATAATAAAATAATAATAAATTCTTTTTTCATGTTAAAAATCATTAACTTAAAAGTTGAATAAAATATATGAGAAATAAAAATCCTTAACGTCATAATAATTAAAAAAATAATTTGTTAAAATGATTTTGTTTGATATTACTTTGAAGGAATTTAAAAAAACGAATTGACTAAAGATAAAAGTCAATGAATAAATTAAATAGCTAATCCGAATACCGATACAATACAATACATAGTTTTATTCTCCCATCGAACTGTGCAACTTCCATCAGTAACATTATCCCAATAACAAGAACTTGCTGTATGTAAACCGGCTCCATTCTTTTGCATGATGGTACATGTAACTAGAAAAATTTATAAAACAAAGTTATTTTAATAAATTGATTAATAACAATAGAAATTTATAATACTCAATAAATATACCAATATATTTATAAGGCTTTTGTAATTTTGTCAAGCTTCCCAGACAACTTTCTACAACATGAGATGTCCATTGGCTGATTTTATTATGATGATAAGCATCACCTCCGATAGAGACTTCTATTGCTTCTTTTATTATTTTACTGACATCATCAACGACGAATTGAGGCTAAAATAATAATTATTGAATATTAATGAAAGTATTCTACTTTTCTAAGCGTACATAATAACTTTTTTCATTACTTCTTCTTGCATATCCTCTTGCATGGTGGTGAATCGTAATAATTATTGATCGATTTTTGGTTGATTGATTGACTTTCTCACTAATAAATATATTGTTAACGTAAATATTGGTAGAATCTTTCTTGATACGAAGTCGTAGTTACATGCCTTGTTTAGGTTATCAATAAATCAATTTTAAAGTAATACCTAAATAATTTCAAGACACTTGATCCTTATTTTGTTTATACAGTATTTATATTTTTTTATAGATTACTTTAGACATTAACCAAATGAATGTTGTAAAAATAACACAAATGTTAAAAGATTTTCTGATGTACGAGAGTTTTACAGTTACATATCTAGAATGAAGTATGCGGCACTAAAATTGTTTGGTGGCAGCACATTCCAGTTAAACTACTTTATCGACAGTGTATTTAATAATTAACCTAAGATTACTCCATTTTCATTTCAAAGCACACATTTTTCATAAACAAAATACCATAATGTATTGTTTTTATTTATAAATTAAACTCAGTATTTTATTGGAGACTACAAGTGGATTGTAACTATTAAAATGGTTACTGCATCTTGTAATGACCAAATATCGTTATTTTAATGTACTATAGTCAAGTTAAAGTTTTTCGAGCTTATTCGTATACATATACGTATTAGATTTGTTTGATAATCATTTATATCAAAACATTGATTGGGAGTTGGTGACTTTGATAATAATTTATCTACTTCATTTCTCAACTAATTATCATCCAAAAATGTTTATCAACAAACGTGTCCTAATTTGCAGTCAGTCATCCAATGTATCATTACAATTTGTAAGAAATTTTATTCCAAAAAATTTTCTCAGTGGTCTTTTGACAAAAGAAAATCAGAGTAAAGAAGAGAAAGAAGAATCTCGTAAACTAAAAAAGTGGCGAACTCTTCCAAATTTGGTAGATGAAACAAAGTTTTTCAGTATATTCAAAAGATCAACTCCAAACAAGGTATTTCCCTGGTATTTTGGACGTGGATCTCTATCACCTTCTGAAGATACTGAATTGTTCATAAAAGATTTGAAATCGAGAATTTTAGACCACGATCAGAGATTTATACCCGAACGACATCAAACATTGGGAAATGAGCTAGCAGTAGCACATATGATAGTTTTCAGAGAAGGAAGAGTTCGTCAGCTTGGATCCGAAAAATTCTTATCATTGGAAAATTTTGACGAATTACCGACAACATATAAACCTGAATGGTTTCTTGAAGAAATTGATTGTACTAATATGATAATAAGTTATAAAGGATTATTGAATTTAAAAGGATTGAGATATTTGAAAAGAGTAACTTATAAAAATTGTGAACATTTTGATGATTGGTGTTTAGAAAGAGTCGTGGCTTTATGTCCACATCTTGAATATTTAGACATATCTGATTGTAAAGAGATTACAGAACATGGTCTAGAATGTCTATATAAAGCATGGAATTTAAAAGAATTGGTCGTTACTGATTGGTATGAACGTCCTGAATTCGAATTGAGTTGCCTTCTTCTAGAAGATTGTAAGCCAGGTCTAGTCGTGAAACGATTAGTAAAATCACCAGAAGAAAGACCAAGTGATTTAGGAGATCCATATGTTCCAACTCTTTTTGACAAATATGTTGGAAAATTGGAGGAGTTTATTAATAATAAGCGACCAAAAGATAATCAACAATAACTACCTATAATTATATACATGTGTATAAATTAATGTACATATTTGTAATAAAAATAATTATTGATTTAGTTGGATTCGGTTTTTTTCTCTTCTTCTTTTAACATAATTCAATTCCACCTTGTTACTAATTCCATAATTTTTGATATTTTCTTTGTCATTGCTTAAAACAATATCGTTATAACACAAATGATATTTTTTCCAAACATGTTTCCAACTTATTTTCTTTTTAACTCCTTCTCTATGTAATGCAAGAGTAGTTTGCCTTTTAATTGCTTTTTTGAGGTCCAAAACACTTGTATTGTGTGGCGAGACCTGGAATAAAAATAAAAAAATAAAATACAACAGTGAAAAAAAAAAAATTTAGGACATTAAAATAATAGATGAACAAAAAAGTTACCACTATTGACAGTTTAGGTAACTCTCCTCTATTAAGGTAAAGAGTTATGGCTTGTCCTTGAGCGACAGCAATTTGTGATTTTAATTCTTCGACTGTCACATCAGAAGGAAGTCCAGAAAAAAGCGGGTCGGTTTCTATAATTTTGTCAATAGCTTCTCGAGTTAATTTAACTAATTCGTCATGACTAAATTCTTCATCATTTTCTTCACATGGTGAATTGATTGATTCATGTGTTTTCCTTCTGTCATTCATCATGTTTACTTTTTAATAAATGGCCGGTACGAATATAAAACAATCCTATTGTACTACAATGGCGTTGATTGAGCATTAATTTACATGCATCATGCTTAAAATAATATACATATACGTATACCACTACCTTATCGGGTGAAAATATTGGCTTTACATCAGCCGTGCATAAATTCCATACGAATATATTAAGACGAATACGCTACACTAAAAAATGTTAACAATAGTATGTGTATAGATAATAATAAAGTGTGTTGGAAAGCTGTTTGCAAGTGCTCGTTAGTATCACTATGGCGTCATAAAAAACCAATAACCTAGCTTTACCAGTTAATGCTCTTAGACAGTCAAAAGATCAAGTGAACTGAGTGTTTTCTGTTGCTTTTGTATTGGTAGATTGCTTCTCGTGAATAAAATACACAGAGGAGATATTGGTCAGTGTACTACAACGAAGTTTTGACAAGTACGCGCGTATTTTGCGGCCGTCATTGTCGACAACGGCACGAATTCATCCGGAGATATCCGATCATATAAGTCGTAAATGTATCACGTATGTATTTGTATATATGTGAAGCTCCAGTAGCCACTAGTGGTACTACTATATGTTGGTGCTGCTAATACCGTCATAATACAAGTCGCAACCCAGAGAGTTGGTTAGTTAACAAGACTTATGCGGTGTGTGCGCGCTTTCTATACTTCAGTTTAATTGTAGTGGAATATAATAAAGCTAAAAAAATGTAAAAACAAATTTATTGGAAAATGAATATCATACTTTAATTAGCCACGGCGGCTAAAACATGGGAAGATCTAAGTTTCCAGGCAAGCCGCCGAAAACGGTAACCAGAAAGCGAATCAAGGTTCTCGGTCGGCCTGAAGCAACCCAAAGCGATTCCGCAACCATTGCTGAGAATATCTATTATGGACTTTCACTGTTTAATGAAACATTTGGCGATAGTGAAAAGGTAAAGGCTATTTCATCAATTATCCATTCGTAAAATATCCCCAAATTTTTTGCGTACATCTAAGGTTGATTTCATTTTTTCACGACGCAGACACTTTGTTGTTGTGATCTGCCGATAGAGACGCGCTTATAAGGCGCCTATTTGATTGCCAGCAAATCCTGAATATTATTTATATCATTTGCTTTGATTTTATAAATATCCAAAAAATTTTATTCATGAAATTCGAATTTTCCTATTATGTACAATTTATCATTCAATAAAAATATATCAAAGTATCAGATATATTATATTTTAGAGACTGATACTTAATTTTTTTTTTAACTCAGCCTATGTACAGCCATAACCTCTCTCTTTTGCGTTTTATTTTGACAGAATACATTTATTAACGAAATCAATTATATTATATCTATATATGTATTTTTCATTAGTTTAAAATTTATTACTTCAATATTTGACATTTTATTATTTATTTTCAGGAGCATTATCCGTTTCATGGATTTAGCAGTAATGAAGCAAAATTATCAGTTTCATACATAAAAACTCAAAATCATAATGCAAATAATAAAAATAATGAAGATCAATCAAATTTCAATAATTCCCATGATACTGTTAAAGAAAATGTTCAAAGTTTGTCAGAAAATGTTGAAAGTCAATCCACGGATAATGGGAATCAAATTAAAAATAAAACAAACAATACAGGTAAAAAAGAAAAAGAAACTTACAGTTCAGGTAATGAAAAGTTAAATAATTGCAACAAGTCGAAAATAATAAAAGATGTTAAATTTAAAAGAGTGATTCGTGCTCCAATATTAAAATCTGTCAATAATATTTTGGATTGTCATCAAAGGACACGTCAATTACGTAATAATACAGCAAAACGTCTACTACAGAGGGCAAAGTTTAATGTCAGTTCCAATAATCGAAATATAACTGTTCAATCTAGTGATAAATCGAGTAATATTAAAAAATTTATCCTTCCAATGCGTAGTGCGCATTCTTCTCGAGTTATTAAGCCAAATAAAAGATTTATCGAAGAATTAGAACAGAGTCCTAATGTTGATGTTATTGAACATGAGAATAAACAGTCAAAAAAAGTCAAATTAGTATCAGTAAAAAACAATCGTTCTGATAAATCTAAAGTAAAACAGGTGAAAAATGCTAATGCTTTAAATTCTTCGACGAAATTTAATTCTAAATTGAATTCAACAAAAGAAAAAGAAACTCCAAAAGAAAGCAGCGAAGCTAAAAAATCAAATTTAATAGGTAAGGTTAAAATTTTGAATAATACAGAGTACAATAATTCACCGGTGCATAAATTAACATTGGAAGCATCATCAGCTGATAAATCAAGATCAAATTCTCCAAAAGTTCTTCCAGACTTGAATGCTCCAATCATCGAGTCTTCCAGAATTAAAACCCGATCAAGAATACCCAGTGATACAGTTGATGGTGGAAATGTGTCAATCAATGATCATTTGAAAGAAAATGAAAAACTTGATTTTGTGGATTCACTTATTTCAAATGATCAAATCTACGATAATGATAATATACAAAATCATAATACCTGTATTCAGAGTGAAAATACTCATCACAACTTCAATGAATCTGACAGTTCAATGTCGCAAAGTACGAGTGAACAAAGTAATAACAGTGAAGATGAACAATCAGAATGGACAGGAATGAAATTAGATGGTGGAAAAATAATTCTTCGAAAGGCAAGATTGAAATTAGAAAATAAAAATTCCAGTAGCGGCCCAGAAGGACCTTTTTCAGTTACAAGTATTTCTAGTAATTCTAATGGAAATTTAAATCCAAATTTAACTGGAACTGTTAAATGCGGGGTTTGTGGTGCGGTTCGTTTTTATCGTTTTGTCAAACAAGCTCGAAAATTCGGGATCTATAGTTGTGAATCATGTCGTAAATTCATAAGTAAAATAATAAAACGTCAAGCTTGTGCAAAATCTACAAACAGTACTCTTCCTGTTTTACAATGTCATAAAGGTGATGGATTGTGTTTAGTGCCTCCAGTCGTTAGAAGTCAACAATGGAATTTAATGAGATGTGCGTACAAAGCTCGTTGTCCTGCTTGTTGGCTTAAAATGTGTCTGAAATGTTATAATATACCAACAACAATCAAGACAGAACTAAATAATCTTCTTCCGCCATTATTAAGAGATCCAGTATTATCTCTTGGATCTATGAATCAAGATAATGATGTTCTTGGTCAAAAAACTAGCAGTTCAAAAATTAACTGGCCAGCTGAAGATTGCTTGGAAAAAAATCTTTTCAAATCTGCTATTAAATTAGGTGGAGTTCAAGATGAAAGGAATCCAAGTTGTCAAAATACTAATTCTGATTCATCTCCTAACAAATCTAACCAATCAATAGAAGTCTCTCTAAATAAAAAAAGAAAAAAAGACACAAGAATTAAAGTACGCAAGAAAACAAATCTGCTTTTAGTATCATCATCACCATCATCATCATTGTCGCCATCTACTACGGGTTCATCATCACCTTCAGTTTCTTCTTCTACTTCATCTCAGTCCTCTCTTAGACAAAGGGTTGACCTTAAAGGACCACGTGTCAAGCATGTGTGTAGAAGTGCAAGTGTAGCTTTAGGACAACCTATAGCAACATTTCCAGCTAATGATGAAAAAGAAGAACCTGATCTTACTAATAATAAGTTTACTACAATAAAAGTTTTGAAAGATGAAGAAAAGACCGGAAAAATAAATGACACAAAAGATAAAGTTTTGAATAAAAATATTCAAGAGAATAACGTCAATTCTAATAATAATAATAATATAGCTCAACAGAGTTGTGTTAAAAAGAATAAAATTCAAACAAGTGTTTTTCCATCAAATCATCATGGTATACGTACCATATCTAAAACGACTTCTAATAAAATACACGAAGTATCAATGGACTTTTGGGAGCAATACGATCCAACAGAAGTCGGAGCTAAAGGCTTTGCTCTTATTGCTTCTGAAGTTTTCACAGTTTCTGCAATATGCTTTCTTTGTGGCAGTGCTGGTAAAGAACCAGTAAGTATTGAATGTTGGAAAATAAAATAAAATTAAGATAAACTAATAAAATTTTTTTTAATTTTTAGCTTATACATTGTCAATGCTGTTGTGAACCTTATCATGCATTTTGTCTCGAGCCCAGTGAATGGAACGCTTGTATTCAACCTGACTGGTGTTGTCCGCGCTGTACAGTATGTCAAACATGTAATCAGAGAACTGGAACAAAATTATCTTGTATACGTTGTCGCCAGTCATTTCATCATTTGTGTTTATCAAAATCAGGAGTAAATGCGAGACTTTACAGTCCCGATCGTCCATATATTTGTCAAAATTGCGTTAAATGTAAAAGCTGTGGAAGCGAAGGTGTAAATATCTACGTTGGGAATTTGCCATTATGTTCTATGTGCTTTAAACTAAGACAACGCGGCAATTATTGTCCACTTTGTCAAAGGTGCTATAATGAAAATGATTTCAACACTAAAATGATGGAGTGTAATGAATGTTCTTGTTGGGTTCACGCGCAATGTGAAGGATTGTCTGATGAATTTTATCAAATATTAAGTTATTTACCTGATTCAATTGAATTTACTTGCAGTCAGTGTTTACCCAACTCCGATTCTTCTTGGAGAATTGCCATTGAAAAGGAATTGAAATCTGGCTTTATTGCAGTTTTAAAGTCACTGAGTAAAAATCGTAAAGCATGCAATGCTCTCAATTGGAGTCCACGAAAAGAGTGCCTGTGTAAACCAGTGATTGCAAATGTTAAGAAATTGGATTTTTCTGATGATGAGAGTAAAAAAGATATTATAAATACAGAATCTGAAGACAACAGTGAGAAAAGTGTTCATTCAACGCCAACAGATAGTGATAAAGCTGATCTTTTAAGTCGATTTGATTTTGATGTTGATGATCAACCACAAGTCGATATACCCCGAAGAGGATTAAGAAAACTCAAACAAAAATTCCATTTAAAAGAATGTTCAGTACGAGTAAAAAATTGTGCTTTTAAAGATAGTAATGATGGAGAAATTGTAAATCAATCAAGTGTAACGAATACTCGTGAATGTCATTGTTTGGATGAACAGATTATTATGAAGCCATCACCAAGTCTTATGTCTGTGAAACGAAAAGTTTATAACAATGAATATCAATCTCTCTCTCAATTTCACTGTGATATGGAACATGTAGTAAATAAAACTGCGATCAGTGATCTTGTAGAATTATATCACAAATCTTTACAGGAAATATTTCCTTGGTTTGATCCAAAACAATCAAAAATAACTTCTTATGACAGTGATTTATCAACAAACAGTAACGATTCTACTACTGATTTAAATTCATCAATATCAAAATTAAATGACTCTATTTTAGAAACCTGGAAAGAAGAAGTAGCAAAAGCATCTAAAGCTATCACTTTGAGGACAAACAATTTATGTAGTAATATTCATGTTGAAGATACTAGATCTTGTGCATTGTGTAAAGGTTTAGGAGATGGTCAAGAAACAAAAGAAGGTAGATTACTTTATTGTGGCCAGAATGAATGGGTTCATGCTAATTGTGCTCTATGGTCAAATGAAGTATTTGAAGAAATCGATGGATCTCTTCAAAATGTTCACAGTGCCATTTCTCGTGGACGCATGATTAGGTGTACAGAATGTGGTAAAAAAGGTGCAAGTGTTGGATGCTGTGCTAAAAATTGTGGTAATACTTTTCATTTCCCTTGCGCAAAACATGCCGGACTTGGATTGTACAATGATAAAACAATATTATGTTTATCACATTTAACAAGTGGTAATAATCAACATTTACAAAATGAAGAAGATTTCAGTTTAAAAAGGTTAGTTTATGTTGAATTGGAACGAAAAAAGAAGAAATTTGTAGAACCTGATAAAATAAAAATAATGATTGGCTCTCTCATGATTGACTGTTTAGGTACAGTAATACCTAAATTTTCCGATAACTCTGACAAAATAACTCCTAATAATTACAAATGCTCTAGATTATATTGGTCAACGATAAATCCTTTAAAAATAGTCAAATATTATGTGAGAACATTTATCAAAACCTGTACAACAGATATCACTGTAGATATGGATCATAATGTCACAATTGATCATTCAAAAGAACTGGAAAAAGAAGAGCGACAGAAAATCGAAAACCTAGTTGTCAAACAAACTTTAGATACACTAATTGATTCAGTGTATAATAAAGAAATGGATGAAAATTTAGCTGAACAAAATAACACTGATCTTCTTCCGCCAGAAATTACAGATGTTATTTTTGAAGACCTTCCTCATGATCTTTTGGATGGAATATCAATGCAAGATATTTTTCCAAAAATGACTTATGAAGATTTTTTAGCCATGGACTTGAAGAATGATGGAGCTTTTGCTAATGACATATTGAAAGACGAAATGTTATCAGCTGAAGTAGATGAAATTATGAAATCTTCAGAAAATAAATTAAGTAAAGATAATATTAACTCTGACGTACAAAGTGATGTTTGGTTACATCTTGAAACTAAAAGTACTGTTCAAGACTTGGTTGATGATTTGTTAAATTCTAAAGCTCAAAAATTTGGTGGTAAAGAATTGAAGCGTTCTAAATCTGAGGTATTAGGAAATAATTGTCTTATGAATAATCGTCGTCGTCATCATCAACGGTCTTGTAGTTTAACGTGGAGCTGTAAATTAGACGGATCTTGTGGACCTACGGTTAAAAGAAGAAAATTGTCTAGACCATCTACTACTACAATAACTGGTGAAGTTGATAGTTTCGTTGTTGATACATCATTTGAACAAAATTCTATGTTTCATAAACTACAAATTCCTGAGAGTATTATGGTAACCGTAGGAAGAACTAATTCTCCTAATACTATTTCAGAATCGGTGAGAGATAAACGACTTCTCTGGCATACAAGGCAACAACCAAGAATGCTACAAGTTGATGGGCCTGCTGATTCAAGTAGTTTAAGTGAATGTAGTTCACCTGAATATGATACAGAAGAAAATCATATCAATAATAAAACTTTCAACCATCATGATTCCGTTAAAAACACGAAGTATTTAACATCATTTCATGATGGTCAAAAAGTATTTGTTAAAGAAAATGATAAATCTTTTGATGAAAATTACGATACCGATGAAAGTATCAAAATTCCACAATTAGATGGTGCAGACGATATTTCTAGTGATGATGAGAATTCTCATAATACAAGAAATGAAATTGTAACTTATTCTGTTTCAACAGCAGATTGTCCAGTGACCTGTAAAAAATGTCAATGCACTTATAGAACTCAGGACAGTTACAATAGACACTTGGCTAATTGTGATATTGTAACAACAAGTGACAGTGATTCTGAAACTATTGATAATAAAGGTAGATCTCCTATATCAAGGTTTTCTAATAATATCAATTCAACATCGTCACAATTCATCACGTTAACTTCACCGTCAGAAGGACATACTATTTCTTCAGGATATCCAGACATGCAAGTTACATCACCTTTAGAAGCATCAGTACCCTCACCACATACTGCTGTACAAGTAGAACCAATAGCACAAGCATTAATTACTCCTCGTCAAATTCATAGTCATGCAACTGTGGAAACTGTTCATCAAACAGTATTAGCATCGAATGATGTGATTGTTCAAACACAATATACAAGAACAACAAAAACATTACCAAATTCATCATCGTCATCGTTGCCATCAGTATCATCATCTTTATTGTCATCATCGTCATCATCTACGTCAACGTCTTCATCATCATCATCATCATCAGTTGCAGTAGCCGCCGCCGCCGCTGCAGCCGCTGCTGCTGCCTCAGCTGCTGCCGCTGCCGCCGCCGCCGCTGCAGCTGCAGCTGCTGCAGCAGCAATACCTCAAGAAAGTTCTGTAAAAATTACGGAAATTATAGACTCGCCAGTATCAACTGATCAAACTCCTTCTACTACTTTGGTATCATCAAGTAATCATCAAACTGTAACAAACTCTCACTCTAATGATTCTACAATAATTAGTGAAGTTGAAGAAACACAATCGAATCATCAGTCTTCAACGGTTGTCAGTAAGATATTAAAACCAAAGTTAGTACGAACACCGAAGAATAAAATTAAAATGATCAAACCTCAGATAATGAAGAATACAATAGTGCAACCAGTTGAACCTCTAAGATATCAAACTATTCAAAATGCATCTCCAGTCGTTCAGCTTCAGCAAGCACAACGGCCGACAGCTCCTACAGTTATTCTTCAACAAGTACCACCGCCAGGAATTGTATCAGCTTATGTAGATACTCTTCAACATCAATCTGATCAGAATTTACAATACATTACAACAATTGGAAGTCAAGATACGGCATATAAACCTCAATTTATCTCTACTAATCAATTAGTACCAAGTGCTTACATTCATACAGCTACTTCGGATAATCTTTTAGCTCTTTCTAATGGTGGAATATCAGTTTTACCAGGTGTACAAATAGCCCAACCTCAACCTACTGTTTTAGGAACGATAATTCAACAACCTACAAATGCTATTCAATGTGGAGTTATTTCATCTGAGCAACTTGTTTTAAGTTCTACACCTACTTTAGAAATGTTTACTGATTCAACAGGTAGCATGTTTGTATCCAGCCAACCTATGTATTATGGGTTAGAAACGATAGTGAGCAATACTGTCATGTCGTCCAGTCAATTTGTTGCAGGAGCTGTACCGCAAGTATTAGCAAGTAGTTATCAGACAACTACTCAAGTATTTCAAGCTTCTAAACTTGTAGAGCCTATTGTGGATGTGCAAGCAGTGCCCAATGTTCCAACTGTTCAAGCCGTTCAAGGTATTTCAAATGTTCCAACAGTACATCAAACAGTACCATCAAACGTTCAAGCTGTACAAAATTTATCTAATATTCCTGCAGTACCATCAATTCAAAATATTCCAACAGTTCAAGCTGTACAAAGTATGCATGGTGGTTATGTTGTTGTTAATCCAACACCAGATTCTATTTCTGCTGCTCAAATCAGTATTAATCCACCTGCAAATATACCAGCATCTTCAGATCAATCTGATTTTGAAAAATTACCTGTTCAATCATTAATAGAACCTGTTAGGGCTAAATTACATATTCAAGAACAAGAAGTCCACTCAGTAACTCCATTTATGGATATGAATTCAAGATCAATATCAACATCTAAATCAACAACACAATCAACTCTACAAAATATACCAAGAATTGCTGTCAGACCAAGTCCGGCTACTCAAACAATATTACAATCAAATTGTGAACAGTGGAAAATTGTTCCAGACTCTCTTTACGGGGTTGAACAAACACTCAATAGTAGCACACGACCTTATTTTGATTCTAAACATGTCTCTGAAAATACAAGTATGATAAAGTCAAGTATATCAACTAAATTACCGCTTTTATCGAATCATTATGTTACACAACGAGATATCGTAAAAAAATTCAATTGTGAAGTTAATAATATTCATGACATTTACAATAGTGGATTATCAAATGGTAATTTTATAACATCGATTACTTCAAATAATTTACATAATAAAACAGTAACATCTATGGCACCTACAACGAGACCAATGAATAGAGTTTTACCGATGCAAGCAGTTAAACTAAGACAAGAAAATATTGAATCAGATATTGAAAAATCTACTAAACCTGAAAATAAAATAGTTTTATCAGAATCTACTCAACAAACAGAAAAGTCAATTGATTTATCTGATACTATTGAAAAGCCATCAACTCCTGATAAATTATTTTATCTTGACAAATCATTAGTAAGTGATGAAAATCTATCAATAACTGATGATAATGAAAGTTTATTTCATAAAAACTCGCCGTTAGAAGAAAAATGTAATTTAGAAAATATTGTGAAATCTATGCCAGAAATAGAAGAATCTGTTGAAAAATTAATAGAGACTGAAAAAATATTAGAAACAACTGATTGTAAAGAGGAAATCAAAGATGAATCTGTTGAATTAAATCCTAGAATTAGTCCGAAGACTGTAGAAAATTCTAATGATGATTTACAAAAAGAAAAATTACAAAATGCTTCATTAAAAATTGTTCTACAAAAACAACTACAAGATGGATCATATAAAATTACGCATAATATAAAATCAAAAGATGTTCCAAAAATAACATCAGTAGAAATTTTGCCATCAAAACAGACACCACATATCACATCTCTTCAACTTCTACCAATTAAAAAATTTACATTAAAGGCCAATAAATTAGAAGACAAAGCAAAAATAATCAACCAAGATTCAACAAAATTGACTAAATCAAAAGTAGTATCACCGATTTCTATGAAAACAAGATTTTTATCTAAATCAGCAGAACCATTGAAAAATGATTCTCCAAATATCCTTACCCAGAAAAAAACTGAACCACGATTAATGTATGAAGTGAAATCACAGGATGGTTTTGTACATACAGCTTCATCTATAACTGAAGTATGGGAATCGGTATTTCAGGCAGTTCAAGCAGCTAGAAAAGCACATAACTTACCTCCATTGACTCATAATCCGTTGACTGAAAATTTAGGATTGGATAATAATGCAACTATATATTTGGTTGAACAATTAGATGGAGTAAATAGATGTACAAAGTACAAACCTAAATATCATAATTTAACTCCACCACAATTTTTAGATAATGATATTTTATCTGAATCTGACAGTGGTGCTGCAAGAGCTGAACCATTTGGAGGAAGAAAAGTTCATGACATGTTTAGTTGGTTGGCGTCTAGACATAGACAACAGCCAAAGATTATTTCAGCCTCTGAAATGGATTCAAGACGTGCAGCAAGTACCAACTTGCCCATGGCTATGAGATTTCGAATGCTCAAAGAAACATCAAAGGAGTCAGTGGGCGTTTATCATTCACATATTCATGGAAGAGGTCTATTTTGCCTGCGAGATATTGAAGCTGGGGAAATGGTTATTGAATACGCTGGCGAGGTATTTTATTGCATTATAAAACATCCTTATCTATTTAGGAATTCATATTATTATATTTTATAGGTTATTCGAGCTTCATTAACTGACAAACGGGAAAAATATTATGACAGTAAAAATATTGGTTGCTACATGTTTAAAATTGATGATCACTTGGTTGTCGATGCAACTATGAAAGGAAATGCTGCACGATTCATAAATCATTCTTGCGAGGTAATTGAAATAAATTTATTTTAAAATATTATATTATTTTTTATTAACAAAGTTAATTTTTTTAGCCCAATTGTTATTCAAAAGTAGTAGATATTTTGGGTAAGAAACATATTTTAATTTTTGCGCTTCGACGCATCAATCAAGGAGAAGAATTGACATACGACTATAAATTTCCATTTGAGGATGTAAAGATTCCTTGTACTTGTGGATCAAGAAAATGTCGTAAATACCTCAACTGAAAGAGACAAAAGTATGAATTAAACGTCGTATTACCAGTAATGAAGACTTTGATAAGTATATTCAAACGTACGTACTATCATGTAATTCGTCCGATAAAATTATCAAATTTATCTTTAACAATTTTGTTAATAGATTGCAGCTTATTTTATTATTTTATTATACTAATTAACAAAAGATAGTGCAAACAAGTATCATTACAACGATATTAAATATTAATAAGTCTACAAAAATAGTAGATTATTAATTAACATGTGTATTGCTTTAATTTTTTAAAATTAATATCGATTATGCGCGTCAAAAATAATCTATTATTTCGTATCATAAAATATAATTAGTACACTGGGGCTTTTCAAGATACAATTATAAATATAATTTAATAACAATCCGGTTAATGCTTTACACTAAACATAGATTTAATAAAAGATTGCAGTAATGAACTGCTTTTTATTAGAATTTTTTTTGTTTGTTTAAATTATCATGACAGTCTATAGAGCAAAATTTCTTTTAATGAATAACTGAGTATCCATTGTAAATTCAATATTCCGTTTATTATTTTTTTTATTATTACTCTAATTATTATTAATATGAAGTCTACCATTTGTATCCATTATACTAGACTTCCAATTTATTCAAGTTCTCTTTTAAAAAGTAAAATAATAATCTATTTGTCCGTAGCTAGTGTACAGTGTATTATGACAATTTTGTATCTTCTTACATCTGTTACTGGGCCCAGTTTGAATATTCTCTTGTAAAATATGTAACTTTTAAAGTAAGAATGTCTGCTTGTTTTTTTGACTAAAGTATAGACGTAATTACGTCGATTGATTGATGGAGATAAAATTTTTTTTTCTCAATGAAAAAAAAAATGATAGAAGATATAAAAGTAACAAAAAAAAGCAAGCGAGTGAGAAAAAGAAAAAACGATAGAGCAAATGGACTAAGAGTGTAACGAAATTCTTATGTGAAAACAGTTGTTCCTAATGAAATTTTTTTTCATAAATATATACCGCAAGCTACTTTGGCAGACATTGATTACACCCGATTATCAACTAAAGAGAGAGAGAAAGCAATATTCACCTTTCTTATCTTAACAAATATATAAACGATTAATATTTATATATTATGATATACGAAATAAATTTGCAATATAGCACTTGTAAGCTACTCTGTGGAGAAATGATGTTCCAGTGTTAACTGGATGTGGGCATTTTATTATTTCAATTTTTGATTACTCAATAATCGTTTTCGAATATTAGAAATTATTGTGCTTCCTTCTCCTTTAATAAGAATCATGTTTGAGTATGTATTAAGCCTATTTTACGATACTGAAGATGGATGTTTTTTTAGTTTATGAAAAACAGTAAATGAATGATAAGCTCATACTAAAATAAAAAAAAAATAAAAAAAAACGGCGCAATCACTCTTAATAACAAGTTATAAATCTATGAATCTAGAATATAACGTTGTTATCCGAATATCTCATTTAAAAATTCATCTATATAATACGTTAACTATTTGACACATGAAGAATATTATTCATAAACATTGATATTTAATTAATCTTGTTATCTAAATATCATAATATTTCCCTAATGAGTATAATGTACGAAATTTTAACAACCTCATTAAACGTACTATCAATAATATTTTATGTAATTTTCAAGTGTGAAAATTGCAATCGCGATTTGCCTTAAATTCGTAGTTTATTCTACGCTTTAACTTGGTGATGATAGATTTTAGGACTATATAAAATGCTTATTTCACCTTTATTCATATAAATGAAATAAGCCAATATTATTATATATTAACTGTCGTGTTATTCATTTAAGACGCGGCTAAAGAAAGAAAAATATATATAAAAGATTAACAATATCTTCATTATTATGAGAATGATCAATATCTGCCGAGGTAGACGTCCCTTAAAACTTTTGGTGCTCTATGGACACCGTTAAGTGCACTTTTCATTAATTAATTAAAATAAAAGAAAAAGATGAGAGAAAAATGGCCTAGAATGTAAGAAAAATTTTCGAGTTTTCCGTAAACGTATTTACTAAAAGAAAAAAAAAAGTATCTGAAATGAGAGTAAACGAAAATTAATTAGAATATGGAATAAAACTATCAAAAGTTTATTGATTATAAATTATTTAAATGGAATAATATAAAATATAAATGATGGCAGGAACATTATTTGAGTACGCAATAAAATGTCAAGAGCATTAAAATCTTTAATCGGCCTGGTTTGGTACAAAATATTGTATTGTGAGGGGTAAAAAGTTGTGAAACTATAAAGAAAAAATGGAAACTTGTTCTGGTCACGAGAAATTGCCATTTGTTTTTTTAGGTTTTTTATTTTATTATTAATTTCTCAAATGTAATTAACAACAACAAGGTATAAAAGATAGTTATATAGAATATTAATATTGTTAATATAATTATTATTATTATGATTATTATTATTAAATTTAATCTGTAAAAATCAATTGATTAAAAATACGAAAAATAATAATTTACGTCGGAATATAATAGCAATGTTAGATATTTTATTGATATTTATTCACGATAAATAACTTAAAATTATAGATAAGTGGAAAAAAACGAAAAATTAGGACGTAAAGAAACATACGATCAAGTGAAAAAAAAAATATTTTTCTTTTATAATTGTATAAGCAGAACAATAAGCGTCCAAAATATCTATAAGACCCCAGTTTTTATATTTGTGCACAAATGTGACACAGTAGAGTATATATTATTTTATTCTATTTCAATTTTTTTATACATAAAAAAAAATATATATATATATATATATATAAATATATAATTTTGTATCAATTATTGAGCATTTGAAGTCCACATTGGAATGATTTTTATTTCAATTTTAATATTCGACTTTTAATCAATACGGTTTTATTTACTTCTTGCCAATCATATAATTTGTAAAAAAAACAATCATTTATTTTTTTTTTTGATTTACAAAGTGATTTATTTTTCGTAATAGTTTTTTTTTATCACGACTCAATAAAAATATCTGATTATATTATTCATATTGCATACTACAAATTACAAATAGATTAGTTAACTATAAAATATCTGCTTACACTACCATTTAAAACTAGTTGTAGATGTTTTATTCAGTCGAAAACACATACGATGAAAAAACAAATGTAATTTACAGCTTAATAATTTTTATTTCTCATCATGACATATGATTATTGATGATAAATTGTATGAATAATAATGCTACATGATATTATTATAATTTTTTTTAAAGTCAGGACTTGTTCAGCTTTTACAATTAATTGAAATCTGAAGAAGTCACATCACTGCTGCAAATATCACTATTGTCATTTCAGCACTTTTAACACCGATTCAGTTATTATTTTTGAGAAAAAAAACTGTTAGACACAACAAAAAAGAATGAAATTGAAAAAAAGTTCTCAAAGCTATTGAAAATTCGAATAAAAAAATGTTAAATTCATAATTCCAATGTTTTTAACGTACTGTGAAATTTTTTAGTGTATACATATGTTTGAATAATTGAAGGAGTAAAAGACATGTATAAAATATTTAATGAATCAGATATAGATCATGAAGAAATAAAAAAATTCAAATTGTCTGTGATTATCAGTCATAATAATCTTTAGCACTACATATTTTTTAGATGATATTTTTTAGAGAATGACAAAATTTATTATATATCCATATTATTAATATGATATCGGATAACATATAATACGCATTACATTAATGAATGAAACATTAAGTAAAAGAAAAATTTTAATTAAAGCTAATTGAAATTTAAGTGAGTGTAAGAAAAAAAAATGAAAAAAGTTGTAAACTATTTACAATAAATGATCGATAATTAAAGACAATGGCTGTTGTAAAATATTCAATGTTTGGATAAGGTATTAAAAATTTTTGATTGTATAAAAAAAAAAAAAACTTTAGAGGATTCATAATTTATAAAATCCTAAGCAACAGTGTCATTATCGTATTTTTAAATACACTTTATATTTTTTTTCTGTAATTATGTAAATGAATATTACATCAAAATGTATTATTAACAACATTACACAAACGTATAATGAGCGATGGCATTTTTAATTCAATAAATAAACAATACATTTGTGGTAAGAGAATGATGATTTCTGTGAAATATGGAGAACGATGCAAATTTTGCGTGTAAACTATCTTCATACGTTTATTATCAACTCACCATGAAAAAGAAATTATTGATCAATGTTATTGCATTAGCAAGAAAAATTATGCGTACTGCATTAGCAACACATTAATCGCTTTTATTACACAAAAAAAAATATGTCTACACAACTCACATGTATATTTAAATTTTCTAATTAAAGTTTTTGTTAGCATTATGTGAAAAATTAACAATAACAATAATAAATTTACAAATTGAACTAATCAATATCTAATTATATTATTAACTTTATAGTTGGTGAATAAAATTAATTTAACTTTTAAGTAAGTAGTTCAATTAATTTTAGTTATTGAAATGTTATCGTCTAGTTTGAATTTCAATTCTTTAACTGAAACTAATATTTCATTCAAGTTAATATTAATTACTTGAACATTACTGGAAATTCTCATTTATCATTTCAACGATACATTGTTGATATTGGCTTTTATCGGTTAAAACATAAGAAACAAAAAAGTTTAAATTTTATATCACTTATTGTGTATGTGTTTTAAGTATCGCAACTTTATAATTAGTTTGAACACAAAACATTATCTTATCATCATTCCCTTTGTTCCCACAGTGTTAGTTATGATGCAATCATAGTAGGTGTTACTAGTTGCATTACTATGGTGTAACAAACGAAAACAAAGGCACGTGTTAGGTTATTCAATAATTGTACATATTTTTTATTACATTGAAACATCTATTTAGCTTTTCGGAGTATCATAAATAATTTCTACAACATTAATCATATTAAGGTATATTAATTACTTAAATGAACAAAGTGCCAAATGAATTCAGGGGAAAAATCATCATCAATTGTGATGAAAGTGATGACTAAAACACTAATAATAAATTTACATGATAACCTGTTGTACGTATACCTTTAACATAAAATATACATTGAATGTAATAATTTTTATTACTCTTCGCACGACTTAAATGATGAATTGTAACAATTGTGAGAGATATGAATAATCAGACGGTTAACACAGAAAACAATACATTTAGTTTATAGTATATATATTTTACTCCATACGATGTGCATTTTATCTTTTGCGTGAAATTCCAGTAATTCTCCTCAAACAATTAAAATAATTTATGACGATGTTTCGTGTAGAAAATGCCGTCACGTGATTGCGTACAACTGACCAGTCAATCAGCCTGTCGATAAATCAAAAGCAATAAAATTTTATTCAAATAAAAACAGTAGTAAATATTAAGTGATTATAAGTTGTTTACAAATTAATCGTTAACTCATTTAATGAGTCACAAAAAAATATGAGTCGTTGAACACTTGAAAAAAGATACAACTATCATTTAGTACATACTACAGACAGTAAGTGAAATGGAATTACCATTTATTTATTATTTATCAAAGTTATTTAATACAACACATGTTTGATGGAATCCATCAAGGACGTCAGCTGTAATTGGGATAGGTCGGACAACATAGTAAGATGTAACGTGCACGGGAATCGGGAATGTAGGAATACATATATAGTTTGACTTGTATATATTTATAGTAGAGGGTTGCAGTAAATGATAAAGAAATAAAGTAACAAGTTAAACGTGCGTGTGTGGTGAGTTGTATACATACAGAAAATAACTCAAGTCTCAAATCAACTGCGCAACTTGTTTGCGCAAATGGTGTTTGGCCGGCAGCCACGCGTTGTGTTGTTCTCGTTGAAAATTTTTCACACAGCTCTTAAAGTGTTTAATGTTTATTATAAAATCTGATTAATTTTGTTATAATGATATTAACAAAATATTTCAAGAGTTTGTGAAGTTAATGGAATAGTATATCTAAAATTAGTAACAAATGTAACAAAAGTGAAGAGATATATCATCGCAGCAGTGACGACAAACGATACCAGCGCCACGTGTTTGAAAACGTCAAGAATTTCTGAATTTAGGATTACGAGAGACAGTTGCGCTGATTGTTATAACGTTAATTACTTCAAAAGATATTTTATTTAGTCAGTCGCTTAACCATTAAAAGGTAAAAGTCAAGAACGAATGTCTAATAAAAGTTTCCCATATAAATTTAGTGATTCTAAGTAGTTTATTCTGTTACACATACAACAAAATAAAATATTTATTCATCGTCTACATCAGCTTCTTCTCAGATTAATACGTTCAAATGATTACGTATTATTATCGAAAGATATAAAAGGGACGTAAGAAAATTTCCAAAGCTGTATAATAGTGGTGTATACGAAATAAATATCAGTCACAGGGTACGTAGCTTCTATGTTATCAAGATTACCGGTATTACTTGCCACATTTTTTTTATTTATACAAGTGATTGCAGTGATTGCAGTCCACGCGATTCATCGCGTGCCTAGCAACCGCGTTCATTCAATTATTTGTCGCACTTTAATTCTTCTTTATACCTTCCAACTCAGTACACTAGTATGTTTTTATTTATTCGTATAGTATTTTTATTATTACTATTAAAGCATCTGAAAAGATGAGAAAGGTTGAAAACAAGTGTCGTTGACACTCGATTACTTTTATACACTTTTTATATATACATATATATATATTGAATAGTATATGAATCAGTTAAAATAAAAACCTGTTTGACGATACGTCATGACGTACAATATTACATATAAATAAAAATTATTTTTAACTTTGGTTGGATAAAAAAAATAATATACTAATAATGAACAAGCTGTCTTTTTTCTTCTTTTTGTTCTATAAAAATTGTGAAATATAATGGGAAATTAATGACATTGGATGATTAACATAATAAAATTGTATATCCATAATACAATACAAAAGTAATACCAAAGAAATGTCATGAAGAAAAGTATTTATTTCATAAGATATATATTTTTATATGTGTTATAAGTGTATGAAATCTTGAGTCATTAGTAAGAAACAAAAGAACTTTCGTTGTACGGGTCACCGGACGATGCACATACAGAACATCATCAACACTACATACAAGTGCAATAAAGTTATATACACTCGGCTTGCAATCTCTCAAATTCTCAGGTCCGTAACGATTTACCCTGTAGTCGCATATGTCTAATTATAAAACTCATTAATATTTTCCTGCTAGTATATTTCTATCGCTCTATGTTTCAGACGTTATCGACAAAACTGTCAAGTCTTTCATATTATCTCAATTTCATCGAAAAATTCCACATCAACGACTAATAATACTGATGATAGGTCAATGTAAATTCATTGTTAAAAATAGCCATAACAAAAAAAAATGGTATTCGAAAATTATGACTTTCAATGAATTATAATGAAGTTATTATTTTATTTCAAGTATACATGAAATGGAATCTTTTGAATAATGTATAAATTTACTCATTACAAGAGTCGTTAAACCGCATGGGAAGTAGATAGAGACAAGTGGTATAAGAGAGAGCTTTTTTCTCAGTAAGTATACCTGTCGCACATGGCAGTTGCTCCGATCCTGATAAAATTTGTTGCTAACCGCGCACACTAGCTTACTTCGAACGATCTACAACCCAACTATATATTTTACTTCAACATATCGTTATAATAATCGGGTGTAATGTCGTTACTTACGCAGGTTATTCACTATTCTTCTCAACTCACTGATTCTCGTCATACCATTTACCCTTACATATTACATGCACACTATACGTGTAGACTATTGTCATTATATGATTCACTCTTTTATTCTATACACGTTTCAAATAAAGGATTGATTTTTTGCATAAATATAACCACTATTTTATTAACTCAAATATTTATATCAATCAATTTTAATTCAATTATTTTTTACTTTTATATGTACATTGATTATTGAAAAATTTTTTACGTTTTTTTATCTTTATAATTAAAATAATATTAATATAATTATCAGTTTAGGATAGCAATTAACTTGACAATATCAACAATGATTATTATAGTGTTTAAGGTCACTCACCCATTACCCCACATAGAATTTTCGTACTTATTTTTAGAAAATGTAAATGGATAATTGTAATTGGTTTTTAATCATGTCAATAATAAGATAAAAATAATATAGTATACGATTAAAATGTGATAAGTTTTTTTAAAACATTAATTGATTGACTAGACGACATAGATGTAAATAAATTATATAGATATATATATACATATACTTAAGAATACTAGAATTGTTGAATTTCTTATTATCTACTTGATTTTTATCAATTAAAATACATTTCAAATATAACTATCATCAATCTATTATAAAATTAAACTAAAAAGTAGTTTAAAAAAAAAAAAAAATAGTGTATGTGAAAGAGTATTAATTACAATATTAAAGGAGTTATATTGTTAGCGTGATCGCGTGATTATAATCGTCTATTGAGTAAACTTTTGCTATCGAAACGCACATTTCTTAAAAGTATATTTTTTTCTTTTTAAACGAGTATACATTACATTTAATTTTAATATTAATTATTTATAATTATCGACCAGTCAAATTGATTTATTTATTGATTTTTCTTTTTTTAAATTAATCAAACAAAAATGTGTGATAAATACATATGTATATTAAATATGTTGTAGGTAAAGGTATAAATGTAATAGTAGTTGTGATTTAAATTTAATCATTTTTATATAGAAATATTTAGTAATGTGAGTATATATTCTTCTGAGGTTTATTCTTGTGATGGTACTAAGAGGTCTCAACGGATCGATTTAATAAATTCCTAGCGTCAAATGTTATTTTGGCCAATGGATGTCCGCGCATAAAATAAAGCTGTCTTCCCCTTTTTTCGCATCATTCAATATACATACACATATATATATATATATATATACATATACGACATATTATATTTTTAAGCAATTCAATAGAATAGTTTTATTTACTTTTTGAACATTACTATTTGATTTAATAAATTCCCTTATTCAATGGTTATTGAGACACTCTGGTCTGTTGCACGTGTATACATAACAAGTGCGTGTGTAACCGTGAATAAAATATTGTGAAATATATATATTGTGATTACAAGAAACAGCTCGAAAGTTTACGTCAAATTTACACATGTATGTTTACTTAAAATACAATCAATTTTGTAGTGTAATGAACAATAACATGAAACAAGTTGATAAAGCAAAATATTTTTAAATTTCTCAAGTTGTATTTTGTTTTAAAAAAAATGTTATTTATGAATTGACAATTTTTTTTTGTAAATCTTTTAATTGTGTATCATATAAATCTTCAATTCCCCCTTCCGCTTTTGACACATAAGATGAATTTCAAGTACCTGGTGCACATCAGTATAAGCATGAATGACGCTGTTATCCAACTGATGGCGCCGTAACACCAGTAGCCCTGGAAACCCTCATTCATTTTTCTTTTGCCCTCAAGCCGAATTGGGACTTTAATCCTTTATCAAACACACTATAAATCTCTATTGACCTACTGCCATAAATTATCATAACATATTTTCTTTATTACTGCTATTAGATAATAATATGATTAAAAAAATAAAATTAACGAAAAAGAATATCTAAAATACTTTAAGATTCCATTGTAGTTAATTTTACGGAAACACGGAACATAGTTTTTTAAGCGACGTCTCCGGAATTTGGTACAGTTTAGTTGAATTGACCCAAGTATGAATAGATGAATAAAACAATGTTACATCAATGTTATTGGTTATGCTCATTTCTGATTTATAATTGAAAGAAAATACTTTTTTTTTAAATAAAATGTAACATAAAAATATTTTAAATTTTCAACAACGATTTAATAAAGAATTTTGGTATTTTTTAGGTTAATACTAAAATAGAGTGAAAATGAAAATAGGAGAAGGGTGCATATGTGACTTGAGACACGACTGAGATGTACAGTTTGCTGAGCCTTGTTTCTACGTTCACAGTTGGTGGTGAGCATCTGCGAGTATCGCGTATGGTCGCGTAGGTGCCTCCATGGTCGGACACAGTCAGGCAGCAACAAGAAGTAGGACCAGTAGGATCAGAGTTGATCGGAGCTTCACAGCGCAACGAACTTGAGAGTAGGAGACCAGTACCTCAGCTGATTCCGTGTATATACTACAAGTATAGTCAATTTCTGGGATGCAATGGTAGCCGGTTTTTCAGTGTAGTGGCTGTCAGTGAAAATGTGATGTGCGCGGGCGTGTATCACATACTCCTTTATCATCGTGTTAGTAATCTACATCCATCTATACCTGTGTAGAGTACACGGCTCCGTACTCACAGCCACGCCAGTATATATACAGACTAAGTGAAAAAAAAAGAAGCGAGCTTGGTTATTTCTTATGTGCAGTGTTTGTCAAAGTATATATCTGTATGATACGTTTGAATGCTAGTGAAGTGTAAAAAAAAAAGGAAGGAAGTGATATGTACGCGTGTGGAATTAAAAACATGTGGTTTGAGAAGATGTCAATAATTTGGTGGAACGTCGTCGTCGTAGTCATCGGAGACTCGCGGCTTATGCACGGTAAATCTATACATATATACATATATTTATATTTATAATACATATACAACTACATACTAACTTGGCGAGTGTGCCGCCACGTCTGCCTCTGTCTCAGGAGTAGTGATACAGAGGTGCGAGTAAGTCAATTATGGATATGTCTCTGTGTGTGAATTAAACGAATGAACGAGAGAAAAAAAAGCAAACAATCTCTGTAAGAATTGTGTATTTGTCTTGTCGTAGACATGTATATATATATTTCTAAAATTCGTCATTCAAGTGTTCATAAAATTTTTTTTCTTCTTTTTTCTTTTCATGTTGGATACATAGTTATATATGTATATTTCTTCTTGCCCTTTCTTCTGGATATAAAATATCCGGGACGACAGACCACCCCATGAAACTCTCCTGCGTGTCATCATCGATGCGTGTCTTGGTGCATGTTTATTTACTCATGGAGTGTTAGGAAGGCATAGTATAGTAGAAAAGTGTGTGCACAAGACAGAGTGAGTGGAGTTGTCCGTTCTTTACTTGCTCTCTCGCTTGCTTCACTGCCTACGCGCGTGTGTTTTGTGAAACCGTGAGTGTAGTATCTCTGAATGTGTGCATGAGCCGTCAAGTGTAGTGAGCAAGTAAAGGACAGAAAAAAAGAGAGAGAGATAGTATAAAATCAAGAAAGAGATCTGACGAAATATGTGTAACTGTGAACGAGTATAAGTATGAACTGACACGTCTAGTGCTTTTCTCTCTCACATAGTATATTTTGTTTTTCTTAGCTGGTAGCTTTTTCACATGCTTTCTTTCTCTCTCTCTTTTAACTACGCGAGGCTCGTGCCTACCGCGCGTGTACTCTGATGCTCACTCTGCATTAGTGTGTGGTATTTTAGCGTACAGAGAAGGAATAAATACCAAAGAAGCGTCCAGTTATATACAACATCCAAGAGTTTCATCGTATCGTTGTCGCATGTCTATTTATATGTCAGCCGTATGCAAATAGTATTTTCCTCTTCCGTCATTTTTTATAACTTCATTACTATTCAGCAAAATATAATACACATATGTACATTTATTAAGTGATATACATATTACGTTAGTAATTCATCAAATATTTCTTCTACTCTTCATTCCCCTTTGGTATTATTCATAAAAATTTGACTCATTTTCTTCCCTTTACCTCGATTATACTCATTCACTCTACACCACAACTCTACTTTATCCATAATAGCATTCTATTCGTGAACGTGTATACACCCTCGCATACATCATTTGTGATCGTACATAGTCACTGTACGTGAATGTATACGTTCCTTCTTCCCTTCTCACGAATAAGTCTACCGTGAGTTCACTCTCCTCCCTTTCTCTTTCTATTACACACCATCAATGTTCTCGCTCTTCGTCTTCTCGCTTCGGCTACACTTTCGTATGTATTAACACGCGCTTGGAGGCCAGGAATTTTCTCACAATGGATAGTTTGTGTTAGTGAGAGGAGACCGACGCCAAGTGCGACGGACCATAGCGCCGGGGAGGACCACAACACCACATCAGCAGCACCACGGCCATCTCGGCGGCCATCGTAATATAATGAGGCTAATATTAAAACATATCATTTTAACAATATTATTCTTTTACTATCAAACTATTCAATCCATCCATTCTCAATTTTTATCTGTTTTTAAATATCTTTTTTTCTTTCGTATATTAAATATCAATATAGTTAGTGTGTAGGATATATAAATAATGGATTAAATAGTATGAAACAGAGAAGAGTAAATCGATTTTAATTTATTGAGTGAGAGACGATGACTCAAGTACATATACACTAGACCAAAGAGATTTCTTAGCGCATCATATATAAGCACAGATATGTGTATATATCCGTTCAATTCATATCAGTATACTGTATGTATTAGAGCGATAGAGCGATTGCTTAAATTAAGTGTTCTTTCCTTCGTTAGATTCTCAACAAATAAACTCAATTATTGTTCGATTAGCCGATGATAGATTCACCTTTTTTTTTTTTTCAACTGTTATGATACACATAGACTTTCTGTTGAACAAGATGTCTCATCACCAGTGAACTTGATGTTGTATAATAAAATATGTTTCAATTATTAATTAAAGATAGAAAATTTTTGTTTATATATAAACATGGTTAAATATCATTCTTCATCATTTTTTCACTTTTCAATCAACCATTTGAAATACACTGTTATCATAATAATTTTCTTATCACGCTTAGTAACACGTCGATCGGAATAATTTCTTCAAGCTTATCGATTAACACATGTGTAAATGTGTATATGCATATGCACAAAATATTTGAATAAAAAAGAGTGCTAATACAAATAATTTTTTTTTTTTTTTTATTTTTACTTTTTATTTTTATTGAACAAATTATGAACTTTTTTTTATCTGACCTTGATTCATCATACTCACAGAAGAATATTTTATTGTGATTAAACAGATGTGTACAACTATAAAATATAACATGTAACAAAGAAACATGACTATATTACTATTCTATATAACATTTCTATTTAACTTTACTAATGTTTTTTCAAGCTGATAACGCGATTTGCATAATATTTGATTTTTTACAGTTGTGTTTATTTATGGACACCAGTTTTTTTCTTCTTTTTAATTCGAACAAAGTTATTAATCTTTACAAAATCAAATTGTCTTTTTTTTTAAATATTAATAATATATATTTCAACTATCAGTATATACATATCTATATAACTAGGTAATATTTCATCCTATAATATTTTTTGTTGCTATCTTTATTATCGTTATCCTTTTTCATTTACACACATCAATGTATGTATGAGTGAGTGTGTATTTTATTTATACACATGTATCAATGGATAATATGACTATTGTTCTGTGATATATAGGCTACACAAAATGATATTCCCCCACATACATTATTGTACTACACATAGCTGTATGAAGCCAGAGGAAAGTTTGCAAGACAAACTAATCGATTTATTCTCCCTCTCTTTTATTACAATAGATAAAACGTACGTCACTAGACATTTTATTTTTACGCCGCGACACACGCAATATAGTCCACTACACGTGTTCATGGGGTGCGTCAATTCATGGCTGGCGTAACAGTGTCCATTGATTAGCATCAAAGAGTTTAGCACTAGAGGTCTCTATCGTAAGTTTAAATACCTACTCATTGTGTTTTTTTTTTTTTTATTTATTAAAGCAAGAGATTGAAGTATGTTCGAGGAAGTCATCTAGAAAATTATAGGTTCATAAGCAGTAGAATTTATAGATTTGTTCGAGATAAATTTTTATTTTAAATATTTATTGTTTTAGTTAACATAAAAATTAACTTTTAAAATATTAAGTATATATTTATTTAGATATTTTAAATAAATAAATATTAAAGTCTTACTATCGAGAGACCTCTTGATAAGACTTGAAACAGTGGCGTCAGGAAATGTTTGAAATAATTTTAGAGAGGTAATACCTCAGGTATATTTTTAAAAATAAAGCATAAAAATTTATCTCGACAGGTGCATTGAGTCCCACTGAGGTAGAGATTTTTGTCTCAGTCCTTTTAAACAATTCTACTAATTTTCTGTAGTATCTTAGCTACAGCGTAGCAGGATCTTTTCTCGGTACATCAACATGAGTTTCAGAATGAAAACCTGCATCCTCGAAAATTTTTACTCACCTGTCTTCATCTTTATTCTTGATGCATTTTAGACCCAAACCGATCCTTCAGATGATTTATATACCAAACAAAATAGTCGTGTAACCAACATTCTCTCTCTTGTACCCGCCTATAAAACTATACAATAGTATTGTTAAGGCAGGGAGACACCATGGGATGCAACTCCGTTCAGAAGTAAAGGGAGAAGTGCATTATTTGCATGAGCAATTCAGTTGTGTATTGATGACGCCGATACGTCTACCCAGGTATCACAGGTATCACTTACAGATTGTCAAGGGCCATGGCTAAAAGGAAAGTCACCACCTAGGGTTTTGGCAGTTAAGCAGGTGCATCCCCTAACTGTTAGGGGCTGCACATCGATTCATTCATTCTAATATTCTTTTTGTTCTTGTACACTTGTTCGATCTCTTCGAGACCTTTATTTTCTTTACAACAAAATTTTAGGGACCTTTTATTTTTAACTTTTTTTTGTTTTATTGCTTTTGTCAAAAATCACTCAATGGTTGATTTTCCATGCAATAATTTTACAGTTATTTTACAAGATTAACCATTTTTTCTCTGTAATAGTTAACACTAAAACTTTATTATTTTTTAGTTAAAATTCCAATTGAGAAGTAAAAAAAATTGTATATTTTTCAATTAACCAATCCTTATTTTAAAGGATAAAAAAAAATGTTTGAATATTTTAATTGATAGTTTTTTACATTTTCAACAATTTATTAATCTTCTAAATGGCGTCAATTTATTGATCTAGTCACCCTATTATTATTATTATTATTATTATTATTATTATTATTATTTTAATTCAATTTAAAACATTAGAAAAAGTTGAAAGTAATGTTTATCATTGTTGGACATAGATATCAATTACACGCTGTTAGCTTAGATCCTTTTAACATGGATGAATTCATTTCAGGTGTACTTTTGTAAACTATTAGTATATAATTTCTTACTCGGCTCAGTATTACTAATTCTAGCTCTATCGAATTGATGAAGCCATTTAAAATGATAAAATGGAATTTTATTTACTCAGTTAATAATTTATTTATTCAAATGTTTTAAAGTGAATGATTGATGGTTGATGATAATTGAATACTGAACAAATTTAAGTTGAAATTGGAGGAAAAATAAAATCGAGTTTGTTGTAAATTTTCTTTTGATAGTTGAAGATTGTATGATAATAATCAAATCCTTTAGATGATCTTTGAGTTTACAAATTCTTAATAAGACAAAATTTTCAATAATCTATTCGTTGTCGTATACCTGCGTGTTAAACTTAAGAAAAAGCCACACAAAGACCCAATGAGATTGAGTGATGCGGAAATAATTGGTTGAGGGCGTGAGTAAAAATGAGACAAAAAGATGGAAATTTGAAAAAGGTTGAGTGAGAAAAAAATCTAGTCTCAAATTTAGCCACTTGCTGAGACAATCCGTTGCCATCTTTTTTAAAGCTAACTTAGACACTTTAGATAGTTAAGTAGTAACTGAGGTAAATTGTTTTTTGTTTCCTAAGATTTTTCATTGTTAAAATTTTTCCATTACTTCACTTCACAAAATAATACTCCAAAATCTAAATTATTTTCTTCGCTGCAAACTAGTTTTACAGGTATCCGCCAATTCTTGGAAAATTTTCCATTCAGAATAACAAATAATTTTTCTATTTGAAAGAGTATAACTTACCATCGGTTGCCGGGTAGCTTTCTTGAATGTATGAAAGGAAAATGTACTAGAATTGGTCTTTGTAGTGAATGAATGAATATATTAAAAGCAGTGAACATATATGTACATATAATAAAAAAATTTAATGTATTTTTTCTTTCTTTTTTATAGTGTTTCAGAAGCATTATGAAGAAAGTCGGAGATTTATAGTTTAAATAAAAGTCTTCTTCGAATAAAATAAGAAAATATCGTGGAAAGAGAATGCTCGGAAGTTGGGGGTGGGAAGAAAAATTGGAGCTGGGAGTTACCGAGAGTATTACTGATACTTCGGTATTGTTATTAAATAATCCAAAAATAATTGATTATTCAGAATCAACGCATCTGATTCCCGAGAGTCGGGTGTTGAGGTATGCACCCAGTAGTTATCACCAATTTGCCGAATTTAAATCACTGCATCCCAGTATCGAGTCTTCCGACGACTTTGTGGATTGTAAGTACATTTTATTTCATGACATTCTCAATTAAATAAAAGCAAAAAATCATTATTTGGATATACGATTAATTATATATTTAAAATTCATTTGTCTAGAGCAGTGTAAAGTGGAAAAAATGCTGACAACACGTCCAGAGATGCATGAGAAACGTGATATGCCAAGTGACGGTGCAACAATGGAGGAGAAAATGTTAATAAACCAACAACCAACACCACCGCAACGTGATCCATCAGATCCGACAATCAGTGCGAAAAAACTTCCAAAGAAACGTAAATTTGACTATGCTGAACTTGAAGAAATGGACAAATCAAATAATGTAGTCAGCATGGTGAATATAAAACCTGGTTGTGGTGGACAACAGTCAATAGTACAATCTAGTGGTTTGCAAATACCACATACAATATCATCATTGGCTCAACCTCAGAATTCACCACATCATCTTCATCATCATCAACAGCAGCAGCCGCAGCAACAGCAACAACAACAACAACAACAGCACCACCATCAACAGACTGACTGTTATCAACCAACACAGTCAGTAGTAGTGCAAACGCCTCCTCAAAGTACTGCAGTCGATTATTCGTTAAGAGATGAGTCTTCTCGATCGCGACCACGACCTACTCCTATAACAATTGATCTCAGTGAATGGCGCGATCACCGTGTATTAGCTTTAAAACAATCTCGTTATTATCCCGGTGTGATAAGAGAAGCTAATGAACATGGTCACATTATTGTTAAATTTGATGGTAAACATGAATTATGGATGAGATATAGTGATGTGCTTGGTGTAGGAAAATATGATATTATTGGCGATGCTAGTCCTTCGGTAGGACAAGTTAAAATGGACGCTAAAGTTTGTGTGCGAGATCCAAGCTCTTCAACTAGTGTATTTATCGTAGGGACTGTGTGCAAGATATTAACAAAGCCTTGTCGCTTTGTCGTTGAAATTACGCAGGATGAACATAAAGGTGAAACTATTCATGTTAAACGCGCAGATTTAAGACTTATTCAACCACCATGGTGGGATGAACTTGAAGAGGGTATGGCGGAATGTGATTCTAAAAGAATTGATACTGCTGGTGAGTTTATTATTTATTTTTGTTAAGCTAAAAGAAATATTTGAATCACAATTATACTCATTTATAATTTATTTATACTAGTCGATCATGGATTTAGAAATTCTATTGATTCTTCAGTACAACTGTCAATGCTACAGCAATATCATCATAGCCCTCATTTGGCAAGTCACAATGAATCTAGCGGTTATTATCGTACAACTGCTACCAGTCCGCTTATGCCCTTAAATACGACGCATATTGCGTCAAATACTGCTTTGAGTAACGGAAGTAGACCGTATGATGATTTAGAAAGTGAAGATGATTTAGATAGAGAGGATATAACATTTCCTTCTGATGCAGGTTGGCATTTTGTTATCAATTAAATGTTTAATTAATTTCATTTATATAAAAATAAATGATAATAAATAGTAAGTAATATAATAATCTATCAACTGACAGATGCAAAATTATCAGGAAGCAGTAAGCGAAGTAGTATGCAGAGTCGTGGCAGTACCAGTAGCTTAGTTGAGCAACGCAGCATAACTCCTCGTTCTCAGGCAGCTACACCCAGGTAATATAAAAATTATTTTTTAAAATAACATATAAATAAATAAATATTTTAAATGGAAAATCATAATAAATTGATTTTTTTTTTAAATTTAGATCTCAGGCGGCAACGCCACACAAATATAAAAAGGGTGATGTAGTTGCTACGCCCAATGGAATTAGAAAAAAATTCAACGGTAAACAATGGCGTAGACTTTGTAGTAGGGAAGGATGCTCAAAAGAAAGTCAACGTCGTGGTTACTGTTCTCGTCATCTAAGTCTTAGAAGTTCAGGCCTTCGTGGGCCCACAAATACCAATTTTCATGGTGGTGGTGAAGAAACTTCAAGAGATTCCGATACATCACCAAATTATAGTGATAGAAGAATGACGGGTAGATTTGATCAAGAAGAAACTGAAGCTGCTAATATGCTTGTATCATTAGGTACATCTCGTTCTGCAACACCAGCATTTTCATCGCCTACTGCTCAATCTTCTATATCTCCTTGTATCAATCAATCACCAGTTCCACCTCTTGGTTTAAATCAAAACAATGTTTTCATGCCTATATCCAGTCCGGCTCATCATCCAACTTCTCTCATTTCACCTGGAACTAAATGGAAACATTCTCCAACACCTCAATCTAATTCAACTGTACAATTTCAACAAGTTATTAAACCAGAACCAAATCGTATGGTGCGACCAAACCGACCAGCACTAACAGCACCTGCACCGACAAGTATGAGTACTAGTGTTATTCGAATGTCGCCTGTTGGCCGTGGAATGCCAATTCAAGGTCTTTCTCTATCATGGACTGATCAATGTAATCAGTCTACTACACGACATTCATCTGTTGTAACGTCTATAAATCAACAACAGCAGCAGCAACAACAACAGCAACAACAACAACAAGGAATAATCCTTCAAAGTGCTTTAACATCTAATAATGGATTTTCTAATCATCCTGAAATAATTGAGCAAAATACCCAATTGTTGAAAACTCCAAATTCACCACATATTGCACTTTCAGTGCACTCATCACCAAATGTAAATCTCATACATAAATCTCAAGAAGTTTCTATTGATTACGGTCAACAGAATCAAATTTATGGAATTCAACAGCAACACCATATTCATTCACAGTCTCAACAATTACCATTACAACAAACGTCCCAACAACAACAGCAATCATTATCATCACAACAACAGTCACCATTGCAATCTCAACAGCAATCGTTGGCTCAATCACAAATTCAACATGATAAAAAATATATCGTTATAAAAAATGGAACTGATGTACCAGTACCTGGACATAGTAGTCAAGATGAAAAGTATCGGCAAGGTACCATGATAAATCATTTAGAACAGGTGCAACAACAATTACATCAGTCAACATGCCAGTCGTCGCAATCAATCGTGATACCATCATCCATTCACACTGATAAAACTTTAGTAATGACACAGGTAAGATTATCGTAATATTGTTAACAGTGAGATAACTCATTCACCATTAATAATACGTAAATCATTTACTAAATTCGTTTTATACGTCATAGCAAACAAATAAAGTTGGGCTTCATGGGTCGGGACACGATGATTTACAAAAGAATCAGCCGCTATCAACAAGTGTCGTTATATCAGCAGCAACATCAGTAACAAATACGTCAGCACCTACTAGTGTCTACCAACATGTTATTGTACAACCCAGTCATGTTGTTCAAGTATCAAAATCTTTACCTCACGCTGCTGAGGATAATGTTAAAAGCAATGGAGTTGTGTGTAAGTATTGGATACATTTTATTATTTTTGTAGATAGATTGTATTTGTTTAATTAATATTTTAAATTGCCTAAATGATGGTTTATTTTGCATGTGCAGTTTAATAACGTAAATATATTGTAATATTTATTTATATTTGATAAACATAAATTACGTGTTAGAGTTATCAAACATTATTTAATTATAAGACAAAAAATCGTCTATGCATGTTGTCAATAAATTTTATGACTAAATGGGAAGGATTCCACAGATGGCAGTCACAAAGTATCTTCTGGATACCCGTCTCACCCTCCACTATTACACAGTAATGCAGTACGCAATTGGAAAAAAGGTTTGAATCTCATCTTTGATGTGTACAATCAAAGTAATTAATGCTTATTGCAGATTTTACTATACCAGTGATATAATTCATTTAATAATCTAAGATATTTCTTAATATAATTCTTTTAATAATCACTGTGCACGTTATACTGTTACTGAACACTTAACTTCCTTGCCACATTAATTTCGTCTTTTGTACTAATCATTCTTTTTAGCGATTTAACATCTACTTTAATGGGATTATTACTCATCATAATAACATTTTAATTAACAATCTATTTATTGATACATTTTTATAATTAATATATAATTTTCTAATTTGCACTAGTTCAATGACATTGAGTCTTTTTCACTGTTTTGTCTCAATAATGAGTTTTATTTTTCAATATTTGTGAATAACAATATATCTGAGACTTTTGTTTATTGAGCCAGATATATTAACTTGCGATTCTTTGTTATTGATTGAAGGTAAATTGTGTACTGTTACTTGGATAGAATACTAAAGAATATTGATAACTGAATTTTCTCAATTTCATAGAAATTTTTCACCGTCATTCGTGAGATTTTACATGATTCTTTGTACTTAATTTTTTCAAATTTAACATTTGCAATAAATATTTTTAGAATTGAAATTCAATAAATGAATGATTTCTTGTCATTTTTGGCGATAAAACAGCGAAAAAAGCTCGATATTCTTCAGATTCATAGCAGTGTTTCCTGTGGGTTTATGTGTTTACTGTCTATCATCTTCATCTTTAATTTTAATAAAAAATCTATGATCAAATTGCTACTTCTATGCTACGCTACTAACCGCATTTCATTATAATTAACCCCGAAATTTCATTGCAGCTTTTTCCTACCAGACAACCGTGGTGGTAGACCAGCCTGAAGTAAGTCCACCACCATCAGCATTGAGTCCGCCTCTTAGTGCTCCACCTATACCACTTAGTATTGGAAATTCAGGTGAAGAGCAACAACTTACGTGTCCTGTACCAGATCCAATAACTCCGGCTGAGGAAGAAGATGATGATGTTTTTGATACCACTGAACCAACTACTCCTGCTGAAGTAGATAATAATTCAAATAAACGTCGTAGTCAATCTCTTAGTTCTTTACATACTAAAGAACCTCAAAGTCCATTAAAAGTAAGTAAATTCCGAAATTTCGTGGAATTGATGTCACTATAAGTTTAAAAAAATTATTACATCATTATTTTTATTTTTACAGACTAAAGATCGTATAAGACGTCCTATGAATGCATTCATGATATTTTCAAAGCGCCATCGAGCAGTTGTACATCAAAGACACCCTAATCAAGATAATCGAACTGTTTCGAAGATTCTTGGTGAATGGTGGTATGCACTGGGAGCTGAAGAAAAACAAAAATATCATGATTTGGCATCAGAAGTAAAAGAAGCTCATTTTAAAGCTCATCCAGATTGGAAGTGGTGTAGTAAAGATAGACGAAAATCATCAACAACAAGTTTTAAAGGAAATGAAACTAGATCTAAATTAAACAGTACCGGTGAGGAAACTGATACTGGTGGTCCACCTAGTGAAGATGTACCATTAACTCCACGTGCCACGGATGAAATTTATGTTCCTGTCGCAGCAGTTTATAATGAAACAACAAATACAGAGGTAAATAATTCTATTTTAATTTTAAAAAAATTGTTTTTTTTTTTTTTCTTCTTCAAACAATACTCATTATTTATTATATAATAGAGTAACATCAATCAGACACATGTATCTCAACGAGTACACGAGCATCAAATACAGACCGATAACTCTGATACGGTGAAACAGGAAGAGGACGGTAATGCATCTGATGACGATCAAAAAATGGTTATTTGCGAAGATCCTCAATCAGATGTAGAAACCCAGAAATCTAATAATAAAATGAATGAAGATGACGTTGGTGTTAAAGAAGAAGAGGAAGGAGAAAATTACATTAATCAATCGAGATATTCGCCTACTAGCGGTCAAAATAGAGAAGGTTTGAATATTACTTCAGAAATCACTTGCCGTCCTAAACCAATTAAAGGTTATTATATCTTCATTGATATCAATGAAGTGTCAAATTTTTATTGTTAAATAATTATATTATGGATATCCTTTAATTCAATAGGTACTGAAACTACGACAAAATATCATCATACATCAATGGATAAAGGAGGCACTGTATCAGTATTGTCTACTTATCCTTATCACAGTCCTGTAAATCCTACTGGAGTCTCAGGATTTCAACCCAAGGGAGGCGCTTTTATTACAATGCCAATATCACCTAAAGTCGTCAAACCGGAACCCATAAAAGGGGATCAGCAATTTTCTACACAATATAGTGTGAACAATTTAGTGTCAAATGTTCACAATGAAAATGGCAGAAACGTGTCTAAATTTATGTCTGCATCTGTTTTACACTCGGTAAGGGCTTAAATAAATATAACTAAATCGAAAAATTTTTTCTCGAAATAACTTTACGAAAGAAAATAACGATTTTCATTTCCAATTTGTTAAACAATAATTTTGTCCACAAAAGTCAGATTATATTTAGTAATATAAGTAACATAAATTAAACCAATACTAACAGATTGGATCTAAACCGATGATGGCTGTGCTCAAGCAACAGCCTTTGCAGACTTCAAGTACTACCCACCGTCCCCAAACATCAATCGCTCCCTATCAACCCCCGCTTACTCTTAGAGTTCTGAATAATGATTTGGTGGCATTTTCAAAGCAGCCACAAGGCCCCCAGTATCTCGGACCAAATTCTCAACATCAACGTATTTTTATGCCTGGTTTTCAGATTCCTATTGCTGGTAAGAATAATATGATTTTTTGAAATTTCAATCATTGTTAAGAAGTTGAAAAAATTAAATCTTGTTCTATTATTTTTTTTTTTTAAGATGTCGGAGCTTCAAATATATCACTACAAAATTTTGTTACTACCAGTAAAGTAGAAACGCCTAGTGTTATTGTGACAAAAACTCACGTCAATGTTAATTCTAATACTTCCAATCCACCACCATCAAATAATCGTGAAATTGGTCATTCAATTGCACGACTTGCAGAATCAGAAAAAAAAGAAAATTTGTCATCAACAAATCATCTTCAATATTGTAGTGAGTATCTAATATTTATGTTGTTTTTCGTGTCGAAATAGTGACGAAATAAAATTATTTTCAATAGGTAATAACCTGAAAGTAGAACAAGAAAGAAAGGACACCAATCACTCGATTACCATAGGAAGTGAAAAACACCAACATAATCAATCATCGTCGACGACTCATCCTCCTCACACACCTCATACGCCTCATACTACGAACAGTCAAAGTGGCAATAATTCTATCCAATGTGTTTCATTCACAATGGAGGAATCTACGGTTAGAAATAATGATATTAGTCAAATTAAAGGTACATTTATGCTCGCTCCAACACCTGCTCAACTTGGTCGTGCTCCATTACAACGAAGACAGTCATTAGGTAATTTTATTTTATCAATTTTAAATTTATTATTATGAAATCAATTTCTTTGAACTATTTGTTAAATTATTATTCATTATTGAGCAGCCGTACCTCCTCCTGTATCATGTGCAGATCATGGATCTACATCTCAACACTTTGATAATCGGCAAAAAAATATAACTAATTTAGAAACACAACAGCAAAATAATTTTAATGAACCTCTTGCATCTCCTTCACCATCCAATAAAAAAGGTTCATTTTTCAAGAAGAATGTTGGTGATGGAATGGATAGGTAAGTTATTCGCTATATTATTGAATAATTTATCATTTATTGATTGATATCCAATAAAGTAATTCTATTATTATTTTAAATTGTTATTTACAGAGTTCTCGAACAAGTGAACTTTCAAGAGAAATTTTCATCATTACCTGAATTCAAACCCGAAGATATACAGAGTCCTAATTCAATTACTATTAATACACCTGCTGGATCTGCCGTTCATACCCCTGCAACAGCTAATCTTCATTCATCAAATATATCGTCATTACAGAATTGTCGTAAAAAATCTGGTCAAGGATCTCATCGTTTATCAGGTAAATTTTTTACATTTAAAAAAAATAATTTCTAAACTGCAAGTTATTGAATTTTTTGTTTTTTTTTTTTAATAGTCAATGAAGAAGATATCGAGTCTGACGTGTCTGCAACTCCAAAATCGACTACCAGTGTTAAATTAACTGGGAATACATTCTTTGGCCCAGACTTCAATGTCGAAGCATTTAGATTAAATCCCGAATTAAGTGGTGATGTAGAAAATAACTCTCCAAGAACACCAAAAACTCCAAGTGGTGGTGTAAATAGTGCAAATAGTCGAACAGATAATGAAAGAGGACCTAGAAAGGTTTTGGAACGCCGTAGACAATTAGTTATGGAATTATTTCACGATCAAGGCTATTTCCCATCCACACAAGCAACTTCGAATTTTCAAACTAAACATTCTGATTTATTTCCCAATAAATCAAGTTTGCAATTGAAAATTCGAGAAGTCAGACAGAAGTTAATGGCCAGCACTATGTCAAATTCGAATAATCTCGTCAGTCCATTACCAACGTCGGAACCATCACCTAATAATAATAATAATAATAATAATAATAATAATAATAATAATAATAATAATAATAACAATAATAGTAATAATAACAATAACAACAATAATGGTAATTGAATTGATATTCGTTTTCAATTAAAATAGGATTCATTAGCTCAAATATTATTGACAATGACAATAATATTTTTTTCAAGGATCTGGACTCGTTTGTTCAACAACAACAACTACCACAACTACAACATCAACAACAATGGGAGCTCCACAATCGTTACCTGTCAGCAGCAATAGTAGTAGCTAGCAGCACCCATGTACCAACTGTGATACTTTAAATACTCTTGCATCTCAACACGAGTACATAATAATTCTTTAAAAAAATACGATTCTTATGCGAAGAACAATTTTTCAATGAACGTGAAAACCGATTTTTTAGAAAGTAAATTTATATTCGGTTTTATTAGTGCAATTTTACGTGGAAAAAAATCGCTAATGATAATAACTGATGTGCGGCAAATGAAAATAAATTTTCAACGAGTGTTCATACATTGTTAAGCCTTTTAAATCTTGCTTGGTTGATTGTATAAAAAAGTAACTTCTCACTGGAAAGTTAAAAATATTCACTAGAGATATTATTTACTAGCCTGGAAAAAAGATGTAAATATGAAAAATATTTTACAATAGTGAAAAATATTAATCAATATCTTAAAGAGTTACTGACTAACAAATGTATACAAATGTTGTGTTGTTTCACGACTATTTGTCTTTTATACACATAATAATTTTATAAATGAAACTGATAGTTGTAAATTAGCATGCTCTAGTAGTAAATTGAGAAGGCCTAGAATATTAATAATTGTTAAACAGTGCAAAAAAATGTGTCGTGAAATCGAATATTATCTTGGCAAATAACAAACTGTAATTTTCAAAATTATTTTATTCATCTCAAAAAGTAACATTAAAAAATCTCATTGTATCAAAGTATATATTATTTAGTTGATATTCGATGCTATTATAGTTAATGGAAGAATTTTGAAGCCGAGGAAAAAAAATATTACATAAAATTAACACAACAGCAATTGTGTTCATGGTATTTTAGTGCATATAAATTGGATAATTGGCCGAAAAGCTAACAAAAAAAAATTACTTTAAAAAGTTTATAAATGACTGTTCACAGCCAAGTCTTGACAGTTTAGGACTGACATATTTTTTTGATAGAGTATAGATAATTCCAATATTCATTATTAATTATATGTAAGAAAAAATGTGCCATTATATGGCAGCGAATGGAAAAGGGCAACCTTTTTATTGCCTCTTTGTTAATTGAATAATTAACTGATAGAGTCTAATAATATTTAGATAAAATGTTTCCGATAATTTCTAAAGTACTTATTGACTGTTTTTTAACTTTGCCAAAATTTAATGTAAATCATTGTTTCATCATACCTTTGTAGAAAGTTTTTTTTTTCTGTTTGAAACTTGTCGAACTTTTCACTGAGGAATGGCAAAAATAGTATACAAACCTAGAGAAGACAATTAGGCCATCCTAAACTATCACATGTTTATCCCTTTTATCTATGGCTTGGGTCTTTAGCTCAATATGTCAACATATATCAATTTTCTCTTGGTTTGTAAAATACTATTTTATACGGCTCTGTTTAATTTATCTGCTTTTAGTGATATTTTTATTCACCATGACACCAATGAATTGTATTTTTATTTTTTACACCGTTAGATTTTTAATATTTTATTTAAGTTTACTGTTCAACTTTTAACACTGTGTTAAGAACGCAAATCAATTTATTAATTTGGTAAAAAAAAATCAAATTATTGCAAAAGAAAGTGACAGTTTAACGTAAAAACTTTTATTATAAATTCTTATATAAATGAAATGAGTGTTTAATATTTTATTTAATTTTATGTAATATGCTTTGATTCTAAATAATTCGATATTTTTAATTATTTGTAAAAAAATTGCTATAAGCACAATTATTACCATGAGAGTCAATTTGATAAATATTACATTGAACTTTGGCAAGATTGTTGAATTTGGCTGTATAGTAGATGATATTTCCAAATAAACTTCTAATCTTGTATTAGAATATATAAATATTGTAATTAAAATAGGCTAATTATATAAATATATTTCTTGTACATAGAAAAACAATATTGAAACTCATTAAATATTGTTAATAATAAATAATCCAGATTTAAAGTTAACGTAGTGAGATACATTGTAAATACGTGGATAATAACATATGTGGTTACATTGTGTAGTAGGTAATTAATGATTATTGAAAGTAGAGTTAAGATAGACTTATTATTACAGATAAATAATATATCTTGTATAAGATAGACTTTGTGCTCGGGATTGTTTAGAGTTCCCATTTTATCTTTCCAAAGTTGGTACTTTTATGAAGTATTTAAACACCTTCATTTGTAAATAATATGTACTATTATCTTTACATAAAAATTAATTATTCATCAAAATGATATTCAATGATAGCAAAAGAAAGACGTTTGTCATCAAATTTTAGATCAATGAATTACAATTATTTACTGTATTTTTAAACATTCATTTATTTTATGTTACATTAATAAATATATTTTTACTCAAATTTTGTTTCAAAGTTAGTTCTTTTTGACTTATGGAAAAAAATTTGATTATTTTACTTTGATTCAGTTGTTTTCTGTAGTGATAAAAAATAATGTCTTAAACTGTGCTTCCTTGATTAAGAAAAGTAATAACAATTTCAGTTTGTTTTTATTTTTCATTATCTTTAGTTAGAATACTGATGCATAAACGTCTTTCGATTTAATCCCGCTCAAATATTGCAACAAAAAACTTTTTACTTACATAATTTAACAATTTTTATGCAGTATTGCAAAAGTTTATTGAAAAACACTTTGGTAATAAATTTTGTATCAATGTCTTTCGTTGATTATCTCTTTTTAAAATTTAACATAATATTTTTTTGTGTGATTTAGTCGCCATACCCAAGTGACTGTGATTTTAGAAAAACAAGAATAAAATTATGTGGGGCGACTATGAAATATAATCAATTTGCTTATTAACGTATATACGTATATTATTGAAATTTTATTTCTTTTTATTTTAGTTAATAATAAAAATTAATTGATTATAATTAAAAATAAATGCAATCATATTAATTGCATCTAAATAATTTTATATCGTTTTTGTTATCATATTTTAATTATCTTTATTAGTTTTATTATGTCTATAATTCTAATTATAATTGTATTATTTTATTATCTCATGTTCAATTTTAAAATATGTTTAAAATTGTTACGTAACTATGCAATTATTTCAATACCATGTTATGGATGAACAAAAACAATGAAAATATTTCTATATTAACTAAAAGAAAATGAAATGTACATATGTATATTAATGCAATTAATTCTATTATGTTTCAATATGCATTTTAAAAGCACAGACGACAAATTGACAATTAATACTGGAATAAATAAATATATATAAAAAATAGATTTAATTCAAGTTTTTAATTTATAAAAGTATTTATATTTATAACAGATTTGAATAAGTGCATTCTAAATATCATTAGAAATAATAATTGTGGTATTTCTAGTAAAAATATCTCATTTATTATCATCTAACAATCTAATTTTTTGTGTACGATTTAGGATTTGTTTTTATTGGTGAGAGTAGTTATATTCAATCATTGTGCATCATATTGTTCATAATTGATAAGAGACGATAATGTATTTTTTATGGAAAACTGTAAAAAAAATACCACTTGAAAATTTTTTTCCTACTCCAAAACAATATATATGCAAAAATATGTACATTATATGACAAACATCTCTATTTTTAACACTTGAATAAAGTAAATTATTTATTCATCTCAGAAAAAAATGATTCCAATTTTGTTTGTTTTTTTTTTTTTTTTAATATATGATATTATTTTTATGCAATTGATAAACAAATCAATTATTATTTTTTAAACATACATTCTGAGGAATAAATCTCAATAATTAAAATCGAATAAAAAAATTATTTTTCTTAATTGTAATTAATTGCTGTTAGTATTTAAATGTGCCATTTAAAAGAAAAACAGTGAAAAATACTTCTGTATTTATATTCCAAGTTTTTAAATATAAAATCGAACATGTATCATATAATCTACCGAATCGATTAAATTATCATTGCGAGAGTAAAATTTGAAATAGCATATTAAAAGAAATAAAAAAAATTATATATAATAAAGTATCGAATTATAGAAAATATCGTGTAATAAACGTTCAACATATTATCATGCCTTATGAAGAGAAGAACTCATTGAAATAAAAAAATTATATATACAAAAAATCATTCTGTTATCATTATAATCACTAATGGAGATTGTTTAAGTAGTAAAATAAAGCAGTAAACAAATTTTCAAGTATAAATATAAAGTAATATTTGAAGGAAAAGTTATTTCCGAAATAAAATGAATAAATTGATAAGGAAAAATTTGTTGAAACTCTTTGAAGAATGGAAAAATATTGAGTATTCAAAGTATTGAATAAATGTTGATAAATAATAAGATAAACAATTGTATTATGTGTTGACAATCGCCAATACTGTCAAGCTCAAACGTGGCTGACATTAGTCGACAAATATGCCTTACAAAAAAGTGCAAGCATTTTATTTTTTAAGTAGATAAAAAAAATCATCATGTGAATTTGATTATACTACATGGATAATAATTTCATTTCACACTAATAAACAATTGATTCAATAAATATTATACGTATTTAAAATTATCATTTTATTCAAGAAAATACAATGATATTTGTAATGACATGAACAATTATTGAATCAAAAATATTGTATGAAAATACTTTGTTTTTCCCCTAAAATTTTATTAATTCATTTTTACATCTAGGCAATATTTATTAAATAATGTCACAAATTATAGAGTTTATTGTACAATTGTTTCAATATTGATATAAATATATTGTGGTATAAAACAGTAAAATTATACCAAATTGTCATAAAAATAACAATAGCTATAATAATACTTACATATGTATTAAAATATCAAAAGTGCACGTTAGTAGAAACATATATTTACAAGAATTGCTTGAGAATATTTTTTCAATGCCAACAAAATATAATTACTCAATGTAAAAATATCGATGTAATAAATTCCATGCACAATGCTATGTTTCTGTTATATCAAGTGAATTCAAATGCATGCTGTAATATCCATTTTTATTCCATCTCAAATAATTGAGGCAGAAATTTTTACTCAAATTGACTAGAATTATTTTATTTTTTGAATTTTATCCATCTCTTCAATATTAAATTGTAATACTGTTGCAATCGCATTTAACATATGACGTTTACTCGATGAATCAGTGCTAGTTAAATAATTTACAAATACATTTTTTAAATACTCTAAATTGGCACCTTCTCGAGATTTACAAGCTTCTAATCTAGAATAAAAGAAAAGGAATCATTTAGTCTCACTGTTCTTTAATTGTCTTATTAATATATCATACTATGTAATACTAACCGAGAAATTTTTGCTTCTAAAGTTTGAATTTCGTCAGCATGACGTTGGGTAATAATCAACAGAGTTTGTTGATTTTCTCTCAATGTATTTTCTAATTCAGTATTTTGTTTTCTCAATCCTGTTACTTGAATTTCGCGTCTTGCTAGTTCTTGAGCATAATGTAACAATGGTGGTGGACTGCTGTCAACTGCGAGCATTGCCGATACAAAGTCTGTGATTGATTCAGAGGATTTTTCCAATTCTACTGATGATTTATCGTAATTGAAAAGTGAATTATCTTTTTTCATTAACATTGCTCGAATAGAAGACTTCAAAGTTCTAATTTCTTGATCTTTTTCTTCCAGAACAGCAAGAGATCTTTCTCGTTGGCGTAATAATTGATGTTCAAGATCAGCTATTTTATTTCGAAGATTACTATCTTTTTGTGAAAGAATCACATCGAATTTCATTTTTTCTTCTTGGAATTGTTTCAACTGTTTTTCTAATTTCTTCTTTAATTCATTTTCTCGATAATTAGCTTCTTTATTCAATGTTTGAATTTTTTCTTCCAAGTTTTTTATCTTAATTAAATTTAACTCATTACTATTTTTTTCTTGTTTATTCTCTAATTGAGATTGATTTTCTAGTAACTTTAATTTTATTACTACTTCTTCTTTATATTGATCAAATTCCTGTTTAAGTAATTCGTATTTTTCTTTGTAATCGTTTTCATCATCAATAAAACAAAGGTCTAAACTTTTTAAAAATTCTGAAATAATATTAATACATCAATTACAAACTTGAAATCCATATTTTATGGTATATTTACCTTTCATATTCACCAAAGTGTTTTTCTGATTGCTCATATTTAACAATCGATGGTACAGTTCTCGTATTTTCGATGCTATTTTATTAGGATCTTGATTAAAATCTAAATCTAAGTGGTCTCTATCTTGATGCAGTTGTAATTCTGACAATTGATCTTTGAGTTTTTGAATTGCATGTTGATCCGTTTGTCTAAGACGTTCATATCCACCAACTATATCTGAAAGTTCTGCTAGTCGTGTTTCTAAACCCACAACCCGAGCTTCATGTACCATTTCTAAAGCTTTTGCTTGTTGTTCAGCTGCTATCACTCTCTTTCGTTCTTCATAAATTACATTTTTATGATGTTTTTTTAATGCTGCGATTTCAGCTTGTAATGACAATAACATTGGTGGTGTTTCTTTAACAGCTGCTTCAGCTTCTTTCAATTTATTATTTACTATTTCAAGCTCAGCTTCGAGTACTTTACTTGTAGTTTTATTATTAGATTGTTTCTTTAATTCTTTCAGTTGATACTCCAATGATTCTTTGGCACGTCTTTCATTTGCTACAAGTTTTTGTAATTCTCTAAAATATAAAATTACTTACATTATTCAATATTTTGATAAAATCATGACTTCTTCAATACATTACTTGATCATAGCTGAATTATCTGCTTGCTCTTTTTCTCTGTCATGACGTTCCATAATAAGTTTGTATTTGATATGTTCTATTTCCGAATTCACACATTGTTGAGTTCGTTTTAATTTATCTGTTAAGTCTTTAATAACTTTTTCACACTAAAAGAAAAAATTATTAAAACATTTCAGAACAATATAAAATTATTCATAGCATACCTCTTCACGTTCTGTTCTTAATTGTCTCCTGTCAGTTTGAAAATGCGCTTCCATACGAGATTTTTCAGCTGATAGAGTAGCTAATGAATTTGTGAGTGTAGTAAGTTGATTTTTTAATTCTTCCACAGTCTCCTCTTTTAGTTCTGATATTTCTTTCTAAAAATTTAGGCATTTACTCATTATTTAATTTTTTATTTACCCATAAGATATTCAACTTACAACTTCTGTCGAGTTTAATTTATCAATCATTCCATTATGCTGAAGTTTTTTCCCATCACGTGAATTCATCATGTTGTAATTGTTTGAAACAATGATACCATATGTGTCAGAATCAATAATCTAATATGACATTCAATGAAATTTAATTAATGTGTTTCTTTATCCATATGATCAATGCATAATATAACCTCTTTCGATTGATAGCACTTGTCGAATATGTTGTAGGTGTATGCGAAAACCTTATATACTAGGCATTTTTTTATTTGTAAAGTTCTGTCGGCTGTACAGCACTCTTAATACAACATTCCGACTAAAACTTGTACTCACTAAGTTTACAAAGTCACATGATGTAATGGATAAAGTGTTTGATATAAAGTTTGGAGTCCCATAACTTAAACACTACAAGGTATGGGGCATTTCTGACAGGGTTTATCTACGGAGACTAGACCTTCACACTTCCTAAATGAATCCTCCGTAAGTCCTTTCATCAAATAAACATGGAAGACAGAGAAAATTTCTATTTGTATAGACTTCTTTGTCTTATCGATAACAAAGTAAGTAATAACATCATCAATATTGATAATTATAAAAAATGTATTTTTTGAAAATGTGTAGATAAACAATTTATGTATCGAAATACATAAAATAAAAATATTCTTTCCGTATCATCGAAATCAATAATTTTAGTTATCAAAAAAGAATTAATCATTTTGAAGTAAATCAGTGTTTCAAGTATAAAAATGTAAAATTTATAAATTTAACTAAATAGGAACAGAAGTAATGTCGTCTTTGGTAGGGGATTCGATTTCTAGAGTTACTGGCCCATTGTTTTCAATAGAAACTTGCATCATAGCTCCAAATTGTCCATCTAAAAGATGGAAATTAGAAGTTATTCTTTTTATATCTATGTAGATTGAATTCTATCAAGTACCTTTTATAAGTTCAGGTTTATATTTTCGTCCAAGTTCGAGAAGGAAATTTTTATAAAATGGTTCAGCTAATGCTGCAGGCATTGCTTTATGGAAATCTAATTTTTTTCCTTTAATAATATGATACAATGTAAATTGGCTAATGCATAATATCTCATAATCTTTATCCATCACACTTGCAGCCCATCTTTTGCCAGTATCATTGTCAAAAATTTTTAAATTTAATATTTTATCAGCGCTAAAAAAAATTTATTTCATGAGCATTAATCACAATTAATAAGGTTTTAAAAAAAAATTTTGTAATAATAACTTTAATACCATTTTCTCAGATTAAATAATTGATTACAATATACTGTAAATAGTCATTTTATACTTTCTTTAGAAGTACTGTCATGCATTGAGTCATTTAAAATTTTTCATTCAATGTAAAATTTATTCATTTCATATATGTAAAATGTTATAATAATACATACATATATTCGGAATCTGCTAAAATATCATCAGTTTTTATTCCGATCAGTACACAAAGTCCATTGCCAATACTGCTAATAATTTCTCCATTTACTACGAGTAAATTTGTTGACCAAATTATTACATAAAAGTCAGTAAAACTAAGTCATAATGTGTTACACATATTAATATTGACAAAAAAAAATATTTACCTGAAACAGATGCTTTAGAAACTCTCTGTATGACCGCTTTCATAATTTATTTTTTGTAATAATTGGTTGATTAATACCGTGAAGTAATTGAAAGAGTTGTCTTCAAATGCTTCGAAATATGTTCTCGTTTCTCTGTGCAAGATATTTTTATTAATTTTACTTGTGTTTATATTTTAAAAAATGACCAAAAATGTCAAAAATATCAAAAAAGGTAATAATTACTATGAAATAATGTCTGGAGTAGTTTAAAAAAATTTTTGTTTTGGTTGTTTACTCATATTCATAATGTATGTAACCAATAAAATCAAAATAATGGTTCATATGCAGTACGCGTTATTAATAGTGACAAAATGCATGTCTGCAACAGCTGAAATAGTGATAAATTAAGGCTGGGCTAAAGTCAAAAAGTTTCCCTAAGTTGACTCCACACCGTCACGGTATGCGGTGGGAGATTGAAGCTCAATGTCAACGGAAATTGAGTGGGTAAAAGGGAATTCGTTCGAAGAATGAGGATTTTCGGGAATACACTAAAAAAAGGGAGCATTACGGCATCAACAAATTAACAAATTGTTGAGTCATTAGTTACAAGCAACATAGAGCAAAAAACATACCTATCCATCTCCATATAAATTACCAGAGAAAAAACTACGACTTCAGGCGATGGCAAGCAAGCTTAATCCCGTTACGTCCTGTTGTTCGTTTCGCCACCAGATGACGCTGAAGCATCGACGCGAAATGCGGGAAATGTTCGAAGAATAATAAGGAGAAGGTGATAATAAGGATGAGTGTAACAAGAAGTTTAAGATTTGGTTGTAAGCTCTATTTGACGGCTGAAATCGGTCTGCTTGTAGAGATTACATCTCCTTTGTTTCAACACTCTTGCATCCCCACTCAATATAATTTGATTCTCACGCTTAGCTCTCTTTATGATTCAGAACTTACCACTTATCAAATCCTACCTCAAAGATCAATTTATCCTAAAACTCGTAGAAACGAAAATTAAGGTACAACCGGAAATGGCCATAATTTTAGCATAAATTATGCTCGAATTATAATTTTGACTATATCGATGGAAAGCTCTTGCTCTCAGGAATCCATTGACATTCTTGTGGTCCACGTATCTTCCATAGATCGTAAGTTATGAGCGAAAAACGAAGCTATGCTCCGATGAAACATGAAAAAATCTTTAAACGCTCATAACTCGAAAACTAAGCGAGATACGGCATTTTTGACGGGGTTATCCTATAGGGGGAGCCCAATTTATTACTCAGGTCCAGATCTTTCATATGAGTCCTCGTTCAACCCCGTAGCATTATATGCTTCGAAGTTATGCATTTTTTTATGTTTTGCAGTTTTTCGAGAATATCTCGTAATCTATCTAACCAAATTTAATCAACAGCCAGTGTTTGGAGACCGTCTCGTCCCCGTCTTTCCAATGACATCCTCAATTTTAAGATCCAAGCATAAATACGCTTTTTAGCTATTTTTGAGGTTAGAAAGAGAAATTCTCTAACTTTGATAATTGGAGGTTATTTCGTACGTTTCGGTGCTTTGAAATTCAACCTCAAAGATCAATTTATCCTAAAACTCGTAGAAACGAAAATTAAGGTACAACCGGAAATGGCCATAATTTTAGCATAAATTATGCTCGAATTATAATTTTGACTATATCAATGGAAAGCTCTTGCTCTCAGGAATCCATTGACATTCTTGTGGTCCACGTATCTTCCATAGATCGTAAGTTATAAGCGAAAAACGAAGCTATGCTCCGATGAAACATGAAAAAATCTTTAAACGCTCATAACTCGAAAACTAAGCGAGATACGGCATTTTTGACGGGGTTATCCTATAGGGGGAGCCCAATTTATTACTCAGGTCCAGATCTTTCATATGAGTCTTCGTTCAACCCCGTAGCATTATATGCTTCGAAGTTATGCATTTTTTTATGTTTTGCAGTTTTTCGAGAATATCTCGTAATCTATCTAACCAAATTTAATCATCAGCCAGTGTTTGGAGACTGTCTCGTCCCCGTCTTTCCAATGACATCCTCAATTTTAAGATCCAAGCATAAATACGCTTTTTAGCTATTTTTGAGGTTAGAAAAGAAAATTCTCTAACTTTGATAATTGGAGGTTATTTCGTACGTTTCGGTGCTTTGAAATTCAACCTCAAAGATCAATTTATCCTAAAACTCGTAGAAACGAAAATTAAGGTACAACCGGAAATGGCCATAATTTTAGCATAAATTATGCTCGAATTATAATTTTGACTATATCAATGGAAAGCTCTTGCTCTCAGGAATCCATTGACATTCTTGTGGTCCACGTATCTTCCATAGATCGTAAGTTATGAGCGAAAAACGAAGCTATGCTCCGATGAAACATGAAAAAATCTTTAAACGCTCATAACTCGAAAACTAAGCGAGATACGGCATTTTTGACGGGGTTATCCTATAGGGGGAGCCCAATTTATTACTCAGGTCCAGATCTTTCATATGAGTCTTCGTTCAACCCCGTAGCATTATATGCTTCGAAGTTATGCATTTTTTTATGTTTTGCAGTTTTTCGAGAATATCTCGTAATCTATCTAACCAAATTTAATCATCAGCCAGTGTTTGGAGACTGTCTCGTCCCCGTCTTTCCCAATGACATCCTCAATTTTAAGATCCAAGCATAAATACGCTTTTTAGCTATTTTTGAGGTTAGAAAGAGAAATTCTCTAACTTTGATAATTGGAGGTTATTTCGTACGTTTCGGTGCTTTGAAATTCAACCTCAAAGATCAATTTATCCTAAAACTCGTAGAAACGAAAATTAAGGTACAACCGGAAATGGCCATAATTTTAGCATAAATTATGCTCGAATTATAATTTTGACTATATCAATGGAAAGCTCTTGCTCTCAGGAATCCATTGACATTCTTGTGGTCCACGTATCTTCCATAGATCGTAAGTTATAAGCGAAAAACGAAGCTATGCTCCGATGAAACATGAAAAAATCTTTAAACGCTCATAACTCGAAAACTAAGCGAGATACGGCATTTTTGACGGGGTTATCCTATAGGGGGAGCCCAATTTATTACTCAGGTCCAGATCTTTCATATGAGTCTTCGTTCAACCCCGTAGCATTATATGCTTCGAAGTTATGCATTTTTTTATGTTTTGCAGTTTTTCGAGAATATCTCGTAATCTATCTAACCAAATTTAATCAACAGCCAGTGTTTGGAGACTGTCTCGTCCCCGTCTTTCCAATGACATCCTCAATTTTAAGATCCAAGCATAAATACGCTTTTTAGCTATTTTTGAGGTTAGAAAGAGAAATTCTCTAACTTTGATAATTGGAGGTTATTTCGTACGTTTCGGTGCTTTGAAATTCAACCTCAAAGATCAATTTATCCTAAAACTCGTAGAAACGAAAATTAAGGTACAACCGGAAATGGCCATAATTTTAGCATAAATTATGCTCGAATTATAATTTTGACTATATCAATGGAAAGCTCTTGCTCTCAGGAATCCATTGACATTCTTGTGGTCCACGTATCTTCCATAGATCGTAAGTTATGAGCGAAAAACGAAGCTATGCTCCGATGAAACATGAAAAAATCTTTAAACGCTCATAACTCGAAAACTAAGCGAGATACGGCATTTTTGACGGGGTTATCCTATAGGGGGAGCCCAATTTATTACTCAGGTCCAGATCTTTCATATGAGTCTTCGTTCAACCCCGTAGCATTATATGCTTCGAAGTTATGCATTTTTTTATGTTTTGCAGTTTTTCGAGAATATCTCGTAATCTATCTAACCAAATTTAATCAACAGCCAGTGTTTGGAGACTGTCTCGTCCCCGTCTTTCCAATGACATCCTAAATTTTATGATCCAAGCATAAATACGCTTTTTAGCTATTTTTGAGGTTAGAAAAGGAAATTCTCTAACTTTGATAATTGGAGGTTATTTCGTACGTTTCGGTGCTTTGAAATTCAACCTCAAAGATCAATTTATCCTAAAACTCGTAGAAACGAAAATTAAGGTACAACCGGAAATGGCCATAATTTTAGCATAAATTATGCTCGGATTATAATTTTGACTATATCAATGGAAAGCTCTCGCTCTCAGGAATCCATTGACATTCTTGTGGTCCACGTATCTTCCATAGATCGTAAGTTATGAGCGAAAAACGAAGCTATGCTCCGATAAAACATGAAAAAATCTTTAAACGCTCATAACTCGAAAACTAAGCGAGATACGGCATTTTTGACGGGGTTATCCTATAGGGGGAGCCCAATTTATTACTCAGGTCCAGATCTTTCATATGAGTCTTCGTTCAACCCCGTAGCATTATATGCTTCGAAGTTATGCATTTTTTTATGTTTTGCAGTTTTTCGAGAATATCTCGTAATCTATCTAACCAAATTTAATCAACAGCCAGTGTTTGGAGACTGTCTCGTCCCCGTCTTTCCAATGACATCCTAAATTTTATGATCCAAGCATAAATACGCTTTTTAGCTATTTTTGAGGTTAGAAAAGGAAATTCTCTAACTTTGATAATTGGAGGTTATTTCGTACGTTTCGGTGCTTTGAAATTCAACCTCAAAGATCAATTTATCCTAAAACTCGTAGAAACGAAAATTAAGGTACAACCGGAAATGGCCATAATTTTAGCATAAATTATGCTCGAATTATAATTTTGACTATATCAATGGAAAGCTCTTGCTCTCAGGAATCCATTGACATTCTTGTGGTCCACGTATCTTCCATAGATCGTAAGTTATAAGCGAAAAACGAAGCTATGCTCCGATGAAACATGAAAAAATCTTTAAACGCTCATAACTCGAAAACTAAGCGAGATACGGCATTTTTGACGGGGTTATCCTATAGGGGGAGCCCAATTTATTACTCAGGTCCAGATCTTTCATATGAGTCTTCGTTCAACCCCGTAGCATTATATGCTTCGAAGTTATGCATTTTTTTATGTTTTGCAGTTTTTCGAGAATATCTCGTAATCTATCTAACCAAATTTAATCAACAGCCAGTGTTTGGAGACTGTCTCGTCCCCGTCTTTCCAATGACATCCTCAATTTTAAGATCCAAGCATAAATACGCTTTTTAGCTATTTTTGAGGTTAGAAAAGAAAATTCTCTAACTTTGATAATTGGAGGTTATTTCGTACGTTTCGGTGCTTTGAAATTCAACCTCAAAGATCAATTTATCCTAAAACTCGTAGAAACGAAAATTAAGGTACAACCGGAAATGGCCATAATTTTAGCATAAATTATGCTCGAATTATAATTTTGACTATATCAATGGAAAGCTCTTGCTCTCAGGAATCCATTGACATTCTTGTGGTCCACGTATCTTCCATAGATCGTAAGTTATAAGCGAAAAACGAAGCTATGCTCCGATAAAACATGAAAAAATCTTTAAACGCTCATAACTCGAAAACTAAGCGAGATACGGCATTTTTGACGGGGTTATCCTATAGGGGGAGCCCAATTTATTACTCAGGTCCAGATCTTTCATATGAGTCTTCGTTCAACCCCGTAGCATTATATGCTTCGAAGTTATGCATTTTTTTATGTTTTGCAGTTTTTCGAGAATATCTCGTAATCTATCTAACCAAATTTAATCAACAGCCAGTGTTTGGAGACTGTCTCGTCCCCGTCTTTCCAATGACATCCTAAATTTTATGATCCAAGCATAAATACGCTTTTTAGCTATTTTTGAGGTTAGAAAAGGAAATTCTCTAACTTTGATAATTGGAGGTTATTTCGTACGTTTCGGTGCTTTGAAATTCAACCTCAAAGATCAATTTATCCTAAAACTCGTAGAAACGAAAATTAAGGTACAACCGGAAATGGCCATAATTTTAGCATAAATTATGCTCGAATTATAATTTTGACTATATCAATGGAAAGCTCTCGCTCTCAGGAATCCATTGACATTCTTGTGGTCCACGTATCTTCCATAGATCGTAAGTTATGAGCGAAAAACGAAGCTATGCTCCGATAAAACATGAAAAAATCTTTAAACGCTCATAACTCGAAAACTAAGCGAGATACGGCATTTTTGACGGGGTTATCCTATAGGGGGAGCCCAATTTATTACTCAGGTCCAGATCTTTCATATGAGTCTTCGTTCAACCCCGTAGCATTATATGCTTCGAAGTTATGCATTTTTTTATGTTTTGCAGTTTTTCGAGAATATCTCGTAATCTATCTAACCAAATTTAATCAACAGCCAGTGTTTGGAGACTGTCTCGTCCCCGTCTTTCCAATGACATCCTCAATTTTAAGATCCAAGCATAAATACGCTTTTTAGCTATTTTTGAGGTTAGAAAAGAAATTCTCTAACTTTGATAATTGGAGGTTATTTCGTACGTTTCGGTGCTTTGAAATTCAACCTCAAAGATCAATTTATCCTAAAACTCGTAGAAACGAAAATTAAGGTACAACCGGAAATGGCCATAATTTTAGCATAAATTATGCTCGAATTATAATTTTGACTATATCAATGGAAAGCTCTTGCTCTCAGGAATCCATTGACATTCTTGTGGTCCACGTATCTTCCATAGATCGTAAGTTATAAGCGAAAAACGAAGCTATGCTCCGATGAAACATGAAAAAATCTTTAAACGCTCATAACTCGAAAACTAAGCGAGATACGGCATTTTTGACGGGGTTATCCTATAGGGGGAGCCCAATTTATTACTCAGGTCCAGATCTTTCATATGAGTCTTCGTTCAACCCCGTAGCATTATATGCTTCGAAGTTATGCATTTTTTTATGTTTTGCAGTTTTTCGAGAATATCTCGTAATCTATCTAACCAAATTTAATCAACAGCCAGTGTTTGGAGACTGTCTCGTCCCCGTCTTCCAATGACATCCTCAATTTCAAGATCCAAGCATAAATACGCTTTTTAGCTATTTTTGAGGTTAGAAAAGGAAATTCTCTAACTTTGATAATTGGAGGTTATTTCGTACGTTTCGGTGCTTTGAAATTCAACCTCAAAGATCAATTTATCCTAAAACTCGTAGAAACGAAAATTAAGGTACAACCGGAAATGGCCATAATTTTAGCATAAATTATGCTCGAATTATAATTTTGACTATATCAATGGAAAGCTCTTGCTCTCAGGAATCCATTGACATTCTTGTGGTCCACGTATCTTCCATAGATCGTAAGTTATGAGCGAAAAACGAAGCTATGCTCCGATAAAACATGAAAAAATCTTTAAACGCTCATAACTCGAAAACTAAGCGAGATACGGCATTTTTGACGGGGTTATCCTATAGGGGGAGCCCAATTTATTACTCAGGTCCAGATCTTTCATATGAGTCTTCGTTCAACCCCGTAGCATTATATGCTTCGAAGTTATGCATTTTTTTATGTTTTGCAGTTTTTCGAGAATATCTCGTAATCTATCTAACCAAATTTAATCAACAGCCAGTGTTTGGAGACTGTCTCGTCCCCGTCTTTCCAATGACATCCTAAATTTTATGATCCAAGCATAAATACGCTTTTTAGCTATTTTTGAGGTTAGAAAAGGAAATTCTCTAACTTTGATAATTGGAGGTTATTTCGTACGTTTCGGTGCTTTGAAATTCAACCTCAAAGATCAATTTATCCTAAAACTCGTAGAAACGAAAATTAAGGTACAACCGGAAATGGCCATAATTTTAGCATAAATTATGCTCGAATTATAATTTTGACTATATCAATGGAAAGCTCTTGCTCTCAGGAATCCATTGACATTCTTGTGGTCCACGTATCTTCCATAGATCGTAAGTTATAAGCGAAAAACGAAGCTATGCTCCGATGAAACATGAAAAAATCTTTAAACGCTCATAACTCGAAAACTAAGCGAGATACGGCATTTTTGACGGGGTTATCCTATAGGGGGAGCCCAATTTATTACTCAGGTCCAGATCTTTCATATGAGTCTTCGTTCAACCCCGTAGCATTATATGCTTCGAAGTTATGCATTTTTTTATGTTTTGCAGTTTTTCGAGAATATCTCGTAATCTATCTAACCAAATTTAATCATCAGCCAGTGTTTGGAGACTGTCTCGTCCCCGTCTTTCCCAATGACATCCTCAATTTCAAGATCCAAGCATAAATACGCTTTTTAGCTATTTTTGAGGTTAGAAAAGGAAATTCTCTAACTTTGATAATTGGAGGTTATTTCGTACGTTTCGGTGCTTTGAAATTCAACCTCAAAGATCAATTTATCCTAAAACTCGTAGAAACGAAAATTAAGGTACAACCGGAAATGGCCATAATTTTAGCATAAATTATGCTCGAATTATAATTTTGACTATATCAATGGAAAGCTCTTGCTCTCAGGAAATTGAAATTCAACTTCAAAGATCAATTCATCCTAAAACTCGTAGAAAGATAGTCTTTTCTTGCAGAAATGTATTTTAATCCTCTTGGCGATATTTATTACTGATCACAATTGTAATAGTTGGTAACTATGTGTATTTTCAGTTATTTCTAGGCGTTGTACTTCTTAATGTTTTACGAGCATCATTATTTACATTTATATTGTTTGTAATAGATGTTAAAGTGCAGGGCATAGACGACTCGGGTCAATGTCTCAGCTGAACGGCTATTTTCATATTCATAATGATCGCAGGAGCTCTCGTAGGGATATATAAATAATGATTAACAATTATATTTATTTATTCAAGAAAACTTCAATTCTTTATTTCTCTTTAGTTCGCTACAGCTGTGGTGCGATATCTATCACTTGAATATTTTTAAATTGGGTATTATCTCTGCTTTTTTTCCGGCTTCTGGAATTAACATGATGCGCTGCCTGCCGGCTGCTGGCCGGAACTACCAAGACCAGGACCATTACAATGGATGGCATGATGCTGCCATCTATTATATATTATCGAACTGAATTCCACCGAAGACTATATGAAATCGCATGTTTTCAATTTCTTTGTTATTTGTCGATTTTTATCGCTTGAAATATGTTTCTTTAAGTACAAGGATGATGCAAGAGTTGCGGAAACTCAGTTTGATGAGCACAAATTGAATAAGAAATGAATAATTTATGTTTTTTTTTTATAACCTTTAGCGGCCATCTTGACGTTGAAGCGCGGTAAATCAAGTCATCATTTTTCAATTTTCTTTTTCATTTTTTCCTTAAAAAAATCAATTGGATAATCAAAATTTGTACTTTCCGCCTTGCAGCATAGAATAAGCTTTAATTTGAGACCAATATTAGGTAGGAACATAAATTTGCGGAGAAATTAGAAACCTACGATCCAATGTATTTAGATAGGAGGAATAAGTCAGCTTCGTGACTTAAGCTGGGCCTTAAAGGCTGTTTTTCAATGAGTGCGTCGCAGAGCATGATACATGTTCAGCACTCATTATACTTATCTTCATCAGTTTTTGTTCGAACACCAACGATAATGCTCGAATATTCGCATAATGTGATGATAGATAATAGATATTCTAACAATGTACTTGATAGAAAATAAGAAAAACTATCAAGTATTTGAAGAAATCAAGAGATGAATATCAATACGTAACAGATAATTTTTACAGTAAAATGTCGGCAAAAATTCGGTCACTTACTAAAATTGTAAGGGGCATGGATGTTGAAGATAGAATAGAGTCTCTCTAGGGGGCAGAAGGTATCAAACAAGTGATGACTTCCCGCGCACACATCTTGCTTATTTTCTGTGTTCTATATTTTGTATAGTGCTCATTTGACTTGAGGATTGTTTACAATCATTCTAAAGAATCGAAAGTACAATAATTAATTTTTGTTATTACAATCTGAAAGTAATTTATATGTAGATAAATAAGTGATAAAGTGATAAAAGTAAATGTAGGCGTCCCTTCAGATGTGGGTCTGTTTATGCTTATTTGCATATAACGCGTATGACAAGATTTTGGTGAGCCACTTGTTGCGTGTAGGTTATGATGTCATAAACAATAGAAATGTTGTCAAAAATATTATAGTAAACGTGAAAAATGCAAGACCGAATAGGGATGGAGGCTCCTGGAATGAGTCTCTTTCAAGGCTCTGGGAGTATTCAGATAAATGCTGCATCTCATGGACTAGAAGAAGATGAGGAGCAACAAGACTTTCAACGTCGTAACAAAGAAGTAAGTAGACAAATTTGATACTTTATTGGTATAAAAGTCCCGTAGTGTATTGATTATTCTGAAATTGTATTAATTTTTATAGCTCAAAGTTATGTTGCTTGATGCTTTCGATGATTTGGACGAAGAAGATGATGGAAGTAGCTCCGTAAATAGTAGTAACTTTCAGGACGCGTCCAGAGATGCAGACCATAATGTTAGCAGTAGCATAGTAGTAAATGATAGTTCAATTCAACCAATTACTTCTGACAAGGGACCAACATATCAAAATGATGTTTCTACATTAGATGGGAATATTAACTATGCAATGAGCACTCCATTTCCTCGATCTGATGACAAAAGAGGATCTCCTATATCTGACATAAATAAACAATTTGATATTTATAATCAAATAGGAACACCACTCAATAGTCACAGAGATAATAGTATTTTGAACTCCACTTCAAAAAGTTCTTACGAATTACCAAGGCCACCGAATCTTCAAAATCCAATGACATTTCCGAATGATTTAAGAGCACAAATTAATGAAGGGTATACTTTATTAGAAAATATTCCTTATAATTCTAATTACCATACTCCGGCCAATCATTATGACGTTCAAAATGCAAAATTTTCTAACAATGGATATATTGAAACATATGATAATAACATATCTCAAAAAAATACTAACGACATTCATGAGATAGATAATGATACAACTTCTGATCATTACAATCATTGCTATCAAACAAGTCCAAACGGAAGACCCATAGTAAATGATTCTGTCAATGCTTATAAAACCGCTGAATATAATAGCAAAGAGCAATTGGAAGTGCTCTATGCTGTAAGGGTAAAAGAAATTGAACGTTTACGAGGAGAATTACAACAGTTACAAATAGCAAAGGAAGAAGAAAAGAATGAACTTTCAAGAAAATTAGTATTAGCTCAAGCAGAAGCACAACGTTCTGATGCATCAAGAAATAAAGCGCGAGATGCACTTATCGATGCTAAAGCAGAAATTATACAATTGCAGACTCAAGCGGAGTCGTTTAAAGAAAAAGTTGCAGTTTTGGAAAAAACCAATAAAAACATGAGTGAAGAGCTATCTGTAGCAAAAGAGTCTGTTATAGATCTGCAACAAAAAATAGCTGTATTGGAAAGAGTACAAAGCTTACAAGCAAATGATAAAACTCATGAAAAGTTTATTAAACAAGTACAAGAAAAGCATGCAGTAGAAATGAAAAATATGCAAACGCAAATTGATGTACTTACGGCAAAACTTAACGAAAAAGTAAGTAATTGTGTTGTTTAATATTAAATAAATATAAAATTAAAATAAGTTTTAAATGATTGCTGTTTTTATATCACTAATTTTTGTATAAAGCTGCCAGAAATGGATTTAACTTGTCATATTGCGGCAAGTAGTGTTATTGTAATTGAAAATTCGCGTATTGATTTTCACATCGTTGAGGGAATTTTTTCCTTTTTTCTGTTAAGTGACACTAAGATAATCTTTGTTTTCAGGAATCTATGTACAATTCTTTGGAAAATAAATTAGCAGAAGTTCGTAGAGCTCATGAAGCTTTAATAGTTGAAAAGGGCGAATCGATGAATCAATTAGCTAAAGCACTAGAAAACAGTCAAAATCAATGTAGAGATCTTATGGCTACAAATAATGCTCAAGAAATAATGCAATTAAAAAATCGAGTTAAAATACTGACTCAAAATAATGAAGAATTATCGCAAACAATTCAAGAATTACAAGTAAGCTTACCATATTATTTAATTTTACAAAGGAAAAAAAATTAATAATAATCTTAAATAATTTATTATGAATATTTTCAGCATAAATTGGATGTTGCCAAATCTGATGTCTTGCCATACGATTCATTATTGACGACAGCTATAGATGAGGAATCTGATTCCATCAGACAATTAAAGCTTGGTGAATTTCACAGTAAATCGAAAGATAAATCAAATGATGATATCATGAGCACATTACGTGTAGAATTACAAAGATGTGTTGCAGGTAATGCAATAAAACGTAAAGAAATATCACGATTAGAAAATACTCTTGCGCAAAAAGATGAAGAACTTAAGAAAGCATACGCTGCGGCTGAAACGTGTCAACAAGAAGCAGCAAAATATGCAAAACGTGTAAATGAATTAGAAGAAGAGCTAAATAATTTTGTAACAGAGCATTCAGTAAAAGCTACTTCACAAATACAAAAATTAACCGAACATTTAATGGAAGTGAGGGAACAAAATTCTTATCTTATGACGGAAAAACAAAAATTACAAGAAAAATTAGAAGAAACTCTTGCAAGTCAAGAAGAAACAATTAAAAAATTCCATCAAGAAACTATGGCTCAATATGAAAAACAAAATATTGATGAATATAATAAACAATATCTAGAAATTCATAACAAAGCTATTGAAAGAGCTAGAAAAGAAGCACAACTTGAAATGGTGCAATTACAAGTGCAATTAGAACAAACACAAAAAGAGCTTGATCGCGTTAAACAATTATATATACAAGTTTGTGGCACGAAAGAACAATTAATCGATGATCATAAAAATGAAATAAAAACATTAAAAGAAAAATATACATCATTCGAAATACAAAAGAATGAAATTGATCATATAAAGTCAAATTTAGAAGTTCAATTGAAAATAAATAAAAGATTGACACAGGAATGTGAGTCTTTAAAAAAGAAAAATATTGAATTAGAAAAAGATTTAAGTTATGAACGTCGAAAAAAATTGGAAAATACAAGAAAAATACATCAAGAAATTGAACGAGCTAAAGAAGAAGCTCTAACTGAATTACGTAATGCTCATCCTGATCATCAAATTAGTATTTTACTTCCTGATTATTGTTCTGAACATTCAGACAAAATAGCACAACTTGAAAATGATTGCAAACGTTTAGAAGAAAAGTTATCTTGCGCACTTGAAGAACAGAAGAAAATGGCTGATCTACAACATGAAGATTTAGAGGCAAAAATAAAAATCGCTCAAATGGAAATTACATATGAAACATTGAAGAAAAAATATACTAATCTTTTAAATGAAAAAGAAGATTTATTAGATAAGATATCTAAATTACAGCAAGAAATGGCTGATTTCAAAAACAGTCAGAAAACTGATGATGTACATGTTTCATTAAAAATAAGTGACTTGGAAAGTGATAAATTGAAAAATTTATGTGAGAATTTGTTCAAAGAAAAGATTACATATCAATCGAAAATTATTGATTTGGAGAGTAAACTTATCGAATATAAAAACAAAATTGCAAAATTTGAAAGCAATAAGAGTAAATCTAATGAAAGTTTATCCACTACCCGTACTGAATTAGAACAAGAACTTTGTCAATACAAAGAACTTGTAAAAAAATTAAATGACCAGTTAAATAGTCCTAAAGATTTTAGAAAAGACGAAGAACGATTAAAACAATTAGAATTAGAGTTAAAAGAAAAAGAAGTGCAATTACAACGCCTTGAAGATTTAGAGAAGATAAAAGGAGAAAGGGATCAATTAATTACGAAATTAAAAAATCAAGCACAACAATTTGAAGAGTATGTTAAAAATCAGAAACAAGTTTCTGCTGAATTAAATTTATCACCAAGAAATACCGTTGACACAAATGAACTTCAAAAACTTCGTGAGCTATCAATCAAAGAAGTTAGAGAAGAGATGGAGCAAAAAGTTGCGGAAGAGTTACGAGGAATAGAAGATCAACATAAAGAAAAACGAAAAGCCATTGAAGATAAGTATAGAAGTGCTCTTACAGAGTTAAACAATCGTTATGCAGATAAAACTAAAGAATTAGAAGCAATGAGAGAAATGATGATGACTGAAAAAAAGAAACTTCAATCGTCATTTAAAGCTCAAGAGCAAATAGTTACACAAATGATTGAAGTAAAAATTCGAGAGTACAAACAAGAATTGCTATCACGTAAATTAACGACAGAAAAATTACAAGCAGAACTTCAACAAAAAGAACGTGATGTTGAGGAAGTTAAGAACGCAATGGCTCAAGTTATGTCTGAATGGGTAGCGGAAATCCAAGCTGCTAAAGAAGCTGAGACGAGGCTGCAACAAGAAGTAAATAAGTTAGAAGAAACTGCAAAAGCATGGAAAGAAGAAGAAAAAGAATTGAAGAATTCTTTAGATACTTATAAACGTAAATACCAGTCGGCAAAACTAAGTATTCAAAAATATAAGGTAATTGATTTATTCCACTATTTGCTTAATTCTTATAGTAATAATTATAAATAATTATCATTATTTACTTAGAAATATGCAGAAGAAAAAGAAAACTTTTTAATGAGTGAATGCAAGCGTATTGAAGATGGATATAAAAAGGCCATAAGTCAAGTACAACAAAATTTTGATGAAATAGTTAGTACTCAAGAGAAACAGATGGAAGAAAAGTTGAAGGAGTTAGAGAGTCAATACGAGGAAAAGTTGCAACAATTGCGACGTAACATGAAGTACAAAGATAAACATTGAGGTATACATAATTAATATAGATTTGCAATATAGATCGTTTCGAGTATATGCCTTTTTTTCGTTTTTTTTTTGTCTTAGAAGAGGCTAGTTATAATTTAAGTAAAGCACTTTATTGTACAACATATTATCAAAATATTAATTTAGAGAATAGTATAAAAAATTTCAAATACTCTCTGCAATTAAAAATTTTGTTATTATAAGAAGGATTTTAAATCAAATTTGTAATTTAATTTGTATATAATGCATAGATAGTTTAAATGCCTTAAAGATTTTTTAATATTCATAAAAGTTTTTTTTCTTTATTATTATAATTTTTTATTTACTACTAGTTGAGTGGCAAAATTGAAAATGTATATTTTTCATGACCACGATCATCGATTAAACCATACATAAATCAATCGATTCTTGCCAAATTTAGAGTTTTACTATTTTCTAATTATTACTTGTAAACATGACATTAAGAATAATTTGTTTTTAAAATTGATTTTTAAACTATAATATGACAATGTACAGTATTGTGTGTCGCCGTAGATAATTGTTAAACAATTATGAATCTCTACAGTTTTTTATTATTTTTCTTTTTAATTAAGTTTAATTTCAGAAAACAAAGTATACATATGGGACATTTATCATAAATATAATTTCAAAATTTTATAAATTGTATAAAGATAACATTAATACTTTCTATTCTCTAATTGTAATTCTAGTACAATGTGCGAATTAAAGCAGCCATACGGTAAAAATATCATAATATATATTACATGCGGGACTGATAGATTACATAAAAATATTTACATGTCATATTTCAAATATATTTTTTTTCAAATTCATCAACAACATTGTATGTTGGTTCTAGTATAATCATCATATAATGATAATTATTAATCTTATAAACATAGGGAATCTTCACGAAATAGAGAGTATTATTAATATTAATTAGTCTTGTATTTTTGTAACTAAATGAATTAATTTATTTTTTGTAATACAAATTTTATGTGACATTATACTTAGATGTGTGTATTTATTCTTGACCATTACTAAAAAATTTCTAATAAACAAATGCGTAACATAATAACCAAAAGCGAGACATTTTAAACTTTTTTTGTTTGAATACGTAGAGGTCTCTGCGCTCTGTTTTCATTTTTTGGAGGGAATTCTTTCGCCATTTTTATATTTTCATAAACAACATTGTCAACAAGTTTTTAGATCTTAATGTCTGTGTATTTTCTATCGTTTATTTATATACAAAATCAAAATTAGTTGTAATAACAAGATATAAATATGGATAATTTTACGGATCTTTTAAAAATATATTATTCACGGTTATTCCCTCTTGATGAATACTACAAGTGGCTGAGCTACGGTGATGGTAATTACTTAATAATAGAAAACAAAAAAAACATACTTGAAACTTTTAATTTTTTAGGTAACTCTTTTCAGTTAAGAGAATTTTCATTCACATTAGATGGAGATGTTTATGTACGTAATCAACATTTCCAAGATAAAGATGCTTTGAGCAGAGAATTATTAAAAATGGTTCCTATAAAAATTGACATCGGCGCGGTTTTTAACGTTGTGTAATAATTATTTTTAATAAAATTATTTGGGATTATATAATCAATTTTTCACATTGAAATAATAAAATGATTTGTTATAGCCCAAATAGATCCATAAAATCAATGAAACTGGAAGCAATGCAAAGAGAACTTGTATTTGATATTGATTTAACTGATTATGATGAAGTTAGAACTTGCTGTTCTGGAGCTGATATATGCAACAAATGTTGGAAGTACATGGTAGTAGCTTGTAAAATACTTGATGTTGGTTTACGAGGTTCGTTATTTTATACTTACCATAATTTACACATTCTATTATTATACTATTTTTTACTGATTATTCTGACTGTGTATGAAACAGAAGACTTTGGTTTTGAAAATATATTATGGGTTTTTTCTGGCCGACGTGGTGTTCATTGTTGGGTCTGCGATCTAGCAGCACGTTGTCTAGATTCTGCACAGAGAAGTGCTATCGGTGACTATTTTCAGCTGATAACTGGTGGTGCTTACACGAAAAAAAGAGTAAATTTGTATAATAAAATACATCCATCCGTGAAACGTGCTCTTGAAATGATTAATCCAATTTTTGTGCAACTCTGTGTTGAAGAACAAAATATGCTTGGAACTGAAGAAGCAATGGATAATTTTTTAGAATTATTACCTGATGAAGAATCGAAGAAAGATGTCAAACAGTTATTTAGCAAATATACAACCAGTTTACAGAGGTGGGATGCTTTCACAAGTTATTTTAATCATCAAATTCAGGTAATTTTTGGATACATAATATTAAACAAGTTCTTTCTAAATAAAATTTTTATCATTCATTATTATAATGTAGAATAGTAAAAAATGGCGACAAAATCGGAATTTCCTGGATGAAGTAATGATACAATACTGTTATCCAAGACTTGATATTAATGTAACAAAAGGTTTAAACCATCTTTTAAAATCACCATTCTGTGTGCATCCAAAAACAGGAAAAATATCTATTCCATTTAATTCGAAAGCTGCTGATAAATTTGACCCAACTACTGTGCCAACAATAAATAAAGTTATTGAAGAGATTGATGATTATGACAAAAAAGATAAAGATGATATGAATGATACAACAAATTTAAAAAGAATAAAAGATTATAAAAAAACAAGTTTAAATAAATCATTGCATGTGTTTCGCGAATTTTTGCATAAGCTAGAGACTACTAAGAATGTTGATAATATAACTTTTTGATCTATAAATAATAAGATGTAAGTAATTTTAATTATAATAATTTAATATTTTTCTATTTTATAAATAAAAAGATGTATTTTGTAAAATTTACCTTTTTTTTAATAAAAAAATTTTCTACTATGTATTATTTTAATTTTAATGTATTAATAAAATACTGTAGTATTCTATGGTTTATGTATTGAAAAAAAATATTTTTGTACAATCAGTATTACTCAATCTGAAACTGTTAGATAGTTATAATCATTAATCATGAAACATATCTTCATACAATAATGAAGAAAAAAAAATAAAGTAAACATAGCATATTCTATAATTGTAAATTATTCTATAGATTTACATATAACTATTTAATATAATATTAAAATTTACTTTTAAAATTTTTAATAATGTTAATAGAAGTGAATCATTCTATTTACAAACAAGTATAAGCAAACATATTAACTATCTTATTTTTTAATTTTATTACATAATGGCAATAGAATAATTTTTACTTTTAAGAATATGATATATTTACTTCACTATTATTTATGAGTTTATAAAAATTATTAATATTCGGTAAAGTTATTTATAATAATTAAATTGAAATGATAGAAAAAATTTAAGAATATAAAGGGTACAATAATATTAAATTTAAAAAAAAAAATAATTCAATGAATACTGACAGAATTATTTAGAAGTTCGTTTAACAGTTTAGTATATGTCAGTAAATTAAATTTAATGCAAAGAAAAAAAAATAAATATAAAAAGTTAAAAAAAATCACAACTACGAAAAATAAAACATAAATATTTATAATAACCATTTAATAATTACATACTAATGATATTTACGTTAAGACATTTGTGAAATAAAAATATTATATATAAATTTGAATATTGTTTATACTAATTATTTTCAAATTTCAAATAATACATAATTATTTAATGTATTTATTAATGTAATTATAAATGTTGCCATTGAGTAGACATAAGATTACTTGAGGATTCAATAGCTCTTGCTACAGCTTCATGAAGTCCATGGCCCAACCACATTTGATTTAGTTGTTTGTATTTATTTTTGCATAGTTTAAGAGGATTACCTCGTCGAAGTCCTTGATCTGTTTCACCATATTCATCTAAATAAGGAGGGCAAGCAAAAGCACCTCTATTTGGACTTCTTAAAAATAGTATTTCGCATTCTCGAACACGAAAAAATATTCCAACTCCTGCTCCGCATTTACTTGCATGGTAAGTACATGCACCTACCATTATTTTATTTAATTCTGTTTGACAACAATAACTTTGTGAACATAACATTTCACCACAAACTAGGCACATTGTTGGATTTCGTGAATCTTCACGATCACTAGTTGGACAAGTAAATAATGATACTGTATTAATTAATTCACTGTAATCATCTGGTAAACTTACAAGACTATTTAATTTTGGTGGTTCTTTTACATGTGTTGATTTTAATAAAGTTCTAGGATGTTCCATCCATTTTTTGGCTAATTTTTGAACATTTTCAGAATTTAATAATCCGTCGCAAGTAGTTGGTAAACCAAGATACATACAAATATTTTCATAAGTATCACCCCCTTTAGTTGTTAATTCAATTGGAGCAGGTACATCCGTTACAAAATGAAAATAAAGTGTACAACATCTCAAAAATGATAATGATGCTTCTTTTATGTACTTCCAAATTTCCCGTACTGTCAAACCACCAGTTTTCACATTTATTATATCCATTAATACTAATAGAGCATCATATTTTTCTTCCTCTTCATTATCCGGATCATCAATATCCATGGCTTCATTACTGTCAAACTCATTAGTTACCAATATTTTGACAATAAGGGTAATAAAGACAAGTTTAAGAAGATAAAGTTCATGAGTTCCTCCTGTAATTATTGATGGTGGTGATTCAGAATTAATAGCAAATAAACTTGGAAATGTAATTAACAACGGTACAAGAATTCCAAATGAATCCCAATCCATTATACATGGACCATCATGAGGATTATCTAAAATCATAGTCAGTATATGTAGTGCATGATTTCCAAGAGTACGAAGACGTCCAGTATCACCATACGGTGGCCATGTATATCCTAGAATAGCTGAGATTCTAGCAAGACACTCGAGACTATCTTTTTGTCTTGATGATAAAGCACCTAAAAGTGGCTTTTCAGAATCACGAAGCATAAATTCAATAGCATGAATTGTATATGATGTTGATTTAAAAGCAAGTAGAGGCACTCTAGAATCTTCTTCATGTGGATCAACACCAAGGCCTTTAGTGTAAGTTGTCTGAGCGAATAAATGAATCATAGAAATTAGATGATCAGAGAGATGTATATTTTGGTGAGGGCTTGAAAACTCGAAAGCTGAAGCAACTTGCTTTCCCATTTCTTTATACATTCTTCTAATTGGGCATGGGAAATTTTCTTGCTCAACTGATGTATCACCAGATGAATAAATGTGTTGTAAATTTTTCTCTTTACAATATCGACAATTAGCTTTGTGATGATCGTCCAATGATGCATCATCTGTTTCAATATTATTCTCTTTATCTCGGAAATCCAGAATTAATTGTAATGCATTTAACCATGTTTCAAAATCAATATTACATTTGTTTGATTCAGTAGGTTGAAGTAGTGCTAATGGTGGTAATAATGGTAAAACGGTATTACTTAAACATTCACAAAGTGGACAAAGATATTCTTGTTTTTCGACATCAAAACTTGCGGGTTGACGAAGTCGATAAGGTCGTCGATGTTCTTTCGCAAGGACATTGTCAAAGTGTGTTTGCCAACAATAAGCATGCATCACATGACCACAAGTACTCGTGTGTGGTGAAGCACCAAGTTTAGCTGATAAATAAATCGGATTTGGTTCATCCGGTTCAGATCTTGTTTGACATAAAACGGTTGATTGTTGAACAAAAGCTGCAAGAACCATTGCATCCCCAGATACAGTTACACTTTGATCTGCTTGACATAGAATACAAGTATATGTTTTTTCTTCAGCTAATCGAGCTGTTTGATTTGGCCCAACAGCAATAGGTGATCGTTCAATACATTCTGATAAATCCATTGAAGATCCACGTTCATTACTTTTATTTACATCTAAAACAGTTTCTTCAAATAATTTTGCATTATTTTTCATAAAGTGTTTCTGCATTAATTGCATTTGAGCCATAACTTTGGCTCTTTTTTGTGCAGCCATTTGCATACGCCATTCTTTACTATTTTTAGCTATATCTTTTTCTGATGCTGATGTTTCAGCACTTTTAGCATCAATATTCTTATTTTTTTCTTCATTTATTGTACTACCAGCCGCTTCACGATATTTTTTCAATACCCACGTTAATAAATCTTTATGAGCGTCAATACGTGGATTATTTAATAAATCTTCCAATAGATTGAGAATATTTTTTTGAGCTGCACGTTCGGTAAAATTGAGGAAAGAATAATAACCGGTCATCTGTTCTTGAAGGGCATATCCAATTAAATGTAGAATTTTATGAATTTGTGACTCAGAGAAACTTCGTGCACGAAGATTACGTGCTCTCTCGAGCACTGTTTGCATAATATGGAGCATAACATCACACCGAAGTAAATTAGCTACTAGACTAAAAGTTTCAGTAAGTCTTGGTAATTGTGGTGGTGGACAACATTCAAGTTCACCCATAGCTTTCTTACGTTTACGTTGAGCTTCTTCTGATTTACTTAATTCTTCTTTAGTATAATGATAAAAGAAAACGTTGTATTCATCATATAAATGAGAATTAAGTTCATAAAGTCTCTTACCAACTGAATTTTGGGCAGATTTTTTAAAATCAGCTATATCATTAATAACTCTTTCTAAACCAATTTCATGATGAACACCATCAGGTAAAGTTTTATTTAATTCTGAATGTGACATTGGTTTAATACAAAGTTGTTGAATTATTTCTTTTTTCAAACGATCATCTGAAGTCACTTGTCCAACACCTGGTATATGTCGTTCACCAATTATTGTAATCAATAAACCAAGAAATTCTTCAACAAGATTTATAGTTTGTCTTATACTATCTTCTTCCGGGTTTTTAATAACATTTGTTTCAAAATTTGGATCAGCCCAATTAATAAGATTAAATTTATTCAATATATGAATAAGAAATTCATTACTTTCAATCAATGATGCACCAACTTGTAACAAATTAATATCACGATCAAGCATTTCAGTTCGACATCTAACATTATGATAAAAATATAATTGATTTAGCAAACTGTAGCCATTTCTTCGCCACATACCAGCGTGTACTTGGGATATCATAGCTTGAGCTCGTAAAACAGGTTCGATTAATTGTTCTAACGTTAAATTATCAGAGATAACAAATTCTTCACTTTCAAAATTAAGATTGTATTTTTCTAAATAGAGAAATAAACCTGCGAGAAATCTAGAGAGTGGTAAATGAATCGAAACAGGTTCAGATGAAACATCATATTGTATACAAGAAGCTGAATGATGTTCTATTTCACGAAGTACTCTTGGTGTTGAATCATTACCTGATTGTTCCCCTAATTTTTTTAAAACTGCTCTGAAGGCTTTTACAAGTACAATTTTATCTGAGCCACACCATTCTAATGCAAGACTTATAACGGGAGAAAGTTTTATATGTAAATTAAACGCTGATTCCCACTCAGGTTCATATTCCATATGTTGACCAACTTGTCTAAGAACTGCATCCATCGATTGCATACTTGCTAATAAATTCAATAGTAATGATAAACCTTGTAAAAATCCTTTTCTTAATTCATCAGTCCACGTATCAGGCTTAGAGCTCAATAAATATGCTAGATCACATAAAATATATTGAGCTCTTTTAAACGGTGTGTTTGGTACATTTCTTTCAAATTCAAGTTTTCCTGCAGCATTACATCTCCGTGAACTTTCTGAAATGAAGGTATTGAGTAGAATAAATAACACATCATGGTTAGCTATAAGATAGTGAGCTAAAGTAGGAACAGTAAAAAGTTGAACGGAGAGTGAAGATATTGAAAAAGAATGATCGTGATCGTCACGAATAAAATCTTTCATTACAGTACCATAGTTATTGGTAAATACTGTAGCAAGTGCTTTTTTACTTTCATATTCCATTAACATTCCTGAAATTAAAAGTTTATGCCACGCTGTTCTTGCTGCTTTCCATAATTGTGAGTCTCGCCTAAGAATTCCTTCAACTATGGGTACATCAGGTAATTTTGTATTTAATGCTACATCACTAAAAATAATTCTAAATCCTTCGCATTGGCTTATGAAGTGTTGTAGCCATCCAAGAAGTTTCATGGCAAAAATTTGATGTGCAATCACGTGTGCATGAACAACGAGAACTTTCAAAGGTTGACTATTTTGTCGCCATGTAAATCTCTCAACATCTGATTTTAATTCATTACAATGCTGAAAATCTGAACACTTTACTACTGCACGTCCATTTCTGTCAATATTAGTAACAAATTCTATGGCTTCCTTTTGTGTACACTTGATAACTCTTGAAAGTATACTTATTACTTGTTCAAATGTATGTGTTTCGTCATTAAAAAGTACAGTACAGTAACTGTCTGTTGTTGAAAGTAATGAAAGTGGATCTTCATCAGTTTCTTTAACACGTAAATCTGCTGGTAAACCAGGTGAATGTTCTAAAGATAATAATTCATAACAATATTTTAAAACGGCTTCAAAAGTAGCTGTTGCTCTCTCTGCAATATCTTCAGGTAATTTATTGCTTGATGATTCTTTAGATTGAATTCCCGCAAGATGTATATTACAAAAAGGATCTCTTTTCCAAGCCTCTGGATCACCACAATCACAACAACCACCACCACCTGATGTAGCTATTTTATATTTATGATTTTGATGAGCTGATTCCTTAAAACACGGTACACAGAGTACACATGTAGGATCCATACCACATTCACGACAAATATATGTTGGTTCGCCTACTCGAAAAAATTTACCACACACTGAAGGTGGCTTTTCCATTTGACGTAATTGCTGAAGTACTTGTTGAGGATCTCCATTGCATATAAATTCTTCTAAGGTATTATATAAAATTTTTTGAGCCATATCTTCATCAAAACTCCAATTAAGACAATTTCCATTTGGTTCTGGACTATAAATTTTCGGAACCCAAATTCGCCAGTGTTCTTTAAAATGTGTTGATGTCAACATTCCCTTATTCATTTTATCCATCCACACGTTTACACACGGTTTACTCGAATTTGGAAAAACTGGTAGAACTGGCGAAAGTTCAACATCCTCAATTTCCTTATGTTGATCCGTTTGCATATCGTCATTGCTCATTTTTCGCAGATAATCAACAAACTGATGACTTTACTGGAAGAATTATAAAATATAAATACACAAAAAATGTACGTGTATATAAACTAAAATAAATAACTACATCAACTTCATTTTTTTTTTTTTTTTTACTTGAATGATTAATGCTTTGTTCTAAATTTATACTCATATATATTTTGTTAACAAGGATATTGTAGTCTAAAAAAAAACAAAGTATTTGTAAATATGTAATTATATTTACACAAAGAACAAAAATGAAGTGATCATAAAAGTCAAATTGATTTTTCAAAGACGTAATTTCTTCGATTTACAAAATAAAAAAAAAAACATCATTACTATTTATGACAATTGAAATGGTCTTGAAATATATTTTTAAAATGGTCGAATGCACCTTATTAAACTAAAACATATCTTACAAATGAGATAATTTTCCACAAAATAAAGGATACTTACAGTATTTGACGTCGGAGCCAAGGTTAATGCTGGTATCAAAAGAAAACTCTTTGTTTCGTAAATTGTGGAATTAAATGAGTAAATTTAGGCTTCAAAAGTAATAACGTCACGATTAATTACATATGTGGCGAGTCTTCTCGCATGTTACAATGAATTTGAAGCATTTCATTAACTAGAATTCAATAATACTCAGCATGTTAAAAGACAAAACATATAAAATATTACACAGCTGCTTGTATGTACGTACCACAAAATGGCCCAACTTATAAATACATTAAGAACACAGCATGAATAAACTCAGATTACGTCACTGGCAATGCAGTAGATTATTGTTATTATTATTAATTTCACTCGTTGAATGTTTGGATGTACTTAATAGAATAACATGTATCTATTTATCTACAATGTACTGTAATAGATAGTATAGCAAGACTAGAGTTTAGGATGGAAATCTTTTCTTTGGGGTATGGCAAATAATAAAACACATGTGATATACTAAAATTCATATGTACTGTACAGTACTTCATACACTCACTCTATAGAGATCGTTATATCTTCCAATTTGCTCCTAAGTTGAGCAAGAACTAAATAAAATAGTGTTATTGTTTAATAACAAACTTTAAGTTATTTAATTTAAATTTTTTTTATAATTCACTTAATATATTATTAATTATTATTATTAGTTTTAATCAATAATATTCTCATTTGTTTTATTTATTATCATCAAGTATCAAAAATAATCAATCCAATATGTTTAAAAAGTATTATTACAAATATATTATCAGTCATTTATTTAAAATTTTGATGATTGTATCATTTTTTCATTATTGTGGTGTTGTTACAGATTTGACGAAAAAGATAGTGTTTCTGGTATTCAACAACTTAAATCATCAGTTCAAAAAAGTATTAGACTAAAATTACTTGAACAATATCCTTATCTTGAGAGTCATATTGACCAAATAATTCCTAAAAAGGACTCTTTTCGACTTGTTAAGTGGTAAAATATTATATATTATTTTTTGATATCTCTTATCATTGATAAGAAAAGTTTTTAAAAATTTTTTATTCATAACTTTTAGTCATGATCACATTGAAATAATGGTCAACAACGCTGGTGAACTTTTATTCTTTCGTCAACGAGAAGGATTATGGTTACCAACTCTAAAATTACTTCATAAATGTTAGAATATCAATTATTATTATTGTTACAAATATTTTGATTGATTAATAATTTATTAATTTTGTGCTATTATATTTGCAGATCCATTTTTTCTACCAATAGAACAAGTAGATAAAGGAGCAATAAGGTTTGTCCTTAGTGGAGCTAATATAATGTGTCCTGGATTAACTTCCAAAGGCGCAAAAATGTCTCCTGTACCAAAAGGTACAGTGGTGGTATCCTTTAAAAATGATAATATTTATTATAAAAATAAAAAAGAATTTCTTAAGTATATTTAAATCCTCAATATAATATCAAAGGCTGTGATGGCAGAAGGAAAACAGCATGCCCTAGCAATTGGTGTAACGACATTATCAACAGAAGAAATGTAAATATTTATTAGCATTTACTTAATTTTCTATATAAAAATTTAATTATTATTCACTTTTGGAACTTTCAGATTAAAAGTTAACAAAGGTGTAGGTATAGAAAATTACCACTATTTAAATGATGGCTTATGGCAAATGAAGCCTATAAAATGATTGATTTTCTTTTAAAATATTAATCACAGTCATCGACTTGGTTTTGAAGTGTCATAATTAATTGTTTATGTTTTTTATATTAATAAAATACTATAATAAAATTTAAATACAATTAATTAATAAATTGGTAAGTTTTATTTTGCAATAGTATGATAAATCGTAATGAAATTATTATTATTATTATTATTATTATTATTAGTTGTATTCAAAAAAAATTGAATTAAGTAAGTTTTATACGAGAAATACATTAAAATAATAAAAAATTATTAGAATATTTAGCAATAGTATTTGACATAACATACATTGATGATGCTAAAAATATATAATTAATTTGCTACATCATTAGCAAACATCAGTAAAATAATTATTTATTATCTCCTTGTCCATCAGGCTGGTTATCTGATAACCCTTGTCGTTCTGTTTCACTATGAACTGAAGGAGCTGGTGAATATGAAGTATTATTACTTTCTGAATTAGAAGTAGAATTAGGTCCTGAAACATTACTATTGTTCGGATTCTCTGCTACTGGATGAGGTGGCTGAGCATGATAAGGACTATGTGATCCGTGAGTATGAGGTCTTCCAATTGAGTGAGGAGGATATTGAGGATATGGTTGATGATAATATGAATGAGTATATTGAGGATAAGATTGATGGTATGATTGTTGTTGACCGTACCCATATGAAGGATGTGGAGGTCTCGGTGAAAGTGATACATTTTGTGCCTGTGGTTGACCACTAGATGGTTGGTATTGTTGAGAGTATGTTTGAGCGGGAGGTATCATTGGTGGTGGTCCATGTGCATTCCCAGAGCCTTGAGATGTCATAATTGTAGGTTGATTTGGTTGATGAGAGGATATTGAATGATTTGACATCATATTAGATGTCTGATGAGGATTGTGTTGTAAAACTGGGACAGGAGAAAGAGATGGTGAAGTTGATGAAGGATTAGAATTTGCTGAAGGTGGAACATTTGAATGTTGAAGAGGTTGTTGATGTTGTGGAGGCTGTGAAGATGATTGATGATGAGACTGAGATGGAGGTTGTTGTTGTTGTTGTTGTTGTGAAGAGGAGTGTTGGGAAGAAGGTGGTGGATGTTGTTGCATTGGTGGCTGTTGTTGGGAATGTGGACCTTGGTGTGGCGATGGAGAAAGAGGATGATGTTGGGTTGTTGATGGATGTTGTTGTGGTTGTATTGATTGTTGTTGTTGTTGTTGCTGCTGTTGCTGTTGTGATTGTACTGATTGTGGGGGAGGCTGTTGTTGAGACAATGATGGAGGTGGCGGAGATGGCTGATGTTGAGATGAAGGAGGTTGTTGTTGAAGTTGTGGAGGTGATGATTGTTGAGGCTGTAACGAAGGTTGCACATGGTTTGTTGATTGTGGTGATGGTTGATGAAGAGACGGAGGTGACTGCTGCTGTTGCTGAGGTTGATTTTGAGATTGTGGATGTTGTGGATGCTGTGACATTGTATTGGAATGTTGAGAAGGAAGACTGGAGTGTGGCTGTTGCGTTTGAGGTGGAGGTTGCTGATGTTGAGGAGAAGGTGATGGTTGATGCTGTGAAGGTGCTTGAGATTGCATTGGCTGTACATGATTAGCAGATTGCGTTGGTTGTTGATGTTGAGAAGCGGGAGGGGGTAATTGTTGTTGTGGCTGTGATTGCGATAACGAAGTTGTTAATTGAAGAGGAGGTTGTTGTTGTGGTTGATGTTGAGAAATTGATGCAATTGTATTAGTATGTTGAGAAGGAAGACTAACAGATGATTGTGACGTGACCAATGATTGAGTTTGTGACGACGATTGATGTAATGGTATTTGATGTTGTAATAATGGAGCTGAAGGTTGCTGATGTTGATGCTGATTTGGTGCTTGAGACAACGATTGATGGTGAACTGAACTAATGGTTGGAGTATACATTATTGTATTACTTTGCGGCTCTTGATGTGCTTGCAAAGGTGAATCAGATTTTCCTTCATTATAAGGTGGTGATGAATTATCTTTCTTCTGTTCAATTGGTTTCTCAGATTCTGGGAATTTCTTTTCAGACATTTCATTTTCAGCCTCTGTCGATGCTTCTTCATTTAAAGATGCAGGTGTCGGGGTAGGAGTGGAATTTGGAGTTGATTCACTTGATGCTATGCCATCTGAACGAGTTTCTTCATTACCTCTAAGTCTTTCCCGTCGCAAGAGTTCATATTGACGTTCTACCATTTTATTAAACGTTTCTTCATCTACTGCTGGTTTACAATGTTTCTTCAATTCTTCTTGAAAAATTTCACTTGCTTCTATAAATTTACGTTTTTTAGCTTCAAATTTTTCCTCAATTTGTTGAAGTTCAGCTTCCAATTTTTTCTGATGCATTGTTAATGACTGAACCTGACGCCGTAAAACTTGCATTCTTTGAGTAGTTACTACAGAACGTACGTCAGGAACAACAGTATCACTAAATATTTCATTAATTAAACGATGATTGCGAGTATAACGTGAATAAGCAACATGTTTTACAGAATAACCATCATCTTGATCATCTTCATCTTCAGCAGGTAGAATATCTATTCTTCGATCTTGAGCAGATTGATTTTTACTGCTACTTGTAGAACGTTCATGAGTTTCACGGTCATCATTATTTTGTTGAGCTACACATAACGCTGATTTTCCTCTATTTTTAGCAGCAATATATGCCAAATATGCTGGTGAATTATGATACGTTTTCAGACTTTTTTCGTATTCAATCTTTTCTGCTTCATACTCCTCAATAAACTCCGTTTTGTCCTCTTCGGGCAAATCTCTCCACATTTGCCCAATTATTTTTCCAATTTCCCATAACTTTAATTCTGGATTTTGTGCCTTTACCTGATCCCATACTTTTCTGCTGTATCGCATGTACGGCATCAAAGGTTTTTCCGGAGCTTTAGGAGGTTTCGGAAGTCTTGAATCTGCCTTTAATATAATAAAATTATTAACATGAATAAACCGCATTATTATTAATAAAAAACTTATTTATAAATGATTAACTTACTGGAGTATTTTTTCCAACTTTTTGTGGAGTAAAACCGGGATGTCCATGAGGAGTTTGAATAAATGGACTTGAAGAATCTTTCTATATATTAATACATAAATGATTTATTATAAATAACTTTTGCACATTAAATGAATTCATTATCATACAATTTACTTACACTTGTTCCTGATCCACTACCACTATTACCAGATGTTCTAATACGTGCTACAAGTAGAAAAAAATAAAATTTTATATTATTATTTTATACAAGGAAGCTGCACTCAGATAATTAATACTTACAATTGGTGGATACCATGCCAGATGCAGATAATGCTACCTGCTTATAATTCTGTGGTAATGCCATGGTAATAATCGAGACTGTTTTTGCTGTAAATGAACTTCAATGAGAAATCACATACATTTGTAGAACGATGGTAACATTAAATTTAGTTCAATAAATAGATGAATTTGCAAAATTGAATTGGGTATAGTCGTGAAATGAACAATAGATTCTCTAAATTTACAATGTGCAATATTACGAAAACAAAATGGATTCAATAAACTTAAAACCGACATTGTTGGTTTACTATTATAATGTCAGTATTTTTTAAATTATAGGCAACATGATTAATGATATATATACTTATGCATAAATTATTTAAGAACATTAATAGAGAAATATAATAAAAAACTTACCTGATAAAATATAAATAATTACGTCATTGTAAGTTAGCGTCAGTTAGCGGCAGTTTTAGCATTAACTATATCCATATGTGCCCCTTGTTGTTTATCAAAAACCTGGTTTTTTGATCAGTGTGTAGTATATGTATTTCTTGACTTTGATTATTGTTTGCCTTGTGTTTATATAATAAATGCACATAATTCTTGATAGGTGACTCTATCCAATGGGCGCGCAATTTGAATCATGATTTGAAAATTGAGCCTAATATTTAATTTAGATAATATTAAAATACTTTTTCCGATTTAAAAAATTATAAAAAATATGTTGTTGACCATTTTTTTATTTAAAGAAAAATTTAAAATCAAAGAATTTATTTTTTGTTTTGTAAACCAATGAAAAAACTCGAATTGAAGTAATGCAAAATTTTTACAAGCTGTTGGTATTTTTTTTTGCCACCTAGATGGCACTTGACAAGACGACCACTACGAGTTAGTTGCGAGTGTGTGATAGGTGTAACTGCATTGTGTGTTTGCTTCTTTCCGGTCTGAAAATAATTTTTTGCGATGAGCAATAAAAATCCGTAAGTAACAAAATCATTAATAAAAATTAAAAAACAATAATTTTATTCTTCTTTGAAAATAAACATTGCTTTAAAACAATTCTAGAAATATTTATTGTCTCTCATTACTAAAGTGTTTGCTGCAAAGCTCCGAAACACCGCCATGTTGTAAAACTGTATTGATTCATGAAGTTTCTGGAAACCGGCGTCTAATTATCTTTATTTCATAAATTTTAACAAAATAAACAGTCTTAAATAATGTTTTTTTTGCAGAAGCCTATATTTTAAAGTTTCTAGATTTTTCTCATTAACAGAAGATCCATTATGAATTTTGTCGAACGACAAAATCCAATACAAAATGTGTCACATTTTCTTATTTATAATTTGATTCATATTAAAATATCTGAGAATATTTATTCTTTTCATTTTTATTTGTAAAGTTGATACTCATTTGTTGTCTTTCATATTTTTTATGTATAAAATTATCATTGATCATTCTACTGCAATGACTAGCATTTTCAAGCATAATTGTTTTGTTTTCTAACCTCTTTATGAATATAAGAAGCCACGCTTTTTTAAGTTTTCATTGTGAATTAACATGATCAATAAAAAGTAATTAAATGATATGAAACTGTATAAACTGATATGATGAAGTAACTGATATTTGATTTTTAAAATATTTCAGAATTACTCCTCCCCTCGTTATGTGGGCGCAGAAATCTGGACAAGTCTTTCTTACGTTTTGTTTAGAAGACTGTAAAAATCCTACAGTCAAAATAGATCCCGAAAAAATATACTTCAAAGGTGTTGGAGGAACGGAGAAAAAAGAACATGAAGTAACTATTAATTTTTATGGAGAAATAGATCCAGAAACTTCAGTTCAAAATTCAAAAGGAAGACTATATGAAGTAACGCTTACAAAAAAAGAATTCGGACCTTTTTGGCCAAGATTAACTAAAGAAGAACAAAAATTCCATTGGCTTAAGATTGATTTTAATAAATATAATGACGAAGAGGATTCAAGCAGTGATGGTGAACGTTCACAAGACTTTGAAAAGGTACTGTACAACACCAATTAATAAATTTTTCATTCAGACATATCATAGTACTATTGTTCGGTTTAATAACCAATAAATTTTTTTCAGAACCTTAAGGACTTCGCCTACTTTAATAACCAAGAAGAATCAAAGCCAGACTTTGGTGATTTTGATGAAGATAATGATCGTGACAGTGATGATGATAATCTACCTGATCTTGAATAAATAAAAAACCAAAAAAATATTTCGATTTAACGTGAAGATTTAAACTGTTTTCGAATTTCATCGCGACTCTATTAATTACAAACTGTTGTATGATTATGTATTGGACCATAAAAAATAGTTTAACGTTACTAACATCTTTACGATTTTGGAGGTCCTTTAAGCATACGACGTTAATTAAATGAGTCATGCATGTCCCAATGCCCATTCGTCAATAGGAAATGTTTTTAAATAGAACAAAAATGAAATTTGCAGTGCAAGACTAATGGGCGATTATAGAGTTCATCGAGTTCTCTTTTCTTATCTTCGTTAACTTTATTTGAAAAAATAAGTTATAATATCAAGCTTTTTTAATATTGATCGATCAAATATGTAAAATAAAATACATAAAATAATGATATAAAATATGATATAAAAGCGATAAAAAGTTCAATGTTTTTTTTCCTTTTAAATAAAAAAACCTCTTTAATTAATGTAAATTAACCAACTATACTAGATGCTCCACGAAGTGCAAGATACCCTGCAGTGATATCCATTGGTAAGCTGCGCACAGTTGAAAATTCTTCAGTAGTTGAGTAATAGAGTTTTGTTTGTGGATCCGTATATCGGGACTAAATAAATTAGTTAATCAGATAAGATAAATTTTACAAAATTCAATTCTTATAAATAATACTTACTAATAAGCCTGAGATGTCTGAGTATTTTTTGGCTGGTTTAAAGCTGGGTGGTGCATTTATTGAACTGTCTAAAATCAAAATCGTAACGTTTACGACCAAGAAGAAATTTTTATTTAAATGTTTTATTTAACTTACAATGAACAAATTCCGGAGGCCAAGGTAGACTCCGCTCTTGAGCAAGTACTTGTTTTAATGAACGCCAAGTCCGTTTTTTACCTGATATACTTATTGGTCTAAATTTCTGTTGAAATGATGGGTTTTTAAATACTGGTAAAGGCCTCTTTATTTCTGTTGCTTCTTCTGTCACCATGTTTTCCCTGATATTTAATTAAATAATCAATAATCATGCATCAAAATCAGAGTAATATAAAAATAAACATAACCTTCATGAATAAATTTTTATTGCTATAAAATTAAAGAATTTACGTCAACCATGATAAATTATTTTAAATAGTATTATTTCATTACCTTAAAAAAATATGTTCATGAATGTAACTACTTAAAAATGATCGTAATATATTATAAATGTAATTATTACGTTTTCACATCAATACATGAATTGATAAATAACAAAGAGAGGGGATACATAATAATAATACTAAAATAGGTAGTTTTTAACCGTATCGACGGAAGGTTAGAAATTTTTCAAAATCAACTGATTTGTCTGTTTTTTTTTTTAAATAAATGAAAATCGAAAACATTAGGTTAATTAAAATATATTATCAACTATTTGGAGTTTTAAAATGAAGTTGATTTAATAAAAAAAATCTTTTTCCTATTAATAAATTCTTGTATACACTAGAGAGGTAATGTTAAATAGATCAAGGTCTGAGGGGACGTCAATTCACCTTAGTCCAATCGAGAAGGTCAGAAGAGCAAGTTAGTTCAGCTTAGCTTAAATCTCGTCAGCATCCATTATCAGTGATATTTCTGTCAGCTGTCAAGTGTATTGCATTTTCATTAATACAAAATGGCACGAAAATTTTTCGTTGGTGGTAATTGGAAGATGAATGGTACAAAAAAAGAAATTGATGAAATAGTTGCATTTCTCAAAGCCGGCCCACTGGATCCAAATGTTGGTATGTGCAAATTATCACGTAGACATAATCATGTTTTGAATTAATTTACCCAGCAACTTATCCTTACTTTTATAGAGGTTGTCGTTGGCGTGCCGTCAATATACTTAAATTATACGAAGGGAATTTTACCTAGTAATGTCTCCATAAGCGCACAAAATTGTTACAAAGTGCCCAAAGGAGCTTTTACTGGTGAAATTAGCCCTGCTATGTTAAAAGATAATGAGATTCCTTGGGTAATCATTGGTCACTCTGAACGTCGTAATGTCTTTGGAGAGAGTGATGAATTAACTGCTGAAAAAGTAGCTCATGCACTTGAAGCTGGTATCAAGGTAATTTTACATAATATTTATGTCAAGAATTATCTATTTGTTCAAGTACTATTTTCGTCATAACAATGTTTAAAATAATATTATCATTTTGATCAAAGGTTATCGCTTGCATTGGTGAAAAATTGGAAGAACGTGAAGCTGGAAAAACAGAAGAAGTTGTTTTCAGGCAAACTAAAGCTATTGCAGATAAAATTAAATCTTGGGACAATGTTGTATTAGCCTATGAACCAGTATGGGCTATTGGTACTGGTAAAACTGCAACTCCACAACAAGCCCAAGAAGTTCATGATAAACTTAGAGAATGGTTCTCAAAGAATGTTAGTCCAGCAGTATCTGAATCATTACGGATTATCTATGGTGGATCAGTAACTGCTGGCAATGCTAAAGATTTAGCTAAAGAAAAAGATATTGATGGATTCTTGGTTGGCGGTGCTTCATTGAAACCAGATTTTGTTCAAATTGTTAATGCTAAGCAATAATTATAATCCTGTCAGTTCATAGAGTGACAGTGGTATTATAAGAAATTTTTATTTAACATATTGTTCGAATGTAAATTAGGAAATCGTAAAACAATATTTATTTATGAAGAAATGAATCATATATTGGAAAAATTAACAATACATTATGCTTAACTAAAATTAATAAATTCTATTGGTGCACAAAACTATAAATTGGCTTTTATGTTTTTATTTATACAATCCTCGAGCAAGAACGGCAGTAGGAAAAGCCAAATCTTTTATGCGCCGTAGCCCATCTGCTTTAGCTCTAGCACATGCAATTGTTGCAATAGATTGAAATGATCGTGGTTCCCAAATAGCTAAAGTTACTAGAGTCTTTCGATCAAGTAAGATATCACTTCTTGTAAGACCTTCCCTCAAAACTAAAGGATCAATGTTGTGTTGACTGCAAGCTGCGTCAAGTCTTTGATTCCATAACTAAAAAACATTAATTATTAATTATATCAATAACAGTGACTTTTTATAATTATCTTATCACATTGCTTACCTCCTTTAATTGTGTTCGTTTCAATTTTCTTCCTCTAGTTGCAAATTTCAAAGACCGGTGAAAACCTTTTATGGCTGAAGAGTAACAATTTCTTCTACGACGTTTTAAATGCTAAAAAAATTAAATCATATTTTGAAATTATAATTAAGCAACAAAATGACATTAAATAATTAATGTTAACACTTACTGCGACCATTTGAAAGACTTTTCTTTTGCGCCAAAATTCATCTGGTCCTTTGCAGAGACTGAAGAATAGTTTTGAAGTAAAAACCATTCTTGTTGTTAATCAAGCCTTGAAAAAAAGTTATCCAATCTTTAAATTAATAATACAACCGGTTTTTAGCATATAGCCATGTGTATTTATCTACATCCAAACGCATAAATGCCTGGTAAAAATTGTAGATTGGAAACTCGATATGTTTTATAAAAAATAATCATTCTTGCTGTCGGTAATTACTCATAGGATATAGCCAGACTCATATGATATGAATCCGGCATTAAATCTGGCCTCGCTAGAGTTCCTTGTAACTTTGTATTCTTTGTCTGTATACATTATATTAAATGTGCGAAATATAATAAACCAAACAATCCGGAGTCTTCGAATTATAAGTACTATTATCTTTAATCGTGAGACAGTAAAGCTTAAACCAATTTATGTTATTCTTGAAATATTTTGCATTGCATTAATTCATTGTTATTCGTTACAAAAAAAATTAAAAAGAGAAAAACATGACTTTAGAAGTACATGAATATACCACTGACAAATTGAAACATTTAAAAACTGGATTCATTGATTTTTTTGCTGGATCTCTTGGTAATTATACGTCTTCACATATATTTACATCACTTGTTAATAGTAGTAATGTTATATGATAATGTCATTGCTATTGAATACTTTTGACAATGCATTAGGCAACATGATGATATTTTTTTATCATAGTACAACTTCTATTTCAGTATTGTTAGATTAGAGAAGAAAATTTTTATCATAATTTCTCGTAAGATTTTAATCTTTTCATCAAAAGATAATCTCAGCCTTGAGCTACATAATTTTTGTAAATAAATGTGATAATTATTTTTTTATTTTAGGAGGAATTGCTTTAGTGTACGTAGGGCAGCCACTTGATACAGTAAAAGTCAAAATGCAAACATTCCCTAACATGTACAGTGGAATGGCAAATTGTTTTATGAAAACATTAAGAACTGATGGTTTAGCTCGAGGATTATATGCTGGAACCCTTCCCGCTGTAGTAGCAAATGTGGCTGAAAATTCTGTTCTTTTTGCAGCTTATGGTGGTTGTCAACAAGCTATTGCACGTATTACTGGTAAAATACGTTCATTAATAATTTTGTATAACATAACAATGATTAATATTGGAGTCTTTTCAGGAAAACAGAACGTAAAAAATTTAACTATTTTTGATAACGCATGTGCTGGATTTTTTGCTGCATTTTTTTCTTCTTTAACTTTATGTCCTACTGAACTTATAAAATGTCGTCTACAAGCAACGCGAGAACTTCAATCTGTACAAGGTGGTATAAGGGTAATTTGTTTTCGCTCTCCATTTATTCCAATTCTAAAATAATCTTATCACTATATAAAAATGTATTTATTTTTCTATAATTATTTTATTTATTGTTTTAGCAATACATTAGCCCTTGGTCACTCACGAAAAACATAATTCGGGAGAATGGATTTACAGGATTATTCAGAGGTCTTTCATCAACAATTGCCAGAGAAATGCCAGGTTATTTTTTCTTTTTCGGTGGCTATGAACTGACAAGAACTCTTCTCGCTAAACCTGGACAAAGTCGTGATGATATTGGATGGCAAAAAACTATGGTTGCCGGTGCAGTTGGTGGAAGTGTTCTTTGGCTTGTTATTTTTCCTGCTGATGTTGTCAAAAGTCGAATTCAAGTAAATAAATTGTTCTGTTTAATACATTTGTACTTTCAATAGACTAAAATAATTTTTTTATCACAATGTTTTAGGTTAAAAATCTTAGGGAGCCTGCGTTAGTTATCATGAAGCAAGTTATTCGAGAAGAAGGCGTTAGTGCACTATACAATGGTTTAAAACCTACACTAATTAGGACAATTCCAGCAACTGCAACACTTTTTGTTACTTATGAATATACGAAGAAAATTATGAGTTCATTACTGGGTGTTTGATATTAAAAAAAATTTAGAGTTAACTAATGTCTTAACTCACCCTACAGCAACTGTTTCTTTTATCATTCTATTTTTTCTATAATTATTCTTGTTAACGTTAAAATTTTTGAAGATTTAAAAATTTTCTAATAAATTATGAAAGAATCTAAAATGATTCGAAAAGTTTTTCAAGCATTTTTATAGAAGAAATTTCTTCATACAAAATGTAAATTTCATAACTTAAAAAAAATTGAATGGATTTGTATTATTTTTTATTTTACAAATCTATGAAAAACAAATTGTCAATTTTTGTAAAATATAGCTGGTCTATTTTTACGAATGATATTGCCAAAGCATTACCTTTATAGTAATTATAATAAAAAAAACAATTTTGTAATACTTTTATGATGATTTTATCGATGTTGTATTATTGACATGATTTGCAAATAATAGACTTCGAAGATAATTTTTTCTGTCTTCAACTGATACAATGGACATCCACTTGGTAGCTAACAGCTACAGAATATTTATTAATTATTAAATATTTATGTTAAAGGACAAATAAATAGAAATAAAAAAAATAAAAAATATTTACCGGAATGGGCTGATAGCCAATTTTTTTAAGTTGTCTCATTTTAGCATCAAACAAGCCAGTTGTTATTGAGTATTTATTAAAAATGGTATTTCTTGGAGCCAAAAGAAGAACTAACCATGTATGTTCATCAGGATCTGTAGGTGCATATTTTATTACACCTATTTGTCCAGCTTGAGGAAAATGTGGTTTCGGTGACACAAAATTTTTATTTTTATCTAGGCAGAAAATAATATCTTGTTTTGAATAATGTGGCAATAATTGGTCAGTAAAAAAACTAGAAGCTCCCAAAATATCTCTCAAATGATTAACAACTTCAAGTAAAAATCTGCTAGCCTGAGAAATGCGTACATTCATATCTGGATCTAAATCTGGTGGGTCTGTACTATATTTCTAAATACAGAAAAAATATTAGAATTAAATTGAATAACTACCCATTTAATTTATATTTAAGTAAAAAGAATAAAGCATTACCTTGTTTAAATATCTCGCAACTTTTTCTGGAAGTAATGGCCCATCATACTCGGGTACTTCAATTTGTACACCAGTACTAAACGTTAAATACTCTCTGCCTATCTTATACGGATTCATTTTGTAATATTTTGTCAGATATTCATGGTCTAATACTTTTGAAATTAAATCTAATGGATATATTTCTGCTTGAGATAAAAACATCAATGATGCACCTAAACATACTGGATGACTGTTCGAACAAAAAGTGATATAGTAATAATACAATTCAACAATATTATATGAAAATAATATTTATAAAAGGGAATATTACTTTGCTAGTTCTTTTGCACGTTGAGGATTTCTAAACTCGTTTACTATCTGTTCAAAAATAGGATGTTCCTTGGGATATTTGTAAGTTACTAAACTGAAAAGAATTCTTTCCAAATCTTTTGCCCTTGAAGTTGGAACAAATTCCTGAAAGCTATTAAATAGATATTATTTTATTATAAAAAATAAAACCTTTATAATAAAAGACTTGTATGTAGATAAAAGTAATTTACCGCTCTACGATCTCATCCATAAATCTTTTATCATAAAAATGCAATGCGGAAACTGCATGAGCAATATGAACTAGACAGATACCAGAAACATTCTGAATTTTAGGTCGAAAAGCATTTAAGAGGTCTTTCATTGTATTATCTTCGTCTACTCCAAGACTAAGTCTCACTATTTTAAATAACGTACATATTGCAATATCTCTTACAGAGTCTATTTCTTCGATAAATTTTCTAATAATTTTGATTCGTAATGAAGGATTATATAATCGGGTTTCAGTTTTGAAAAAACCCATGCATATAACTCCAAGTTCTTCAGCACTGTATGCAGGAATAAATAATTCTAATGCATACTCCAACTCGTACATATTTTTGAATGCTCTTCGAGAAACATTAATTATAAACAAATACTGTAAATAATGTTCTGGCTTCAATTGCTTTACTTGTCTTCCCAATTTTTTTACTGCTTTCTTTATAAATGCTGCCTTTAGATATCTGATTCTCCAAAAAAGATCACATAATGTCAAATAATCTTCATTTTTAAAATCATTCAGCCTAAGGAAACAATCGTTGTCTAATTCCATTAATAATTGAAAATAAGGTATTGGATTGTTTTTATCAAATTTAATTCGGTGTGTAGTTTGCCACAATTCAAGACACCTGAATATATCTTTCATTTCTTCATTAGTGTAACTTTGAACGTACGTCTTTAAAATTAATAAAATTTTTTCGAATTTTTTATCAGTTATTAATAAATTTTCTCGTTTGGGATATAAAGACAGTGTTTTAAAGTCATCCAATATTTCCTTTGAACATGTGTCTTCATAATTTTTGTTCAGAATTTTATCTATCATACAATCTGTAATATCCTCATCAGGAATTAAACGTGGCATTATTGTACTTTCAAGTTTTTTATTGTTTAACAATACACTATAAGCAAACAAATTTTCTGAAAAACTTGGTTTATCATAGTCGTCATTCTTGGAATCATTGTTATTATCCTCTTCATTATCTCTTTGAAGTGTTTCTGATAAATTTGATAAATTTCTTGATATAATAAATTGTGAATTATTATGTGGTAAATTTTTATGAATACTTTTTAAATAATTGTTATATGGATGATTGAGGTTAACTTTCGATACAAGTCCAGCTGAATATAATCGTGAGTATAACAATCGTTCATGAACATTCAAAAGAACTCTCAATTTTCTTACAAACATTTTTTAATTTTGTTGTATTCTCAATTTTTAACGAAAACCTTTGAAAACTTTTTTTAATATCCTATTCTTAAACGCACATGTACACCGCCATTTTACATGTTGGATTAATCTGATGAAGAGAGAAAGATTTATTGATAATGGAACAGAGTCATTTTTTAATGATCACTAATTCCATTTTATGATTTATAAAGCTTAATAATTTTTTTTTGTAATTAAATGGTAAAACGTAATGTTAATTTCTTATTAATATATTTGTAGATAGTTTATTAGAAATTGCATTTGAGTTTTAAATGATTTTTGAAAATTTCGCGCGTATATTTAATAACGAAAATTGACATAGCGTCTGAAAAGTGGCTCCCTCATGAGCAAACGAGTAATGAGAGGAATCAACATAAAGAAAGATAGGCGTGTGTGTTAGTAATCTTGTGAATCGTGTTAGGTCGTGTTACTTATTTTTTTTATCGCTTTTAGTTCGAAAAATTTCGGTGAATAATAAAAATAAATTATTGTTTAATCACCTTAACAGTTAATAGTTGTTAATTTTAAATATTTGTTTCAAAAAATGCAAAATTATCATCGATTAATATGTAATAGACATTGAGTTGTTGAGTGAACACCGGTTCCAGATGATCCACCCACTCCCCAAGATACGTGTTGCAATAATACGGTAGAAAAATTTTTGACATCACCGAATGCAGTTAATTTCCAGGCCTTTGATTCACTGAACAGGATGGACGGGTGAGACTGAACCCGAAGAATAATTTATTGACAACGATTAAAAAGTATGCTTGTTTATGCGTGCGTGCGTGTATGTGTATGTGTACGTGAGATAGCATGTTTGGAAACAGCAGATAGAAAGAGAGAATAGAGTTATTGAATTGAAAATAAACTATATCATAATAAAATAAACAATAAAAACTTATAAAAAAGTTGTATTTATATGTATTGATGTCAACTTTTAAGGGAATATAAACAGAAAATATTTTGAAAGTAAATAAGTGGCACTGTTGAAAAACTGAGTGTGCAATTTTTAGAAGTATAAACTAATTGAATCGTAAAAGGTCAATCAATAGAAATACAATTTAAAACTGAATCTATTGATTGCGAATTGAGTGAAAACCATGATTTACAAAGAAATAAACTAAATGGAGTAATGAAAACAAAAATCTAGTGATGTGTGTATTTAGTATATAGTTGGAGAAAGAAATACAAAATCCAAGTTCATTATTATCCTTATATTGCCTCTAGGATACATGTATATATTTTAATATTTATATACGTAGAACGATCAAATCAGTTAACTTCAATATATAGGAGAATTTTTATTCAACTATACTTAATCAATTTCTTAGTGCAAATAAATTAAGTCTATAATTTACAAATAATCATTTCTTCTGTTTGGTTGAAGAAGATGGTATGAGTATTATTTTAATACTAGACGTATTTCAACATACTAACATTATTATGTACTAATTAAATCAGTCATTCGGGTTAATTATAACTAAAACAACGGTTTATTATTAGGTATATATTTAGCAGAAAAAGAGATTAGGAATTTAAGTTTATGGTGATTCTCCAATTACTTTCAGGGATTATACATACGATGATAGTACCTAAAAGTATTATTATCTGTTATTCAAATGGCATAGAAATATATTTGGAGCTTTTCTTATTCCTCTTTGCAGAAATTTTTAAAAAATCATCAAAGTTACATCTTTGAGACTTTTGAAATGATAGAATTGTGTGTTCGTTTGTTAGATATTTAATTAATTATCTTCAACGTTTTCCCTTTTCTTTTATATCGATATAATAAGTTCACAAAATGGAATAAAGATTGAAATTTTTCCCTGCAATCTGTAGTAAATTAATTTTTTAATGAAGCCAGAATTAAATTATGACATGATTATAAGGGCTTTAAAGAGAAAAAGTCTATTGGATAGGATTAGTCGGGCGGGCTTTATTAACGAATGCTTCCTCTTACCCAGACGATGAACTCATTAATTAAATAGAAGTTGTCGCTATATCCTACATTCCTTCTGATTATATTTAATGATAACTATGTTCCATATAAATACTGCTATCTCAAAGTGAATCTATTTACGTAAAAGCATTGATATTAAAAAATTTGCCAAGTTCTGCAGTAATTGCATTTTGAAGTAGATTTAACTTTGAAATTTCTTTTTTTTATTTATTTATCTTTTATTCCAAGCTTGAATTATGTTAATTTTATAAATGTCAGCAGAAATTTTAAAGATTCGATATTTTTCGAGTGTTTTTATCGTTTTAATAGTCTACTATCATTTTGATTGTATCAATTAATTGTTGGATAATACATTATATCAATTCAGTATCGAACGTTAATTATACTTTTTCATTATTCTAGAAGATCACTTAAAAAGTTTGAGAAGGTTTATGTCAGTAAATTTGAAGATGCTGTAGTTTAGTAAATAATGATCAAATTATAATGATTGAAAATAATTTTTCTTGTTATGTTTAAGAAATGTTCTTGAAACTTTCATCACTTCTACGATTTTCTATTACTTCTTGTCGAGATTTTGAAATAAAAAAAAATGTTTTTATTTTGTTGAACTTGTTAATGATGAAAAGCTTTTTGTGAAGTTGGTTCTAAAAATCCATTTCTAATTTGATGCCACATGTTTAATAAAATCATTAGTTTAAACAAAAATTTTTGACTTCAACTAAAAGTTTCTATAATTAGTATAGAATTATAAAAAAACTTGCATTAAATGATATAAATTTTTAATAATATTTAGCAATGTAATTAAACGTAATTTGTTTTCTTTTGGTAATATAAACAATTACCATTTTATTTGCTTCTGTTAAAAAAATTTTCAATACTTGATATTGAGTGATCAATAATTATGAACATTATCAAAATTACTCTTAATTGATAATTAAAACTGATATATAGTCTTTGGCAATTAGAAATTTAACTTTAACAGTAAAACTGATTTTTTTTATTTTCAATTATTTCGTTCAAGATTATATGTAATTAATGAAAATTAGTTGAATTGATTTGGGCTTTCTCACCAGTTTTTTTACTAAGGGATTCTTTGTTTCCATTGCATGTTTTTAATGAATGCAGCAACTAGCATGGAGGAAAGAAAATGAAAAAGAAAGTAGAATAAACAGTTTTCTGGGGCAAAATGAAAATTTAGAATGGCTTATATTTGCCTCTTTTCTCATTTAAAACAGCCACATCTCGTGTACCCCCAGCTTCATCTGATGAATCCTAGTTTACTATAACCGCTGGAGCTTAAGCCTTTACCGTTTGCGCTACTTTTCTCTAGCCCCTTTTAACGGATGCTTCAACAAATTCCAATGATTCTATAACCATTTGTTATCGATCGATAATCCGAGGTCGTCGATTGCAACTAGTGTTTCAACCGCGGCAAACGGGTATTTGTATGAAACTACGCACTCCCCGCAACCATGCTGTTGATCCTAGGGGTTTCAACTCGCCAGCTGAATATTGAGAATACTGACTAGGGTGCAAATCGTGCTACAGGTACTGCATTTGACTTACATGGAAAAAAATATCACCAAGTTGTTTCATATTTTGTATATACAATAGTTTTTATTACTTTATTTATTTTATTATTTATCATTACTGTTGTTTTAGATCCATCAATTTCATAAAAAAAAATCTATGCTATTTTAACAACATGTGTATGTAAACCTACCTTAAATAATTGAATATCACAAATCTTGTTTGATTATTAAACAAACTAATCCCACAATTGCATATGACGGTTGGAATAATATAATGAGATCAATAATATTTTTTTTAATTGTCTGAAGGTGAATATTTTAATGCGAGTTTATTTAGGGATATGTGTGTGTGAAATAGGCGGGTAGTTTAATGAAAATTTGTCGGATTTTTTATGAATTGAGATTAAAAGGTGGTACGTGATTAATTATTAAAGTTTTATTCATTACCAAAATTGTATCAATATGATTAACATAAATTTTGTCAAATCTTCAGTTGTTAGACGAAAATGAAGTTGTCATCCGAAAAATAAATACAATGAGAAAAGATAAAATTAATTTTATTGATAGATAGAAAATGAATTTTATATTTCATTGAAATTTTCTTTAATCTTTTAATGTAATAAATAAGTAGAAAAATCATTTTTATTCTGGGGATAACATTAAAAATTTTTTCTATAGAAAATATTATTCAAGTTATTTTCTGCTGCTTGAGCATGAAATTTATATCATTCTATTTTGTGTGAAAGTTTAAAATATCTTTATTATTCAAGACAAATTTAAAAACCACTAAAAAAAAAGTCAATTTTATTTAATATTTCAAACTTTATTGACTAAATAAAATTTATGCAATTTATTCAAAAATTTATTTAATTTAAAAAAAAAATACAATTTATAAAAATTTTTGAATTTAATTTAACAATTCAATTTTATATGATGTTGTATAAAACATACTTAATTAAAACAACTCTCTTCTTCACTTCAATAAAACATAAATATTTTCTGAAACAATTATTATACATTCTGAATATGCAAAGCAAATACCATACAGGACCACTCCCAATCAATGATAAACTCTCAAATTTAGTGAGCTTAATTTATTGTTTTGATAACAGATGTTTTTATCCATCATAAACATAACGAAAAAAAAGAAAAACTTAAACTCACTGAAACTTAAATAAATAGTGATTGTTATCGAGGCAATATGACGAGAAATAATAATCATTATACAATTAATTAATATGAAAAATAGACATATGATAAAACATAGCCAATTTCGATATACCGAGTTATGAATAAACTAGTTGGAGTTGGTACAGTTTCAGTAGGAAAATCAAGTAAACCTCCGACCTCCTCCACTACACAGTCGTATCCCAACTGTCCATTCCCAGCCTGTAATCCCGACACGGTTTCCGGCCCAGAGGATGTTCCACCACCCCTTTACGATAATCCGATTTTGTCCTGCCAGCCGTTCAATTCCAATAACATAATAAATTGGAAATTTCGTCGTATTGGAGACTAGTTACTTGTCCCATCTCTATCAATCAATCGTCTTCATCTTTATCAAATTCAACCTAAACAAGATAGACAGACTATATCATTTCCTAATTCTATTGTATCTGTTTCCACTTTACTCGAGTTTACTTGCTCTTTCTTTATATAAATAATTATAAAATTGAAGCTTTGTTCTAACTTACTTAGCTTGCAAATCATTGTAATTTTCGGACAATTTATGGTTCCCTCGAAGCCAGGAAATAATTATTGGCACATGTCGCAGACATCACGTGTGTAGGCATCCTAGGGTACGCAACCAAGTTGCTAATGTTGCCGTTGTAGGAACGAAATTGCTGTTTCGTGTCACTCACTACTCCCTTGGGCGCCTTTATTTCTACTATCTCTATATTCCCTTATATATCTACGTATCTACTACACATACTTTATGACTGTCAAACCAAAATTAGGATACCTTTAAATTAAACATTCCAGTTTAAAAGCTTTCATCAGAGTATTATTATTTTTTTCTATCTATTTAATCGTAAATTCTTTTGTTCTTTTTTATGCCTCTAAGTTCAATTGGTCACACTAGGAAATAAGATAAGAGTCAATCAGAGCAATTAATATTTGTAAATAAATAATTAAATCAGATAA